GCAGTTTCAAAGCGCAATGCATATCTAAGATATAATCCAAACATTAATCTAACTCAGCATTTAAAGATGATAAATGAATTTACAAAAGAGAAAATATAATCTTTTTTATTAACTTCAATTCAGAATTCATGAGGCAGTCACACAGATGTTGCTACTAAAATGTCCAGTGTGAAACCATTGAGGGGTGCTTTTTACCTAATGATTGTTAAAATTATTAGGGCTTTACAATACTGGATTAAAATCCATGCGGCCATAACTCTTAGATTTAAAGTCTTTATAGAAAAACTAAATAAAAAAGAATCCACATTTCTTGACCAAATTAAAGAATGCCCTTTTGGATTTAACCAGCTGGCAATGTCTTGTGTGCATTTGCTAATGTTCAGTCTGAGCATGAAAGAGCAGCTGAGGAGTTTGCATCTCTAGAGTCTTTGCCCATAATAGTTTCACTATTTTCCATCTATGGCTGCTGATGTCTATATCTGTGCTTCTCAAGTTGAACAAAGCTTGTCCAGGCACAGACTTAAACTCAGGCTGGGAGGAGATCAGCAACCTGAAGGCTGAAGCTGTGGATTTATCTGCAGGTATGCCCGACGCAACTCAGAAAATATGAAGGAGGCCACTGCTGAGCGGAGGCTGACATTGCTCAGAACATGGCTGCCCAGGTCAAGTAATTGGTTTGTCTTCCGCGGAGATAAAAGGTCAAAATAGTAAAAGAGTTTGAAATGTATTTGTGTATTTCAAGTATGCCTGGATGTCTTTCAATCCATACATTAACAAAGCTATTTAAGGATATAAGAATCTGAACAACCTTCATTGTGCCAGAAAAGACAGATTATACCAACTAAAATGATAGCTATATTCTTGAAACTTCAGTGGCTACTTGCAGAGACATTCCCGTCCATACTTTGTTCCTGAAGTTTAGTCTACAGAGTCAGAAGACTGCAAGAAGCAAACACAAAACCTTATTACTTTTTAAGATTTTTATTACGTATTACACACTGCTGTAAGCATGTACAGCTATCAATCAAATATCATTTAAGTTCAATTAGTATTAATTTAAAGTGTATTTATATTATATATTTATGTTAAATTTAAAATATAATAGAAATATATAGTCTTAATGATTTATTGGTGGGAATTTAAAAAACTTTAAGTTTTTTCTCTGTGAAATTGATCAATTATGGATTTGTTTCTACTAGGTAGTATTTGTTCTGCAATTCAGAAAAAGGAGACTAGGAAACAAGAATAGATTTTCTCATAGGCATAATTTAAATATTAGGCAAAGCCAGTACTTTCAAAGTAAATAATGAGCTTTTTTTCAGTGGACATAATTTCATATTGCTTTTACTCTCAAATAACACAATAAGAAAAATATAGTGGCTGCTGGTATTGATAACCTGGAGATGGTTTCAATAGACGGTGTTTGCCTTTAGTTTCTCTCTGGTTCGCTGTATGACCTGATTAAGAGGAAAGCATGAAGTTTATGAGCGTTTGTTCTGTTTACTCGGTACTTGGTTAAGGGTCCATCACCACTTATCTTTTGTGGTTGTTATCCTTTAGGACTTTTCAAGAAGTACTACATTGCAAAATGCATCGGTGAACGCTATCATAGAAGAAGGGAATGAGTACTAAGATTCAGGATTCCTGAAACAAAGATAATTTCTTGAATGACAAAGGTGGGGGGGGCGATCTGTTGCCTTCAGTCTGACAACTTGTTCAAGGGAGAGGACCCTTCCTAGACAGAGATGTCCCATACCTGTATGAATGTCTGGATGCGTTCTAGAATAGTGACTATGATGGGACAAACTGGCCAGCGGTAGCAAAATTCTAATGACGCCAATCACTACAATTACCGCGCGTTGCTTAGCTTCTTCCTTAAGAAGAGATGGCGTGATATAACACACACACACAACCGCGCACAGCACACACAGACAAGGGGCAGGGCATATGAAGAACTTCCACACTTGAGTCATATATTTACAAGACAATCTTTACTGCTTGCTAGTTTATTATCTTGAGCAGTAAACTGAAGAATTGATTCAATCTGCACAGTGGGATTTTGTTGTATGCTGTCTTCCATTTTTTGCTTTGCCTGATGCTAACGCAAGTTGTGGTGGTTTGGATAACCAATGTATATGAGAAAAAGGCAGTACTTTTTCCCATTCCCCAATATTCGCATTTCTTGCCTTATAAAAGCATATGGCACTCTGAATGGAATCAAATCAGTGTGCTATTTTCTTGTGCTTGTGTGGAGTATATTATCATTCTGTATTTGTCGGGTGTTTACTACACGGCAAGTACTGGGGACACATATCTTGAGACCATGAATATTGTAACCACGGCCAGCCAAAGCCTGACCCAAAGCTGACACTGTCTGAAGCCATCTGGAGTGGAATTCTCTAGTCACGTCTCCAAACTAGCCAGCCACTAAGGGCATGCTCAGTTATACATGAACACAGCACAGTAAGTGCTCACTTACTGTCCTCGCTACATTCTTCAAAACTTCAACTTTAAGCAAAATGACCTATAGCGGGTTGTTGAATGACATCATTTCCTTCAACATCATTTTGTCATTTCACTTAAAGTTAAAGAGAAAAGAGAGTGGTAATTAAGGAGAAAAGAGGAAAAAGTGCTAATGGGTAGCAGCTGAATGGGACCAGATGATTCAGTTTCAAAGTTTGTCATCACTGAAGAGATGCTTTTTATGACTTAGTTGAATTCAAATATCTATTTATATAATTGCCATAGAAGCGTTAGAACAAGAATAAGTCAAGAGATATTTTCTTCAACCCCACATACAACATTAAGCAAGACAATATAATAAACAGACAAATTCAATGAATCATTAATTTTTTTTTTTTTTTACCATATGCTCTGTTTTTTGGATGTCTTTTGCTGTAGTTTTACTGAAGCATTGACAAGTTCACACATGGAGAAAGAAGATCTAGGTAGGTCCTTGCTTGCTCTTGCAAAGCTCTGAAGTGTTTAACCTGGAAAAAGGTGATATTCAGAGTGAGAAGAGATGCATGGTCTATTAGATAGCAAATATTTTTCGTTTGTAATATTTAGTGATATTTCAAAAATAATCTGCTATATAGCTCAGTGTTTCCACCATTGTTTTAAAGCGGCATGAATTAGTGACTCACAGGAAAGAATTGAAAACACACTGACATGGATCTATTTGTCCACCACCTGCTTCTCATTGTAATTAAAGTCATTTGTATGGTCTGGGAAAGAGGAAGCCAAGAAACGTTCTATAATTTTTCCAGATCCTTGTTCGCATGCTAGCTTTTTGTATTTTGGAGAAACAATTTGTAGCCTACTCTGGTCTCTTTCTGGCATGTTTTGGTGATACTTAGAGCCATAAGGCAAAGGTCAGAGTGAGTTGTGGGCTTATTGGAGGCAGGGAAATAAACAGATGGGGGGCTTCTTTTCTCTGCGGAAAGCTCATCTAGTGTTCTTCCCTTTCCACAATCCCAAGAAAGGCTCCCCAGGTGCATCTTTATTCTATTCACAGAAACACAGACAAATGTGTTTCTTAGCAGATGCTCAGCGTCTATGCAGGTTCTGTTTATTTTTTTTTTTATTTATTTTTTTTTATATTTTTCTTTTCCAGCTCATGGCTGTTAGGAAGGTTCTGTTTTAGATACCAGGTAAGCAGTCTGCAAAACCCTTGCTCCCATGCATGTACATTCTTACAAAAGAGACAAGATGATATATAAACAAACAATATGCAGGTGCAATGTTTGGTTGTGCTAAATACCATGTAGAAAAGTCAAAGTGCTAAGGGATAGGGTTTGAGGAAGCAGCACTGGGGCCATGTACTTCAGGGAGCATGGTATTCTTCAAGACGTCTCTGAGGAAAAGACCTGAGTCACTGTCGTGAGTGTAAGAACATTTGCCAGTGGAGGTCGTGGACGCATGGAGGGGAGACAGCAACATGCAAAGCCCTGAGGCTGCAGCAGATGTGAATCCAGGTGGGAGCAGGAGGTCAGAGGAGAGTGGCAGGGTGACACCGTCGCTGGAAGTCCTTACAACGAGCTGATGTAAGTCCCAACTGCTGGGTTTATGCCTGTGGCCAGAGTTTCTCAACCTCAGGCTATTTGAAATGTGAGGCCAAATAAACCCCCTTTTTTGTGGTGGTTTGTGCCCGTGTACATTGCCAGGATGTTCTAGCAGACGTCTTGCTCTCTCTACTAGTATGCCGCAGCAGCCCACCACTTCCACTGTGGCAACCAAAAAAGATGTGTCCAGAATGCAAAATGTCTCTGGTGTGGGGGGAAGGAGGGCAGTCGCCATCTCTTACCATGTCCCATTGGATTATTGAAAAGCACGACTCTTTATTATCAAAAAGGTTACTTATTAGGAAAAAAATTATATGTATTGACCAGGCATATTCAAACCCGGTTAAGAATCTGGTAATTTACTCTAAGTGAGAGGGAAGACACGTGGCTTTTTCAAAAATCCTTCTTAGCTTGTGTGGAGAGGTTCTGCACGGGGTTGGCAGGCACAATGGAAGCGATGGTGACCAAGTGTGTAGGTTCATGGCAGGGATCTGATGAAAAGTGGATGGTGCCTGACCAGTGGTGCTAGAAATGTAATTTAATAATAATTTAGATACTTGTAATATATTTTAATAACTATATAATTACTACCATGAGTGATGGGATGGAATAAGATTAGGAGGTATTCAACTGCAAGTTGCATGTGGATAAAGATGACCTACAGAAACATTAGGGAGGTTTTCCAAAATCATAATGTCAATATTGGAGCCTAAATTTTAAACTTTTATCTCAGATCTTTTCCTCTGCACTGTATAGATTCCTAACACCCCATTTTTGCAGTATAATAAATACAGATCGATTTTTCACAAACTCGAAGTAGCAACTTTTTTTCAATGTACAACTAACTGGTATTTCATTCCAATATTAACATTAGATCACTAGCGAGTGTATTAAATGACCACCTAGTAGCTATAAACCAAGGAAAGTTATCTGTCTCAAACACCTTTGGGAATGAGAAATAAGATATGGGAAATTTTTATTTTATAAAATATATTTAATTGAAGGGAATAATCATTTATTTTGAGATTTATGTAGTTGGCCAGATGCCAAATTTATTGGAAGTAGCAATATAATCAGTGATCAACCAGTTGCAAAGATTTTGCTAGAGTCAATTTTAATCACGGAAATCTGATTATATTTTCATTTTATGTACATATTGTGTGTGTGTGTGTATCCTTATTTTTTAAGAAGAAAGCTAAGAGGGGTTCAATTGTAGTGATTGGTGATCCATTAGAGAATTTCTGTTACCTGGCCAAGTTATCCCATTCTGTAGTAAATTTTTCTAAGAACGATTCAACGACATTCATACAGTCATGGTAATCTCTTGTTCTCTGAAGGTCCTCTTCCCTTTGCAAGCACAAGTTGTCAGACTGAAGGCACAGATCCAGCCACTGGTCATTTAAATGACTTATTTCCTTGTGTTCAGGAGACTCCTGATTCTTAGTTAACTCATTCACCTTTTCTATGATAGCGTTCACCGATGCCTGTTTGCACTGTAGTTTCTTGACAAAGTCCTAAAGGATAACAACAAAAAAATAGGTAATGTGTGATGAACCTCTCAAATAAATATAGAGTAAAACACAGACATAATACCTCTAAACACTTTATGTTCCTTAATAGGTCATGAGGAACAAAGAGAAAGTCTAAAGGCCACCACACCTCTATATGAACATCAATTTCCAAGTGTATAATAATCAGAGCAGCTATGGTATTTTTCTTTATTGTGTTATTTTGAGAAGTTTAAAAAAAAGCCAATAAATGTGAAACAACATTATAGTCACTGAAGAAAAAGTCATTATCTTATCTTGAAGTATGGCTTTAGTTGTCTAAATATTTTTAGAATTTATGCTTCTGAGAAAAAAAATCTAATTTATGTTGTCCCTAGTCTTCTTTTCTGAATTTGCAAACAATACTATAGTAGAAAATATGTCATAATTGACTCATTATCACAGAGAAAAAAATCTTAAAGTTTGTTAAAATTTTGACCCAACTAATAATCAAATTAACAGACCTATTATAATTTTCTATTATATTTTAAATTATACATAAATATATAATATAAATTACATTTGAAATTAATTATATATTCATTAAATATATATTTGATTGATAGGCTTACAATGCTACAGCAGTGGTAATATGGTAATAAAAATCTAAAAAGTAATAAGGTTTTGTGTTTGCTTCATTGCAGTCTTCTGACTCTGTAGACTAAACCTTCAGGAACAAAGTATGGAGGGAATGTCCTTCCATGCAAGTAGCCACTGAAGTTTCAAGAATATAGCTTCATTTTTAGTTTATAATCTGTCTTTTCCTGGCACCAATGAAGGTTGTTCAGATTTTCTTATTCCTTAAATAGCTGTTGTTAATGTATGAGGATTGAAAGACATCCAGGCATATTGGAGAATACAACAAATACATTTCAACTCTTTTACTATTTTGGCCCTTTTATCTCCGCTGGAGACAAACCAATTCCCACCTTGACTTGGGCAGCCATGTTCTGAGCAATGGTCAGCTCCAGCTCAGAGTGCCTCTTCTTCATATTCTGGAGTTGCTGGTCGGCATCCTGCAGATAAATCCACAGCTCAGCCTTCAGGTGCTTGATCTCCTCCCAGCCTTGAGTTAAGTTCTGTGCCTGGACAAGCCTTTGTTCAACCTTGAGAAAGCACAGGAATAGACATCAGCAGCCATAGATGGAAATAGATGGAAACATTTATGGGCAAAGACTTAGAGATGCAACTCCTCAGCTGCTCTGCATGCTCAGACTGACACATTAGCAAATGCACACACAGACATGCACAGTGGTAAATCCAAAAGCACTTCTTTATTTGCTTCAAGAAATGTGGATTTTCTTTTATATTTAGTGTTTCTAAAGACTTTAAAAGTCTAAGAGTTATGCCGCATGGTTTTAATCAGTATTGTGAAGCCCTAATAAGTTTTAACAATTCATTAGGTAAAAAGCTACCCTCATGGTTTTCACACTGGACATTTTAGTAGACACATCTGTGTGACTGCCTCATGAATTTGGAATTGAAGTTAACTAAAAAAGACTTATATTTTTCTCTTTTGTAAATTTATTTATCCATCTTTTAAAATGCTGAGTTATTAATGTTTTGGATATATCTTTAGATATGCTTTGCTGGCTTTTGAAACTGTATAATTTGTTTCAATAAATCATTTCTGTTAAAAAATGTGAATCATATTATCTTTTGTAAGGATTTAAAGCCAGGTTTGTTTTGAAACTTTAATATAAAAGAGGAAAACATTACTTTAAGACATTTTTGTTTGGATAATTTTATTTATGTGAATATTTAATAAATTGAATACCAAAACCAAATCCTATTTTCTTTTTAAACCCAAATGTGTTTCACTAAAGAGTTCAAGGTTGCAGCAGCGGTGAGCATACAGCCCCCATGCTGCCACCTGCCTGTGGGGACAGGTACTGCTAACCCATTGCAACACTTTCGGCTAAGCCCAGACACAGTTTCAGAATCTTTCCCAATACCACACTTGACAGCCACTACCAATGAATTTGAAGGATCATGATAGAGGGCATGCTCTTTGGCATCCCTGATACCATAAAGCAAGGATCAAGAGCCCCTTTCTTATTAAGTATTAGTAAGGAAGGAGAAAAGAACAAAAAAAGTGTGGAAAAAAATAGAAAAAGAAGAAAAGAGAGTGGTAATTAAGGAGAAAAGAGGAAAAAGTGCTAATGGGTAGCAGCTGAATGGGACCAGATGATTCAGTTTCAATTTAGTGTCATCACTGTCAGAGAATGCTTACTTTTTCTATGACTTAGTTGAAATTCAAATATCTATTTATTATCATTGCCATAGAAGCGTTAGAACAAGAATAAGTCAAGAGATATTTTCTTCAACCCCACATACAACATTTAAGCAAGACAATATAATAAAACAGACAAATTCAATGTAATCATTAATTTTTGTTTTTTTTTTTTACCATATGCTCTGTTTTTTGAATGTCTTTTGCTGTAGTTTTCACTGAAGCATTGGACAAGTCACACATGGAGCAAAGAAGATCTAGGTAGGTCCTTGCTTGCTCTTGCAAAGCTCTGAAGTGTTTAACCTGAAAAAAGGTGATTATCAGAGTGAAAGAGATGCATGGTCTATTTAGATAGCAAATATTTGTTCCGTTTGTAATATTTTAGTGATATTTCAAAAATAATCCTGCTATATGCTCAGTGTTTCCACCATTGTTGTAAAGCAGCATGAATTAGTGACTCACAGGAAAGAATTGAAAACACACTGACATGGATCTATTTGTCCACCACCTGCTTCTCATTGTAATTAAAGTCATTTGTATAGACTGGGAAAGAGGAAAGCCCAAGAAACTTCTATAATTTTTCCAGATCCTGTGTTCACATGCTAGCTTTTTGTCCATTTTGGAGAAACAATTTGTAGCCTACTCTGGTCTGCTTCTTGGCATGTTTGTGCATATCTTAGAGACATAAGGCAAAGGTCAGAGTGAGTTTGTGGGCTTTATTGGAGTCAGGGAAATAACAGATGGCTGGGCTTCTTTTCTCTGCGGAAAGCTCATCTAGTGTTCTTCCCTTTCCACAATCCCAAGAAAGGCTCCTCCAGGTGCATCTTTATTCTATTCACAGAAACACAGACAAATGTGTTTCTTAGCAGATGCTCAGAGTCTATGCAGGCTCTGTTTTAGATACCAGGCATAAAGCAGTCTGCAAAACCCTTGCTCCCATGGCATGTACATTCTTACAAGAGAGACAGATGATATATAAACAAACAATATGCAGTGCAATGTTTGGTTGTGCTAAATACCATGTAGAAAAGTCAAAGTGCTAAGGGATAGGGTTTGAGGAAGCAGCACTGGGGCCATGTACTTCAGGGAGCATGTATTCTTCAAGACGTCTCTGAGGAAAAGACCTGAGTCACCTGTTGTGAGGTAAGAACATTGCAGGAGGGTAGACATGGAGGGGAGACAGCAAATGCAAAGCCCTGAGGCTGCAGCAGAGTGAACCAGGTGGGAGCAGAGGTCAGAGAGAGGAGCAGGGGAACACGTCGTGGAAGTCCTTACAACAGAGCTGACTGTAAGTCCCAACTGCTGGGTTTATGCCTGTGGTCCAGAGTTTCTCAACCTCAGAGCTATTGACAGTTGAGGCCAAATAACTTTTGTTGTGGGAGCTGCCCTGTACATTGCAGGATGTTCAGCAGCGTCCTTGGCCTCTACCTACTAGATGCCAGCAGCAGCCCCACCACTTCCCACTGGGGCAACCAAAAATGTGTCCAGACATTGCAAAATGTCTCTGGTGTGGGGGAAGGAGGGCAGTCGCCATCTCTCTACCAGTCCCATTGGATTATGAAAAGCAGACTCTTTATTATCAAAAAGGTTACTTATTAGAAACAATTATATGTATGACCAGTCTATTCACAGGCCCTGGTAAGAAATCTGGAATTTACTCTAAGTGGGATGGGAAGACACGGGCTTTCAAAGAATCCTTCTTAGCCTTGTGTGGAGAGTATCTGCAGGGGGTGGCAGGCAGCAATGGAAGCAGGTGACCAAGTGTTAGGTTATGCAGGGATCTGATGAAAAGTGATGGTGGCCTGACCAGGGTGCTGAGAAATGTAATTAATAATTAATTAATACTTAGTAATTATTAATTAATAATTAATTACTACATATATATGGATGAATAAGGAAGGAGGTATCAACTGCAAGTTGCATGGGATAAAGATGACCTACGGAAACATTAGGAGGTTTTCCAAAATCATAATGTCAATATTGGAGCCTAAATTTTAAAACTCTTATCTCAGTATCTTTTCCTCTGCACTGTATAGATTCCCTAAACACCCCATTTTCCTGCAGATATAATAAATACAGATCGATTTCTCATCAACTCAGAAGTAGCAACTTTTTTTCAATGTACAAACTAACTGGTATTTCACTTCCAATTAGTAACATTAGTCACTAGCGAGTGTATAAATGCACCACCTCATGTAGCTATAACCCAGAGAAAGTTATCTGTCTCAAACACCTTTTGGGAATGAGAATAAGATATGGGAATTTTTATTTTATAAATATATTTAATTGAAGGGAATAATCATTTATTTTGAGATTTATGTAGTTGGCCAGATGCCAAATTTATTGGAAGTAGCAATATAATCAGTGATCAACCAGTTGCAAAGATTTTTGCTAAAATCAATTTTAAAGGAAAATCTGATAGTACTTTTTCCCATTCCCCAATATTTTGCATTTCTTGCCTTATAACAAGCATATGGCCTCTGAATGGAATCAATCAGTGTGCTATTTTCTTGTGGTTGTGTGGAGTATATTATATTCTGTATTTGTCGGTGTCAACATGGCAAGTACTGGGAACTTGGGACCATGACCTTGTAAGCACGGCAGTCAAAGCCTGACCCAAAGCTGACACTGTCTGAAGCCACCTGGAGTGGAATTCTCCAGTCATTGTATCCAAATAGCTCAGCACTAAGGGCATGTCAGATACAGAACAGCCAGGTAAGTGCTCCTACTGTCCTCGCTCGTTTTCCAAAACCACTTTAAGCAAAAGACTATAGCGGTTGTGAATGACTATTCATTTCCTTTCAACGATCATTTTTCATTTCATGTAAAGTTGCAGTTTCTAGAACCTACTGATGACTTAATTGAGGATAATGCTCAAAAAGTAAGACAAAAAACAAAGCAAAAAAACAAACAATCTCGCTTCAGGAGTACGCGCAAGACTGACCATCTCATTCCTTCTCTGGATGAGCAGCCACTTGAGGCCATAAGCGAGAACAGTCAAGTAATTTGGAATCCAAGAAGGGTCAGCATCCTTCTGAGATACAGATGATCGGGTGAGCGCAGTATCTTTTCGCGTTTCTAATTAGCAAAGCATGGATTAATATCTTTTCTCTGCTAACTCTCTTTATTTATCTTTTGTGGTAGCAAATAAAGGAAGAAAATAAAGCCTTGTTGTGGTTTGTTCTGAAAAAAACTTGAACAACAGCCACAAGACAAGCAATGACTCAGACTCACAGTCTATAAAAAGAGAATGGACAGTTAAATTTTGCCTGAACTACCTGGAGGCGAAGGCGGGCGATTGCTCGGAGGTAGGATTTGAACCGCCTGTGTGACGAACCGTCTCTACTATTAAATAGAAAGAAATTAATATGGTCGTAACTTAATATATATTATATTATATTATATAATATATATAATATAAATTAAGCCGGGCATGTGGCGCGTGCCTGTAGTCCAGCTACTTGGGAGGTGGCAGCAGGATTGTGTGTTTGTTGTGGTTTGCTGTGAAGCCTAGGCTGGACGCCATGGAACTCCTTAGCTAGGCAAACAAAGCGAGACTCTGTTCAAAAAAAAAAATTATTTCTGATCAAAGGTGCGTTTCTTTGTCCAATCTATTTTAAGAAAGTGTAATGTGTATGTACAACTTTTGTGAACCATTTAATAAATAATCTAAATAATTAAGACCTTTAGAATAACTTTGGGATTAATTTACACTTTGTGAACAAGATGAACAAATGCATTATACTAATCTTAGTTTGTGGTAAAAAAATTTAATTATTATTAATCATTAATTCATGCAGGATTATAATAAATTCCTCTGAAATATTTTCCCATATAATTAAGGCTGCATAGAAAAGCTGCTTAGTACAAAAGTTTTAAAGATATTTCTCACATACGCTGATTAAGTCTTGGCAGCAAAATTGTAAGCTTGTGGATGTCAAATTAATATGCAGTAGGTCCTTTTCACATGAGAACTAACATTTCATTCATCATTCACTCAATAATTATTTGTGGCGGGCTGTGGCTCACGGCCTGTATCCAGTCTTGGAGCGAGGCGGGGCGGATGCTCAGGGTCAGGAGTTCAAACAGCCTTGAGAAGAGCGGCCCTCTCTACTATAAGAAATAGAAAGAAATTAATTGCCAATGATATATATATAAAAAATAGCGGGCATGGTCGGCCATGCTTGAGCTCCAGGTACGTCGGGAGGCTGGGCAGGAGGACGCTTGAGCCAGGGAGTTTGAGGTTGCTGTGAGCTAGGGCTGACGCCACGGCACATCACTCGTGGCTGGACAACAAAAAGCGAGACTCTGTCTCAAAAAAAAAAAAAAATCTATTTGTTAAGCATCTTGTTTGTGCCCCCAAACTATGAGAGAGCTAGTATTGCTTTTCTGTTTATAAATCATTTTCATTTGGTATGATATTTGAATTTCATCATAACTTTTCAAAGTATAATTGTCACTTTACATAGTAGGAAACTGAGGCACAGAGAAATTAAGTGACTTCCCCATGGCTCCCCCACCACTTAGGTATTAGAGTTGATGTTTTGGTTACAGCGCCCATTCTCTTTCTATTCTACCAGGTTTACCCCTTAGTGTCATGTCCGTTTTCCTGGCTGGAACATGAACTTGACTTGAGCCAGGTTCAGACCTTATTTATACGTTCAGGTTCCCAGGAGCCAGCACAATTTGGCACATCATAGGAACATCACATATTTTCATTGACTGTCCGAATGACTCACAAGAATGACATAAACGTTCAAGAGTCTACTACCTGCTTAACGGCTTCTGCCCTGCTAAGAGGTGGCTGAGGGCTTGACTCCAAATCTGGCTGGACTGCAGAAAGCCAGGCCTGGCACTGCTGCAGGGTGTCTTGCCGGCTGACGTGCTTCTGAAGTTCGTGTTCCAAACTTCGGTACACCTGAGGCAAAACAACCATGCTGAGCTTGTGAGAGCTGCTTTCTACCTCTATGAAGATCGCTGGAATTCAATCCAACACAACAAGTCCACTAAAACGGATTTACCCCCACGATTCCCCAACACCACACACACATCTAGGTGGTTTCATATGTCCAAAAACATTGCAAAATGTAAGGGCCATGCCCCAGTTGATAACTTCTCAATCCACACTTTGCAACATAATATCCGGATTAGGGGAAGAGAACATGGGTAGGGTTCATATAACTGTAGAAATGTGTTAGAATACACGAATTCATTGAAGTAAATTGTTATAAGTCAGAGGTTTTTGCAGCTTTTCTCCCTATGGTATAAATATTGCACTTTTTGTTTAAGCTGAAAACTAAAAGCGAAACACCATCTCAAGAAAAGGTAACTAATATTTCTCTAACAGCAACATTTCTGCTTTAAAGGTAGGGGCAAATTGGAAATAAATTATAATATAGGGGAGGGGAGAGCTTGATGCCCTCATTTCACCTTAGAAATTATGTTCCAGAACAACAATAATCCAAAATAATTTATATGTTTTCTGATATGTCTAGTCAATTAATCCCTAGCCAGCCAATCAATTTCCATTTTATCCATAAAGAAATACTGAGAAATTATTGTGTGTTTCCTTGAGATCAAGATGAAATACTTCTATGATGCTTTCTGAGCAAATTATTTGATTTGAAAAAAGAAAAAAAAAGAAAGAAGGAAATGAGTTTAGTCAGGCATGTCTTTCATTACTGCGACAACTAAAGAACTAATAATTCTTCTTTTCTCTGTCATCTGTTAATTTCATCATTTTTCTCTGACATTGGGTCTGTCCCTTATTTATTCTTATTCCAAGCAGAACTAAAAAAAAAGGAAGTTGTTTTGTTCTCTTTGTCATTTTTGCAAACTTTAATTATGAGGTTCTGACTATGTTCATAGAGTTTCATAGGCTTTTTTAATTTTTAAAAATTATGTTGGTCTTACCAACATTTACCATTTTTTAAAAAAAATTTAAGCTATATTCCTAATGCAAATAAAATGTCCACTATGAAGGAAGTCGGCATTCAGTAAATCTCTGTGGAATGAGTGAAATAAGGATCTCATCAGAGAGCTTTCCTGCACAGCCTTGGTTTTCTCTCTTCTCTCTCCCCTTCTTCCTTTTGTCATCACTTGCAATTATTTATTAGATTCCTTTAACCTTGTTTTTATTAACTTTTTGAAAGTTAATTTTTCAAGTCTGGGGAGTCGACTAATGTCGCCTAGCATTGTTTTTTTTCATCATGGTGAACACAGACCATTCCCCACAGTGTATCACCAGTTCTTATTCGCTAGGACAGTGACAAAAATACACAGAAGACCTTCAAAATCTTATAAAATCTTTTTGTAGTGTCATTTAAAAATTCTAGAATAATGGAATTCACTTATTTTACTAATTTTTTATTAAAAGAATAAGTCTTATCCATCTTAGACTTCTTTCTATAACATTAAGGATTCTGTTTTCATGGACATACACCCTTTTAAGAAAAAGTCAAAATTGATACTTAATCCTTTTCTCAGTGTCTATATGAATTCATAAAAATATTGAATTAGATTAGAACTGAGGCTGCACACAGTTAGAAAAATGACTGTCAAAGTTATAAAACTTATTTTGGTGTTACAGAACAAAAGGCAAATTAGAAGTATCAATGGTGTGCAAATAAAAATAAATGAAACATCTTTTAACAATCCTTCTCTTAATCAATTCATGGAATAAAGGGATTGGGTAAAACTAAAGGTCTGAAATACACTGCTTAGTTGCATCAACTGAACGTACAACATGTTAGTTTCGTGTTCACATCGGACTATAAAATCTACCTGCTAATTTGTTGTCAGGCAACATGCCAAAACCATCCCAAAGGTTTACACATCAACCCTATTTGTAAAAAATCTCTGAATTGCATGGCCTTTCTCCATAATTCATTGCCATCATCTGGTGGTACTCACCCTCTGAGCTGTGCTGCAGATTGCTGAGTAACTATCCTTTGTGCCCTGCAGATGACCCTGCACATTTTGTTTAAGTTTCACCTGAAGGTGGTCTGCACACTGGCCAATCAAAGTGTCGCCTTTAATTTTAAGGCTGTTCAAACGGTCTTCAAAACCAGCAATTTCTTCCATCATTGCCTGTAAGAATGAAACAAATAGAGTCCTCATAATTCTGCTTTTAGTTTTAAATAAACTATTCATGAAACAGATCGATAATTTCATTGTCTAATAAAGTTTTTGAAAGAGTTCTGCAATTTATCGTGGTTACATATAAATGGGGAAAAAAGCACATGTATGTTTTCAGGGATACTCTAATGGGAAGAGTTAATGAGTTTAAGGGATTAGTTACATAGGGAATGATGAAGTAACCTTCATCAACCTCAAGACTAGAGCGTGTTCATGGCTGGTCTTAGAAAGATATCTGCTCCAGAGAAAAAAATGTCCATACATTTTTCAGCTATATAAATTATAATTCTGGCATAATTTTTATCTAGAACAATCTAATTACTATTCAATATAATTTACCTCATATCTAATTTCTGTAATAATCTAATATCTAACTTTTAATTTATATAATATCTGATTTACATCTAATAACATTATAAAATAACATTAATGCTTACCATTTATTAAGCACCTCTAGGATTTACATATCAGCCCTGACAAATGTGTGTTATTATTTTATGAATGAGGAGACTGAAGCACAGAGAGGTTATATAACACAGTCAAGGTCACACAGCTAGTAAATGGCTGAGGCCCCAGGGTTTAGACACAGCTCTGCCTGATTTCAGCTCATACCATTGTACACACACGTGTTCTCTAGTGAGCAGTTTCATAGAACACTCAGGGAGGAGGAACCAACTTTTCAAATCAGGTTTTAATTTCCTTACTGCTATCTGATGCTAATGACAAGTGACACGTTCCAACACAGCGCTCAAACATCATGATATCTGAGGGAAACTCGGGAGGTCCCTCAGCAATTCGGGCTCCATCACTTTTTCTAACAGTGCTGGGTTAGTGGTTATTACGTACACTCAGTTGAAAAGGAGCATTTCATCTTTGAGTTGGACTAGGACCCTACATCGTGAGGTTATTGATGGGACAGACTACCTACTGGGTTGGCACATCCTTAGTGTCATGCAGGTGCTTCTCTACTCATATTTGTTAGATAGCAATAAAAATTTTTCCTACAGACAGAAATGCTGAAGCCCAGAGAGGTTAACTATTAGCTGAAGTTAACAGTTAAGACACACTATCAACACTGACCAACATCATGACTAAAACTGTGACCATAGGACACCTGTCATTTATTACATACATAATTACTAGAAATACATATTAATAAAATAAAAATTCTTCATATTGGAGCTGTACTTTGTGGTTCACAAAATGCCTTCACAAACATTATCTCCTGTGATTACCACAACAGTTATTAAGTGGCTTGGTATTGTTATCGCCCTTTACAGAGGAGAAAAAAAGACTCAGGCTAAATCCCTTCTGCTAGGAAGGGGAAGATTCTGGCCTAGAATCCAGACTTTCTGATTACTAGTCTTGTATCCTGTCTTTGACTGCACTTTTCTAAAATAGTCTCCATAAGGACTAAATTCTGAGATAAAAACTATTAGCTGGAAAAAAATCTGACGTGTTCAGAAGTTGAATGCCAGGATTCAACTGTGTGTGATTCACTTGAATATCAAGTTCAACTGCTCTCAATTGTCAGAGGTGCTTGAGTCTCAGACTTGATTGTTTAGGTACAATTATAATCCAGAGATGCCCCTGTACACACACACACACACACACACACACACACACACACACACACACACAGAGGCAGGGCTGGCACCGTCCCCTAGTTAGCTCTTTAGAGAGCAGGTGTACCTTGTGGTGGGCCAGTTGCTGGGTAATTGTCTCCAGGCTGCTTGTCTCTAGGAGGTCGGGTGCCACCAGCCTGCTGGACATCTGCAGCAGCCACTTTTCCACCTCTTGGAGCTCACTGTTGTAGTCCTCATGGTCTTTGACTTTCGCCTCCAGACTAATGACGTGCTCCTGTAAAGCCAGGTACCCATTAGAGGTGATTTCCAAGTGAAAAACTACTCAAAACTGTTTTGTATTTCAAAAAACCCAGTGCAACTCACACGATAGGTAGAGTTACTTATATCAGAAAACTACTAGAAATGGAAAAAACAGAGTCACTATGCCATTTAAATACCCATCAGAATAAAAGGAAAAACACTGACCCATACCAGCCCTTAAAATGATCTGACAGAGAGAAAGGACGTAGGGCCCATAGTTTGGCAAATAAACAATTATTAAATCTCTGGTCTCTCCTTACCTTTCCTATACGGCATAGGTCCTGGTAATCACTTTGAAGTTTGTCAATTTTGTCCTTTAAAGTAACATCCTGCACCAGTTCCAGAAGAGCGTCACCTTTCTCTCTCACTGACTTTACTGTTGGTTCATGGGACAGCACCATTTGTTGAAGTGACTTGAATTACAAAGAAGAAAAGAAGAGCCAGCTTTATCTATGTGCAGAAGATGAATACATACATATGCCTGAGATGGTCTCATATGTATGAGACCATCCACCCCATAGAAAGATCTGGGACATATCTTATGAATCAACAAATGTAAAACACTAATGAGAGAATGATTTATGATGACTAACGCAGTTTTTAAATACAGAAGAAGCATAACGCATCAAATAGCCCTTCACTTGTAGAGAAGAAAGGATGGAAAAGAATTACATTTGGCTAAATTTAACATAGTTCCTATTTCTGGCTCCCACCTCATTCCTTTCAACAGAGAAAAAAAAAAAACTCAACATAAAATGAAGAGGAGTAAGGCTACTATCTTTTGATTTTGAGGACATGAAATCAGTTCCGACTTGAGCTAGATGTGGAGTTAGGGAGAAAAATTCCAGTTGCCATCTTGCTGAGACAAGCTGAAAGCTCTATTTAAATACATCAAAAGCTCAGTGGGGGTGGGGTGGGGAAGAAGAGATTGTGATTCTTATGTGGCATCTTCAAAGACAAGCTGTCAGGCTTGGCAGAGAAACCAAGGCTAGAAATAGACATATTGGTTGGAGGAGGCGTTCACTAAAGCTTCCAACAGGGAAACCTTTGGGGTAAGCCACCACGCTGTAAGTATTGAAGATTATCACTAAATCATCTAGATCAAATTTACAAAACAAATTATTCCATAGATAAGCTTCGATAATTGTTTCACAAATTTGAGCAGGTGAAATATCTTATCTATATCATGGATAGCTATATCTACACTCTATTCTTTCAAAAATTAATTTCTCAGGTGTTTAGTTATAGTTCATTAATTAGAACTTATTTTCTTACAAATATTCTCACTTTCTTATAGGTGAGCTTCTAGGTCCTGAGTACCAGAAGGTGAAGGGAAGCCCTCTACATGGGTCAAGTAAAATCTGTAGGTATGGATGAGATCCTGGTACCAGCAAGGTTTAAATGGATGATCCATTCACCTGGATCACACTGTCAGAAAAGACCTCTACTGATGGATTAATTGATATATACAGCCAATACATTTATTGATACAATATTTGGGTATCAGATTCCCAAATGGAAAAATAACTCCAAGGTAGTGTATTTAACAAAATCAATCTATGTAGGGTCATGACATCACTGGCCACCACAGAATAGACAAGTGTAGGATGTTTTCCAGTACCCACTGTGGGTGCCACACGCCAGGAAACACCTCCCTCCCATGCAGTCCCTGCATGCCCTCCGCACGCAGCTGCCAAGGAGCGGCAATGTACTACCTTGTATTTGGACAACTGAGCTTTCTTTTCATATAATTCCATCTTGGGTTCTTCAGGAATATGTAGGATTTCTTGGTACTCTGCTATCCACTGAGTGAGCACTTTGCATTTATCTGAGAATTCCTTTGCTAGATGAAGACCTTTCTCCAGGGCCATGTGCTCTTTCCTGACAGTGCTGGTCAGTTCCTCCAACTGCTCCACGTGACCATGGATCTCCTTTCTTAACGTCTCTGCCTCGCCTTCCTCCAGGTACTGAAGAGCCCTCTCTCCTTTCTCCCGGGCTGATTTTAGCAAACTGTGGCCTTTCTCCATGTCCTTTAGCAAAACCTGAAAAAGAGAGTGAGTAGGAACTAAATAAAGAGTTAAAGAAAAGCCTTTCAAGTCCCATTCTTGAGTCCACTTATTTCTCCTTAAAATAAGTTGATGAGGTTTAGAACCAGATTTGACCTGCCAGGGATTAGGAACCCTGGTTTCTTTTCTGCATTTAGAAACCTTGATCAATATATAGAAAGTCTTGATTAATATATCATTTCCAAATCAGAAACTTGGAAAAGAACTTGATGTTTCTCTCATCCTTAGCAATCTCCCTAAAGATCTGAGTTAAAACTCTTTTTTAAGTCATTGGGCCAAAAATTTTAGAATGATTGCTTTTTCTCTTAATGTTCAAGTGTCACATTGGAATTTAGCTAAGACATTTGTGGCAGCCACGTGTAAGTCTTTCAGATGACAACATATCACAGATAAATGAAAGCCAGCTTTGGACCTTAAAGAACCAACTTAGTATTTCTAGTGAAATGCTGAGCTGAGGCCCACCAGCCATATGGGGTCAGGATGAACACGTGTGCTTCTGATACGCCTGCAGGACAATGGGGCGGCTCAGGGAAAGAGAAAAGACTAGAAACAAATCTGAAGGATGCACGCCTACCTCCAGCATCTTCAATTTTTTCCCCATCATGGCTGTATCTACTTTATCAATTTTGGTCGCCACATTCTTGAAGTTTTTCTGAGTAGATCCATACCAATCAGAATAGGAACTGAGGGATAATTCCAATTCCTCCAAACTCTGGATCTCTTCCTCCAGGAATTTTATTTGTTCCTTTGAAAAAAAAGAGCAAATTGAACAGTGAGTCACAGAGCTGTGCCAGGGCCTTTGTTATACATATGTATCCGCACTGGAAATTAATGAAAGGAAGGCCACCTGGGCTTACGAAGTTGGCTGGCCCATGTCGAGCAGCCGGGGGTTTGCTCACCTGCACTTGGAGGAGCAGGGCCTGGTATCTGGAAGTCAGCTGCGTGGCCTGGCAGCCCATCCTGCTGCTCACGTGGCTCTCGTCCAGGATCTCCTGGGCTCCAGCGCCCACTTCCTCAACCTCGTCTCTGTACGCGGTCACCTCCTCATGCCACTTCTGAAATGATGTCAGTATTGGGGGGAAAGAGTCAATCTCAACCGTTCTTGAATATGACAAATATATATCTTCTTAATAGGAAATAACTTCACTATATATTTCAAGTATGTTTATTTTGAGATGTAATTTTGAAAATGTGTCATATATTATCTTTGCGAAAAATTGTATTATGACAATTTGATAGAAACTATATACTTAAGAGTTTGGATACTTTTATATATGATGTTTCAAAAATTTTTTAAAAACCCAAAGTGGCATATATTTTTGTATCTTCTGTTAGAGTAGTTTTAAAACAGATAAATAAAGAAAAAAAATTGTCTAGGCCTGAGAATTATTTTGGATGTATATACTGAAATTGTATAAAAATTAGAATAAAACTAATTATCAAATATTATTTCAGTACCCTATATTGGAGCAATTTCGTATCAAACCATAAACTTAATTAACTGTCATACTGGCACTCGTATATCTTTACAAAACAAGGTAATAGCTTATGGAAAGAAAACATAAAATATTTCCATTAAACTACATTCTATCAAAGACTAACCTGTAAAATAATTGCTATAAGAGGAAAGCTTCGTTGCAATTTATTGCAAATTTCTAAGCAAGCAGAAAGAGATTCTGTAGAACCTAAGCTTTGTACAAAAGTTACTATTTTAATGAGACACATTATGCAAGATAATTGCTGCTTTGTCAAAGACCAAGAATTTACATTGCACTGTACCTTCGTCTGATGTAACTGTATTTCCTTGGTTGCCCGGTTAGACTGACGTCCGGTCCTGAGAATAATTTTCTCCTCCACTGCTTTTAGCCACTCATCTACTTGCTGAAACTTCTGCTCCATGAGCCTCAGTTTGTTCACTATGTTATTGAACTGAGCTCGGGTCTCAGCCAGCCTGTGCTGGTAAGCCTGCCAGTCCTGCCGGAGAGACTCTAAAGCCCGGTCCTCTGCCTGGGGGATGCCGGAAGGGATCACGTCCTCTCTGGTGTGCAGCACTGAGTTCAACAGCGCCTGCCCCTCTGCGCAGCGCACTTGGAGCTCCTGCAGGGAGGAAGGTTCGGCCGTCACGCTTCAGTCATGTACTCATCCTTGCATGGGTTAGCATGTCTCACGCAAGCCAGCTATGCCAGCTTGACCTTCATATATGAGGGAAAAAAATGATTTGATTCTGCCTTATACAAAAAAATGTGTCCCCAACATTGAATATTATCTCCTAATAGGAAGATTTCCTCAAAGGAAAGATTCTGAAAAATTTCCAATTAAAATAATCAACACATACAACCCCAGCAATATTTTTCTTAATCAAAAGTTTCTGAAATATGACTTTTCAGCTTGCAGACAAAAACTCTTATAAGTGAAAGGCTATGGTTTAAAAGAATAACTGAGGCTTACTATGGCTCATAATCTGCTTAAAGCCCTCGGGCTTCTTGCTTCGACATCGAATGGGCTCAGTGTACATTTGCGGCTGAGAAAGGAACAATGAACTCTCTTTTTGCTAAGGAGGGATCCTTTGCCAAAGTTGTACTCTAGAGAATTGTGGTGCCAAGAAAAGTTCGACCCAGAAAGCCTGGGAGTTCGGTTCATCACATGTGCCTACTGGGTGCTCCCAGATGCAAAGAATCTTTCCTCCGCCAAAGTTAAGCCCCACAAATTTACCCTACAAATTTAGTATGGACCAAATCTTGAAGGGTACAAGCTATTATTTATTTATTTATTTTTGAGACAGAGTCTTGCTTTGTTGCCTAGGCTAGAGTGCCGTGGCGTCAGCCTAGCTCACAGCAACCTCAAACTCCTGGGCTCAAGCAATCCTTCTGTCTCAGCCTTCCGAGTAGCTGAGACTACAGGCATGCACCACTGTGCCCAGCTAATTTTTTCAATATATTTTTAGTTGTCCAGCTAATTTCTTTCTATTTGTAGTAGAGATGGGGTCTCACTCTTGCTCAGGCTGGTCTTGTACTCCTGAGCTCAAATGATCCCCCTGCCTTGGCCTCCCAAAGTACTAGTATTACAGGTGTGAGCCACCACGCCCAGCCCAAGCTATATTTTATAGAATGAAAGAAACTTATATCCTTAAAGCTGGTGGCAAAACAATATTTTGTACTTGTATTTTTAATCAAAACAAACCCATACTGTCACTTGATCAATTACTTAAAGTAAAAGGAATCAAGTCAAATCCCACCAAAAACGTTGAAAGTACTAATATATATAGTTAAAATATAGTATTAAGAAAAAAATCCTTGCCATCAGCTCAAATAATTTAAAATTTCTGATATATTTACTTACAAAAATAGCAATCTCACATAGTTCAAACTAATAGAACATTTTTCTTCAAATATGATGTTACTCCAAGAATAGTGCAATGTGAATGCATATGTATATGGAAACAGAAAAACTATATATATATATATACACACATAGATGGTAAAATATTCATCAAAATGGCCAAAAACACAGAAAATTTATTTTAAAATTCTTAGATTTTTGTAAAAAGTCATTTTGTACAATCTTTTTTCCTAATTCAAGTCTGCAAGCTTTTTCTATAAAGAGGCTTATAGTAAATATTTTGGGCTTTGTAGGCCATTGGTCTCTACTGCAACTACTTAACTCTGCCACTGTAGCTCTAAAGGAGCCACATAATATTTAAATGAATGGGTGCAGCTGTGTTCCAATAAAACTTTATTTAAAATACTGACATTGTGGCTGTGGGCTGTAGTTTACTGATCCCTATTTATTCATCTTCCCAATTTATCACCCTTTCTTTAGTTTATAAATAACAGCTTTATTCTCCAAATCATCATTCTGTTAGATAAATTCTCATATTCAAGTATTCTATATTTCAAGTATTTGTTCTGAAGGTAAAACATGGTTCAATATTTAAGGAAATAAATACATATATTTATAAATACTATAAATTACATATATTTATAAACTTTGTGTATCTACATATATATGTTCTATGACCCACATTAGGCCTTCAGTTTATACAAAATAACTTGTGAATATGGTGCACACTGCTGGCTGATCCCCCACCCACACACTGTGCATGCTGTAGGAGACCCAGATTCTGAAGAAATTCCTGCTATGACGTTGGGGCATTGCGGTTTTCCACTACTGTTTCCTGCCACTAGCATCTTCCTTTCTTTTTAACATTGATCGTGACTCAAACTAAAACAATGTGAGAATTAATACATGACAAAGACAGCAGTTGGAGTTAGGTTTGAACCACACTAATTCCATGTTAAGTGAAATATTGTCTCCTGACCAGAACAAGAGAAGCAGCTGCTGAGGGTTGGCCTAGTTCCTACATGGAAGCATAGGGAGCTCGGTGTTTTCTTGCTAAGAGTGACTGCAGTGAAGTGCTCAGAACGGTTAAAGAAAACAAAGTCAATTCTACTCAAATAAATTACAACAGCTGAACCTGGTGGACCAGGACATCTTATTCTTTTAAGGCAGGATGGATGAAACCTGTATGTAAGCTAAGGAAATTGTGCTTCTTCTAACTTCTACTATTTATTTTATGAATAGACCATATATTTAAATAAGATTTTCTCCCATTTCATTTAATCCTTACAACAACTCTGTTGAGGAAACTGAGCCTGAGAGGTTCTTTCTTGCCTGAAGGCACCTAGGGTCAGGTCCCAGCAAGGATTAGAGTCCCAACTTCCTAACCCCAACCCTGTCCTTCTACCATTATGTAACACTCCCAGAATTAGCCAAAATTATGTACACCAGAGATAACCATGATAGTCCTCGATTTTTGCACCTTGTTCAAGCCTGAACCAATTCTAATCAGGGCTGATAGCACTTTTGTAAGTTCCAACACACTGTTGGGGGACATGGAGTGGTCTCACTGGCCTTTCTCCATCCTCTGCTATGTGTACCTGGTGGCCCCTTCTTGGGGAACCTCCCTGACCCCTACCTACCTCCCAGGTAAGATTAAGTTCCCCCTTTGATGCTACCATAAGATCCCTTGCATTAGTTCATTAGTGTCCTCACCACATTGTTTATAACAATCCATCCATGGATTTGTGTTCCCCATCAGATTGCAAGTTCCTTGAAGACAGAAATAATATCGTAATCATCATTACCTGAAGTAGCTAGCAAAACATTGCACTGTATTAGGTATTTAATAAATGTCAAATAAATAAATAAATAAATGGGCTATGACCACTACTCCCACTGTGCCTGATATGTCACCCTGAATTGCAGCCTGCTGGCGTGAACACCAACCCTCCTTTAAGCTTCTCTAATTCCTTCTTCTGGAATTCTGAGCCTGGCCCTGTATTGTCAACAATATTGTAGGTTTTGGTTAAAATCAGATGGCCCAAGATATAGCCACCAGTCGAACTTAGAGTAATGTCACATTCTTCTGATCCTGCTGCTGTGCCCACATGTGATTTGATCCTTTAGGGAGCAACAGGCAGGTGGGCCAGTCAACACCATAAATTAGATCTGCGGCCACACCTGTCAGAGGCCAGCCTAGTAGCTATAACAGTCTCCAAGTGCCAGCCCTGCCCAGTCTAAATTGCCTACCAAGTGATCTCAACTAGCATATACTACTGAGGTTCCAGAATGCCCTAGATCAAACCTTACCGGATTACTTATAATACGCGTCAGCTGCCTGTAGAGCTCAAGGTCATATTAACTTTACCTTGCTTAAAGTAATAATTTCATATTCAAAAGAAAGATTCCCTTGTTTCAGGACAAAAGTGGCTTTACCTGAAGATCCCGCAATGTAGACTCATGAGTGTGGGCATCACCTTCCAGAACTGAGTATTGGTCAAGCTTTTCTTGTTCTTGCCCCAGCCAAACCTCAAATGCCTTTAAGTCTCTCTGATACTCTTGGTGCAGGCGAACAAGTTTTTCAGACTTGGTTACTGCTTCCTATAATCAGCATTTAAAATCATTAAGATAGGAATACATTACTACACATAGCGTCAATGTGCTGTAAGAGTTCACTTTTTGAATTTTAGAAAAGCACAATCACTAAATCATTGGCATATGAATGATTTCCTAGCAGAATGAACCTTCAAGATTTATGTAAAAAATGTAAACACATATTTCAGGATTAAAAGGGATCTTAAAGATTATTTTGTTGAATTAACTACTTGATCTCAAAATTCCTTATAAAATGTAACAAGCATGCAAAAAATGAATTTCCTTTTTATAAAAATTCCCTTTTGCTAATGAAAAAAATTGAGATTATTATGCTTTAAATGAGGATTTGGACTCACTGTAGATTTAATTTTTCATGTGCTTTGTCTAGTAGAATGTGCTCTGAAAAAAGTATTTTTATTTTGTGAGGCCTAAATGAAGGGTGATAAATATGACTGGTGTTTATTTCCTACTTCAGAAATGTCTCATCACCAGATGTAATAAGGCATTGATGAGTCTTCATTATAAAGCTGGTCTAAATTTTTGTTAAATTAGTGTATTTTTAAGAATTTTAAATTAAGAATTATTTTACTTTAGTGACTTTCATATACTAACAATATTTGAAAGTTTTTGCTTGGTTTTGCCAGGGATACCTTTAAAATAATAAAATGCATTTTGCTTCTTATGTTCTGTTTTCACAAGCATTTTGTTCTCAAAAAAAAAAAAAGAGTCTTTAAACAGCACAGTTCCAAACACTCCTATGGTGGTGAGTCTGCAAGGAGCCTGGTCAGCCCTACCTTGGCCCTCTCTTTGACGTCTCTGTACCGTTCCTGTAGATCCTGGAGCTCCAGCTGGGTGACATAGTGCTCCGTCATGCCAGCCCCTTTGACTTCGATGGTCTCCAGTAAGCTGCTGTGACTCAGTACTTCTTCATTTAATAACTAGAGAGCATTTTTGAAAAATAAAGGAGTTACCCATGTACTGTCACAGCAATCATAACCATATAGTTGACAAGTGACCTTTGGTTATCCACCTATCTATCTATCCATTTATCTATCTGAGATGGATAAATGGATGTGTATTGATGTGTGTATCTGTGTGTTTGTGTGTGTGTGTCTGTATTTGGTATCTGGTCCAGAACTTTCTCTAAGATATGAATTCCCAATTACCTACTTTATATCTCTACTTGGATTTCTCAAACCTATTATGTCCAGAAATAGGCTCCTGGTTTCCACCCCATTCTGCCCCAGCACCCACCAAACCCCCTTTTCATTCAGTATTTTTTTCAAACAGTAAATACCACCACCTCCCACCCTGATGTTCAATCCAGCATGCTGGAATGTTCCAGAACCCTCCTAGCTCTCCGTCCTCCTATCCATCATGAAATCCTGCTAGTTCCACCTTCCCATTACATTTTGACGTCTTTCCTTATATCTCCCCAGCCCAGGCTGCCCTCATCTTTGCAGTGGTCTCCTAGGCAGATTCCCAGCTACCATTCTTGCCCTACCCCTTATTCCACACTCTACCTAGCAACCTAAGGGATAAAATGTCGTAGGATTAAAAATGGAATTATGTGGCTCCTTAGCTTAAAACATGGATTATCTTCCTAACACTGTCAGGATCAAGTGGAAAATCCTCAGGGCAGCGGACGTGGCGACACAGGATCAGGTCCCTGCCACCTTCCACACCCCTTGCAGCACCTCCCCTGCTTACTCTCTGCAGCAGCAACTGCTGCCTACTGCACCGGGTTCTCCCTCCTCAGGGCCTGTGGACACACTGTTTATTCCATCTAGAATGCTAGAATCCTCCCCACACTGATTTCTCTGCATTAAATCCTTTAGAGGGTGTAGTCTAATGTCCAATGTTTCAGAGAGGCCTTTCCTGTCTTTACCTCATGGCCCTAAACCATCTATATTAGCCTTTTCCCCATTACTTTCTCTCATACCACACCACTTTTTTTCTTCACAGTACTTACCAGTGAGAATTATTTACTTATTTGTGCATTTATTGCTGAGTGGGTGTGTTCCCACCAGCACACAGCCCTCGCCTGTTTTATTTGCCTAGAATCAGGCACAAAGCCCCCTGCATACAGCAACTTCTCAATAAATATCGATTAAATAGATGAATAATTTAATGTATTGAGCAATTAATAATTATTACAGATAATAAATAGAATGATGCAGATAATTATGATTATGTTAATTTACAGATGCATAAATCAGACCTAGAACTATTAAGCACCTTGGCATTGGTTACATTTAGTTACTCAAATAACTTTTATTCAGCATTTGCTGAGACAAAGAGCCATATCCTGAGGATGGAAAGAAAATTAAGCATCTCCAGCCACGGAGGGAAAGGGACAGGTAAGCACATATCCTATAAGATTAATAAACAGCTATGAACCAAGGGCCATGAAAGAAGAGAACAACCAATCGAGCCTAGGGTGGTGGTGGGGATGGCAAGTCACAGCCAAAATGACTTGTGAACTGGCTCAGAAAGGCGAGCAGGGGGGTTGCCAGGGGCTGAGGCAGAGCAAGGACGTTCTGTGAAAAGGGAAGGAGTTCTGCAAAGGCACGGGGTTGTAAAGACTGGGGCGGGTTTAGGAAATAGCATGAGATTCAGTCAGGCTGCAGAGAGGAAGGGAGGAGGGCAGGAGTGAAGGATATGAGGATGAGGACGACAAGAGGAGACTATGACCATTCTTACAAACCAGGTGGGGAGATTGGGATTAAACTGTAGGTGATCACAAGCCAACAGGGGCTCTTAAGCAGGTAAGTAAGTGAGACTTTCACCCTTATGTGAAGATAGCAGTAGATGGAAACAAGCAACAAGGTGAAAGATTAGGGGTCTGCTCCAATTCAGATGAAGAGGACAGATCAGCAGAACCTAATACCTGACGCAGAGTCAGAACGAGAAACAAGACGCTGGGACAACCAGGTGTCTGATTTAATGTACTCACGGTGACTAGATACAAATTAACAGAAATGGAGAATACAAGAGCTTGAAGGATTTCTGCATAGCAGATAATAAGTACTGCTGAGGATACGACAAAATTGCGATGGAATAGACCATCCAATGAACATGCCTTGGAGTAAGGCTGCCCCTATAAACCAAAAGTCTCCAAAGCTTTATGTTTGAATCCTACTGTTAATAAAAGAGTTTTAAGAATGCATTCTTAATATTTATTTATATATTATAAAAATCTTTACATGCAGTACTGTATGAGTATGATCACTGTGAAAAATGCACAAAAGTAGCAATACGAGAGGATGTGATAAAAAGAAAGCCTTTTGACTTCCAAATGGGCAGTCTGAAGATATTGAAAGATGTTGTCACAAGGTGCTAATTTTTAAATGGCCTATATTATAAAACATGACTCTACATGGTTTTCCTGGAAGAGAAAAATTTCACTTACTAACAAAATAACCACAAATAAAAGTCCAGTTTAAGAAGCCATTAGAAATTATAGCACAGGCCCCAAATACAATTTACTTATCTGTACAGCCCTGGCATATGGGTCATCATATTTTCGTCTGACTGTGGCATTCTAAAGGGGCCTGTAAGAGAACAAATGGAATCTGAAATTCGGCTCTAACCTTGGCTTTTCCGAGAGCAGCTGTTTTCTCCCGCAGTTCCGCACACTGCCTTTCCGATTCATTCAGGCTGGCTTCCACACCGTCCATCCAACTGGAAAACTGTCGAACATCATCCTGATAACTTGTCCATTTAGAAAGGGCGCCTTCGAGTTGACTGAAAGGGAAGTGAAAAGACAACAGTCTATATGGAGAATCCTTATGAGTCTAAAATCTGTCAGTGTGTGCTCCGGCCACTCCAGCCAGCAGGGCGTCCAGAGACCAGGAAAGGGGCTGGCTTGGGCCTGGGCAGGCTGGGCAGCTCTCATCAACTCTGAGTCCAGTACTGTCGCAAGGACAGGTTCAGGAAGCAAGTTAAACAGAGGCCGATAGGCAGAAAAGTGGGACTGGGTACAAACCCAAAAGTCAGTGGCCAGAGGACACCAGACACGGGGAGAGGCCTGAAGGAGAAACAGAGGGAGATTCCCGAGTGGGCCTTTTCCCAAGCCAAAGCTCTGTGCAGGGGAGAACCAACACTTAACTTCATCAAGTTGAGCAGGGCATGCAGAGCAGGAGAGGAGCAAAATGAATTACTAAAACAAGGAAGGAAGAACCGGGGAAGAATAAGCACAGTGACCACCTTGCATGAGATTTAAAAATCTGAAAATCACAATGGAAAAATAAGGTAACATTTCCTGAATTGGTCTGAATATTAAAACTTAACTATTTCTCTTTTAGATAAGTTAAATATTTTCTTGTGTTAGTATGAATGCTATAAGTTTAATGACATTAGTCATTTGTGCTCAACTTTACTGCCATGTTTGGGTAATTTTGCAGCAGATACTGTCAGTTCCCTCCCACCATACACACCTTCAGACCCTGGCACTGCAGCATGTTGCCAATTGGGCTCCCAATTGCTCCTTCCTAGATCTCTTAGCTTGAGGACACGCCGATGTACTCTCAGCTCTAGGGCAGCGTAGGCAAGAAGTACCTGGGGAGTGTCACCCTCATGGGCAGCCCTCAGCTGTCCTCCTGACTCACGGGAGTTTGTTTCCAAATGCCCCAGCTCCCCTGCCCTTGGGTACAAAATCTCTGAGGCACATGCTCTAAATCGGCTCCCAGCTGGATTAAGTTCCAGTTGCCCACTATGGTAACTTGTTTGATACTATACCCTTTCCTGGCTGCCCCATTCCTCACTTCTTTCCCTCTCTCCCACTGGTATTTCCTGGGGTTACCTCCCAAGGAAATGGTTCAGTTTTAATCAATATATCTTTACATTATGAAACATCTATTCATGTTTTTTTTTGTTTTTTAAGCAGTGAACAACAACAAGAGACATGCATTTTTAGTTATATTAAATCACAGGCATAGTATTTCAGGTCAATGTGAATGTAAGATTATATCTGCCAGTTTCTTTTATTCTAAAAAATAAAAGGAAGGAAGGAAAGAAAGAGAGAAAGGGAGGGAGGGAAGGAAGAAAGGAGGGGAAGAAGGAGGGAAAGAAGGGAGGGAGGAAGGAATAAGGGAAAGAGAACCATAAGAACAGTCTGTGACTGCAGTATTGTACTGATCTTTTACTAATGGCTTGCTAGTGCCTGGCTGTGATTCCCCTTACCTTTTACAACGAATCCCTGCAGACGAAAGAGCTGCCCACATATCCTTCACACTCTGCAGCTGCTGCTGAACAGCAGGAATGCCTTCTGGAGAGGTATTCTGAAGGACAGATTCTCCCCTGGTCAGTATCATTTTCATCTGAATCTCTTTTTCCTGTTTCACTGATAATAGAGCCTATAGAAGCAAACACAGAAACACTTTGCCATTTGCATGTTTAACATCTCTGGCTTTAAATATTTCAGAGCCCCTGAAGACAGCAGAACAAGAGGCAGTTGGGTTGCACCCGCCCTGGAGCTCTCTGGCTGCTGAAATGGAGGGTGGAGAAGTTGCTGGTTGGTGAGCGCCAGTCAGCAGCCACCTGCTGATCTCCAAGGGGCCTTGGCTTTGCAAGTCTTGAGTCTGAATAACCCCTTTCTTTCAATGAAGTTTTACTTCACTGGTTTTAACAAGGGAAAAAGATACTACAGTAGGATTCATGAATTCTCAAAGGTCGTGGGATGAAGAGTTTATAAGTGTTAAGGTCTCTAGCACAACAACCTATAGAAATAGATGATACATTTTAAGTTATTCCTAACTCCTATTGTTTTCCTATATGAGAAGGAAACTTTAATTCAAAGTTTTAAAATGGGGAGTGTCACCTATAAGATAAAGCTTCATCTCTTTCTAATGTGGATCTTGCCAGTTTCCAGAGACTCAGCTTCAGCCACCATTGCTACCATTTTCTGCTGCAGCAGTCTGCCACACACCATGCTGTTTCTTCCCTCTGGCTTTTGCTCACACTTTTCCCCTCCCTGCTACCACTCACAAATCTCCACCCAGTCATTGTTGCCAGGGTAACTCCCTCCATCATTCTTAAAATCTCTGTTTAGCAAGTAGACTTCCTAAGAAATCTGCTCCAGCGTTCAACCCATCACTTCTTCCCAGTTGCACTCCTCTGTCTTTAGCACCATAAGCATATCTGTAGTTGTTATTACTGTTCTCTGTATTTCAATCTCCAGGCCCAGAAAATAAAGTCCTTGAGGGCGAATGCCAGATTTTATTCATCTTTGATTTGTTGGTACCAAGACAGACTGCCAGTCTTCTAGAAGGTACTCCATATATCAACGAATGCAGATTAATCATTTTCACCACAAATGCAAAATTGAACTTTTGCATTTATGATGCAAATTTTGGGATGGGAGAAGGATGAACTAGATGATACAGGCAGGCAAGTGAGCTGAGTAAGATGGGAAATGTTTTGACATTCAAAATATTTTCTCAAAAATAATTGTGAGGTAATATGAAATTAATCTCTTATTTGGCTATCAAGCAAGTAACCACATTATGGTTTGATTACATTTTTTGGAAAAAAATTATGAGTGAATATGTCTAGAGTCAAATAATTCAGGAACACTCAGGCATGTCCACCCAAGGTGGATAGGATCACACCGGCAAGGCATGTCCACCCAAGGTGGACAGGATCACACTGGTCATGGGGAGACTGTGACATCACCACACCAGGCAGATGGAGATGGGAAATGTTGAAAAAAACAAATGCTGTAAAGTTGGAAATGTTTCTCTACACATGCACACCTCAAGCTTGAGTATTCTGCTGTCCAGGACGCTTTTGTCAGATGTCGGGTGGCAGTAAGAATCCAGCATGTGAACCACATCTGTCATCCAGTCTTGCAACTCTTTAATGCCAAGAGAGAACTGATTGTGCTCCGCAACAATTCTATCCAGTCTTGACACTTTCTCCTGGAAACAACAGAAATGGTTTTCGAGCTGTCCATTCCACAGAGACTCAAATCCTAAAGCTAATGGTTTTATGGAATAACTACAATCAGTCAGAGCTTCATGTGTTGCATACATGATGCAAGTCTGCACTCATTTTATGAGATATGTGAACTATCTTTCTAAATAGTAAGATTATTAAAATAACTGGGCCAAAAAGCAGAAAAATTACAATTTACTGCCCCTCACCTTCTTTATGACAGTTGTGATTTTTTTAATCAGTAAGCTTTCTGCCTAATGCCTTGTCTGGGAGGGGAATCAAAGTAGTTTCTGAGATTTTATAATATCTCTCAATTTTAACACTTGGAACCATACACGTGGTTTTGCTTATTAATTACATTTCATATCCAACACCGTGAAGACTTTATAATAGTCTATAGCTCTTAAAGCATTAAAATATCTACTACTTACTGGTATCTAAATAAATATAAAGGGATAGAAATGTCCTTTATTCATTTTAAAATGATACATTTTTCACCATAGTTCATTGGATATGACAGACTTTCTAAAGCGAGAAAAAAGTAACATTCATAGAACAAACATGGCTGTAAATATAGACTGTTTACTTGAAGATCTATACTAGTGTGACTACCTTAATAATGTATTATTGATGGCCCAGATTAGCAGATGAGAAGTTAGTCAACACTAAAATAGATGAAGTTAAATTAAAGACCAAATTACAGTAGGTTTCTCAAATTCTAACATCTGAAATTTTAAAATATAGGAAACAAATGTTACAAGGCACATAAAGCTCAGGATAAACCTGTGTCCTAAAGTTCAAGATGGGTCTGCATTACACTAGCTGAATGCTCTAAACGAGGTCACAGTGGAACTCTGTTGACTTTTTCCTAAGCTGTTTAAAAAGAGATTTAATCAGTTAGGTGAATCAGTGCCAATTGTGAGCTCTGCTCTGGAATCTGAACTGAAACTCTCAATCAACACACCCTTGACTACTATATAATGAATATAAGAAATTTAGACTAATTTTTTTCAAACTACCTTTATATTTAGTTCCATAAAATTTATATTGCTTTGGATTCATGTTTTTCTAAAGTAATTTAATCTGAGAACAAAAACTCTGAGTTTTGCCTTATGTTTATGCTTTGAGTCTTCAAAGTCAGAGCCCTGGGAAACATATCATTTCAGTAGTAAAAGGGATATTTTGTGCAATAAGAGATTGGAAGTCTCTTCAATCTTTGAAACCTCCTTTGGTGTTTTCAGAGACCCAGGTTAAGCTTCTGTCACGCAAATGATTAACTTGGACTGCAAGGCTGGGGACACAGCACTCACGCGCCTCATTGCTGAGGCGAGACACAGCCCGGGGCGTGTCGGGATGGGTGCCCTGCACAACCTGTGGCAACTGCAGTTTTGCGACATCAGTATCACACTCACGCACAGACATGCCAGGCGTTACCTTGGTTAAATTGCTTAGCGCTAGATACTGCGAAGACAGCTGCGACACTCTGTGCCTAAAGCTCTTGCTGGCAGCTTGTCCTTCGCACAGCTGCTGAGCTTTCTCTTTCAGCCTGTGGAGCTGAGGCTCGTAGCAGTGTATTTCCTCAAGGACAGACTGAAAAGCACAAGCAAGTCACAATTGAGAGGCCAGGGGGAAAGCACATGGCACACGAAGCTCTGGACCAAAGAACGTGGAAATCAACATGGGCAAGCCATCCATCGGAGTACCCTGAAGGCTTTGTTATTTCTGACCTCCACGCAGTGGAGCACCATAGGAAGGAAACAAATCATACATCAAAGGAAAGTTAGAAAACATAAAATGTGTCAGAAATGGGGAAAGGACACACACGGCATCTCCCAGCGGCACAGTCTAACTTGGGGTGCTCAGCATGCACCTGCTCTCATGGGCGTACAGGGGGCCGGACAGAGGTGTGGCCTCGTCACCTGGAGTTTCTGCTGCTCTCTCCTCTTGGCCGGCAGGTCGTAGAGGCGACTGCTGCTTTCATGCACCATCTGCTCTGTCTTACTCAGCCAGGCCTGGACGGGCTCAGCACTTACTTCAAAGTCCTTCATTTGGATCTTTAGATTCTACAAGGTTTTAGATAGTGTCAAGAGCAAGAGAATATTTTAATAGCAAGTCTGGAGTCCTTAGGTTGGCATTCAAAGCCCACTCCAACCTGGCCCCTCTCCTCCCTTTCTGCCCTTTTCTCAATGTCTGGAATATTCCATTATTCACCTGGGCACTAACTAATTAGTGGGGTCACTAAACAGGGCAAAGTGAGGGAGTGTGATGAGGAATTTAGAATCTGCAAAGAAAAGAGACTGAGGGACAGAGCATTAGGGGATCAGTCCAGGGTCTAATACAGAAAGAAGCTGGGTTATTTTCTTAAGGAGTGCAGTCACAGATCTGAGCACAAGTCCTGGGTAATCAGAACAAGGATGAGCTTGATATTAAGTTCTAACGTTCCTCCTAAACTCCAGAAGTTCCTCATGTACTTTCTACCTACAGGGGTGGGTAGGCATCCCACTGATGTTCACTCTGCATGTTTTCCAATGATGTCTACCATGGCTTCATGACCACCTATGAACTCTCAAAGCCCCACATTTATAGAGCTGTGTGTACACGACAGTTGGAGACCAAGTGCCTGGGTTTGAACTTGTCTCTGTCACTTAGTAGCTGTGAGACCTTGGCAGGTTATTGAATCAGCTTGGGCCTTACGTGCTCCATCCACAGAACAGTGATAGGCAAGCTCCTACCTCTGTGAATAGTTAAGAGGGTCAAATTCAGATTACTATACATTAAGTGCCTGTGACAGTGTCCAGCATGAGTGATTTTCCATTATCACTGATACACATTTATCATTTCTCTAAAGCTCTGCATTCACGTTAACCGCTACCTCTTGGTCATTAGCTCCTAAATGTCTGGAAGGCACATCAAATTTAATGTACGTTAAACTGAATGAATTTTTGTTACCCCTCCAAAACTACTTTTCCTACCATATGTATGTCTCAGATAATGGTATCACCATTCATGCCATCTTCCAAATTAGAAACTGAGGACTCAAACTTAACTTCTCTTTCTTTTCTATGCTCTTCGTCTAATTAGTCACCAAGTCCTATTGTGTTTTAAGAGATTCTTCATCCTGTTATTATTTTCTTCATGCCAGCCCTGGTCTCTGTCATCTGGATCACTATGAAAAGGTTTCTCTGTCTCTCACTAACTTACTATTCCCTGTCCTGGTTTACACTGTGGTCAGAGAACTGACATGTTTATCTCCAGCTAAAAGACCTACAGATTCCTCACTCGGCCTTTCCCAACCAGGTTCTGAGAGAATCAAGTCCTAGTGCCCTAAAGCATCCATTGAATGTAATGAATTAACTTCTCTCATATGTGATTAGAATAGTAAGGATTATGTTTTATCTTTGGGAAAACTGTGTCTGGGATTCAAATGAGAAACCCCAGGGTGAGAGACAAGGTGAAATTGCTTAGCACACAAGACATTTCACTGCCTGATCCTAATCCTATCTCTGTTGCTCTTCTTGCAAAACCCTATGTTGGTGTCAAACTTCTCAAAGTTTCCCATTCATAGTTGTAGCCGTGTGCATTCAATTCCTTCCATGTGAAATGCATGTCAACTTTAGCAAATTCAAAGAACACTTAGCCATCAAGATTCAGTTAAAATGTGACCTCTCTGGAAACTTTCCTTGGTTTCTTCAAATAGAACTAGTCGCATCTTTCTATGACTGACTACTAACCCCTGAACATACATATATTATGTTGCAATAATTTTTTATATACTGTTTCTGCTCTAGAAAGTGTACTTCTTGAGGCAAGGCAAAAGACTAACCCACTTGTATTCTTTCCATAGTGCCTGGCACATAATAGGCATTATTACGTATCTAGTCCTAATAAGAAGGAGAGAGAAAAGGAGGAAGGGAGGAATAAATTTAAAAAGTTACACTTAATCATGAGGGAAACAACAGATTAAGAAAACAGGCAATTCATGACCTGCTTGCCTACTTTTGCGCATCTCTTGAACTAGGCAATCTTGCGATCAATGCTAGACATACTAAACTCAACAGCTGACACTTCAGAGCTCAAGCCACATTGCATTAATGATTCCTGCAGAGTTAACTGTAGATTTCTAGGCACTACACAGTGGTTATCACTCTATTAAGTGGAGGATGCCTGCCCTGAAAGAACAGCCATGGTTACAAAAGAGAACTAGATCGTCTTGGGTTAGAAAAGAATTGAGGAAATATACATTTTCTCTTACTGAATATTAATCCCCTATTACCTTTTTCCAACCTGCATTAATTATGGTCATAATCAAATGAAGACTCTATTCCGCCAGGAAGTATTGTTTTAAAAGGAAAAGATACTCTCCATGCCTCTAAAATTTTCCTCTACGAAAAGAGTTGCTACATACAATAGATGCTCTCAGAAGAAAAAAAAATTATTACTGCAATAATTCTTTTATGGTTATGATACATTCAGCTTACATTGCCTCTGAAGAAAATATTGAGGCTTTTTAAATGAACGATTAAGTGCTATGCTGAAATGTAAAGCGGGCTGTCTGGAGGGGCGAGTCTGTGACAACAGACCCCACCATGCAAGAAGCTACTCAAGTCCTCAGGGAGGCTCCCTCTGCGAGCATTGAGCTACTGCACAGTTATCCAGTTGTCCATTTATATTCAAAGAGGGATGAGAAAAGTCATCAATCTTGGCACTCGGTTATACGGAAACTGTGCTTTAATTAACAACAACAACAAACAACACAGAACATGTCCACGTGGTGGGCTATGCTATATATACCTCTAGGGCAGATTCCTTTTGGTGGAGATTTGAGTGAAAATTTTTCCAATCTTCTTTCGCAGTTGCAACTTTGGCCTGGATCCCTTTAGCTTTCTCTTTGGTCAACAGAGTACTCAGAAGTTCTCCTTTAGACACCATCATGTTTAGCTTATGCTGTCCATTCTCACTTTCAGACAAAAACTCCTATAAATAAAAAAATATAAAATTAAGCACAATAAAACGCTCTATGCTTTAAAATACGTCAATTTTCCTACATATTCCTCATTAAAATCAAAGAAAAGAAATAAGCTATTTTAATCATATATGTTAAAGGGCCCAGGTCTTCCTTTAGTAGTCCAGTTGCAAATTATTTTATTTACTAATCTAAATTCTGACTTGTCCCAAAAATGTTATGAGCTGTCTCATATAATATTTACAATTAGATAAAAATAAACAGGAGAAGAAATGAGTACCAAGGAAAAATAAGAATTATAAAATAAAATAGACTCTGGCTAAGATTAGTTTACAAAATAAAAGCCATATGATTCTGTATTATTGATGGAGTTGGATTATGACTTTGGCTCTGAGGATCCTAGCTGCGAAAGCAAAAGAGTAAACACAACCAGGTACACAACTCACATATGATAAAAACAAACCATCGGCTCAGCAGAAGCAGAATTATTCTTAGAAAGAAAGAGGATGTGAATTTTTCTGGGTACTCTTAATAAAGCAAATGCTATTATATGGTGTAGATTACAGTTTTAGTGATAGTTTACCAAAAAATGACAAGAGGCAGGGCGCAGTGGCTCATGACTATAATCTTATCACTTTGGGAGGCAAAGGTGGGAAGACTGCTTGAGGCCTGGAGTTTAAGACCAGACTGGGCAATATAACAAGACCCCTTCTCTACAAAAAATTCAAAAATTAGCTGGGCTCTCTGTAATCCTAGCACTCTGGGAGGCCGAGGCGGGCAGATCACTCAAGGTCAGGAGTTTGAAACCAGCCTGAGCAAGAGCGAGACCCCATCTCTACTAAAAAGAGAAAGAAATTAATTGGCCAACTAAAAATATATAGAAAAAATTAGTGGGGCATGGTGGTGCATGCCTGTAGTCCCAGTTACTCGGGAGGCTGAGGCAGAAGGATTGCTTGAGCCCAGGAGTTTGAGATTGCTGAGAGCTAGGTTGATGCCACGGCATTCTAGCCCAGGCAACAGAGCGAGACTCTGTCTCAAAAAAAAAAAAAAAAAATAGCTGGGCACAGAGGTGAGCACTTGTAGTTCCAGCTGCTTAAGAAGCTGAGGTGGAATGATTGCTTGAGCTCAAGAGTTTGAGACTGTAGTGAGCTATGATTGCACCACTGTACTCCAGCCTGGGTGACAGAGGGAGACCCTATCTCTAAAAAAATAAAATAAAATACAACAAAGTGTTTCATAGGGTTGTCCTTATGATAGACAAGTCAATGACATAATGCCAAAGTATAATTTAATAGAGTGTTGCCAAAGTGTGTACTTTTCCCAACATCTATCTAGATCCAAGAATATAATCTTGGCTGGGCATGGCGGCTCATGCCTGTAATTCTAGCACTGTGGGAGGCTGAGGTAGGAGGATCACTTGAGGTCAGGAGTTCAAGACCAGCCTGAGCAAGAGCAGCGAGACCCTGTCTCTACTAAAAATTAGCTGGGCATGGGTGATGCACACCAGTAGTCCCAGCTACTTAACAGGCAGAGGCAGGAGAATGGCTTGAGCCAGGAGTTGAGGTTGCTGTGAGCTAGACTGACACCACAACACTCTAGCCCAGGTGACAGACCGAGACTTAGTCTCAAAAAAAAAAAAAAAAAAAAAAAAAAAGAATATAATCTTTCTCTAGAAAAATAGGTAGATTCTGTATGTATTCTACAGTTAACTCCCATTAATATTTTCAAATGTTAGAGAAGAAATGGAAAGCCCAGACTCAAGGTTATTTATTCTGACAGGAAACAGAAGCATAGATATTCTATGTTGTGGATTTTGTTTGAAGGAACCTCACCAGGATGTTTGTCTCCATGGATGGCCACCCCCGTACATGGAGCTATGCTGAGGTGGGAGGGCCAGAGAAGAGGCCAAAGCTTGTCCTCAAAAATAGTGCTGGGTTTCTCGAACACCAATAGGTGAATGAGGTTTCAAAATTCTACCCCTTAACCCGAACAAAATTGGAAGAATTTTAAATGGAGCAACTTTTCAAAGCAAGAGTTATCCTATTATATTATGAACCAAGAATTCAAATTGGTGAAAAAAAATCTGGGTAATACTGTTTAAGAGCCTGCTCCTGCTAGAAATACTTCAAGCATGAGCATGTATAAATAGTTTTCTATATACATATGCCCTCTGAAAAATATTCAAATTTCATCACTGATCTTTCGGGACTGCTAGTATATGGAATAAACAGACAAGTACAGGTCTGAAAAGCAGTTTCAACAACTGTGCCTAAAAAAGGCTGCTGTTGAAGGTATTATGTAGAATGGCACGATGAAGTTATAATTAGGGTAAAGGAAAGAACTAGAGAAAAAATTGAACAAACATAAAATTTACTTGTGATAGATAAATCTGGCTATTTTACACAGCAGCTCTGAAACCTCACTAAATTTCTTTTATACTATCTGTATACTTGGAATCATAATCTTAAGTACCTGATATACTTATTGTGAAAATTAAATGAGAAAATCCACTTAGGGTGCTTAGGCACAATTCAATGTTTGTCACATAGAAAGAGTTTTATTATTTCCTAAATCCTTATTCACATGTAAAAATAGTATGCACTTATATAAACAGACTAGTTTCTCTTCACATACAAAATCAACCATTTCAAGTGGGAATTTTTGTGAAATTTAAGTTTCTTAAGCAAAACTTTAATATGCAATGCACTAACAAAAAGATCTAGAGGTACCTTTTAAATGCTATTACTAGAATTAACCATTATTAAAATTAATTGATAATGCTCTTACCTGTATTTTATGAAGACTTGTTGAGACTTCACTAATATTTTGAGGTATATCAAAACATTTGGCGGTAGTGACTTTTGCATTAACCAACCACTGCTGGAAATCCTTCAAAGCTCTCCGAAATCTTTGCTGTAAAATCTTTTCTTTATTCTGGCAGCCCTTGGATGCTTGCAAACAAAGACTGAAAAAGTGATTTGACAATTTAATGGAGGAAAAAAATTGATAAAGTTGATTAAACTAATGTTTGATGGAATCAGTTCTTAGAATGATACTTACCTCATGTATTAATATATTTAATGCTTAATTAATATCATTTGGATATTATACCTTAAAATCAACCTCTAGCTTCTATCTGTATAAAAGTATTTTGCATACCAATAAAGTCCATGCTCACCAATTATATTCTTTAATCAAGCCAGAAACTTTCCCACTGTATGAACTCAGGTCTCTGGAAAATCGACAAAGTTCATTCAGCTGAGACTTGAGATCCTCTGTTCTAGGCTCTGCTTTTTGTAGAGCATCTAGTATCTCCTTTTAGGAAATAATAAGACAGAGAAGGGAGCATTTACATTGGGTCATTTTCATATCCTCATGCTATTCAGGCATAAATTATAATATAAATTTTTAGTAAGGGAGGAACCAACACAGTAGATTCAATAAAGAAATGAGGCCTATTTTCAGAATTCCTCTTGCAAATAACAGCACTCAGCTAATTTGTCTCCTTTTCTAGTTTTCTAACCATAGACAGACATTGTAGCATCAAATATGGTAGAGTAGTCAAATGATTAACTGGTCAAAGGACTGAAAATGAAACAAGAAAAAGAAAAGAGAACCCACATTGTTTAAAAACAGTTTGACTAGGTCATTGGGATATTTTATATATATATATATATATATGTATATATATGTGTATATATATATATATAGTTTAAAAGTAAAGATAAATCACTTCCAAAAAAAGCAACACTTATTTTGGATTAAAATGTATATAGCAATCAATTTTATGTAGCATATACAGGTAACATTTACATTAAGAATTTTTTATAATCCACAGGTCTGATTTAACTACTAATTCATTTATTTCATAGTTTCATTCATATAGCCATCAAATATTTGCTAAATGTCTGCTATATGCCAAGTATTTTGCTGGATTCTGGGACCCTGCCCACTTCCACCTGCCCAAATGAACAAAGGGAGACACATGAAAAACAGTGTACCTAATCCAAAATAAATTCTTAGGAACTGAAGAGTACACTTCTGAAATCAATGCCATGGTCAGCTGAGTTACACAAGGTGCTTTGCAATTAGAGTGTTCTTCTTACAGAGTTGTCACAAGAAGCAAATGAGATCACAAGTGACAAACACTTAGCACAATTTCTAATACACTAAGTGCCTCATTAGTGAAATCAGCAGGAAAATGACTCTGGAATATTTAAACACTATGTGAATAGTGCTATCACCAAAGCAATCAAATAAATTAAGGAGGAGGGACAAAAAGATGAGTAACTACTCAAATAGCTATTGCTGTTACTATTATTATTCTCAGAGATAGTTATCAAGAGATGGCCCAGATCTGTAGAGAAAGCACATCCCTCAACAAACCAGATCTGTGTTGCATCCTCATCCTGGTAAATGGCACCACTGTCCTCCTGCTGATATAAATGAGAAGACTGAACAGGACCTTGGCCTCTCCTTTTGTTTCTCTTCTCACTCCATGCAAGAGACACCCAGTCTAGCCTCCTCTGTGCCTTCGCTCATTTCATCACACCCGTCTTTGCCTCTGCATGCTGACTCTCACAGACCCATGGACGTCTCCACCATTTCTTTCTGGAATGGCACAGATTCCTCCTAATTTGCCTCCTGTCCTCTAGCTTCCTCTCCTGTGATTTCTCATTCCTCAGGAATGTTGCATTTTGGTGCTGTTCCCCTCTCTCACCTATCCAGTCAAGTGGTAATCATGCCCCAAGACTCAGCTCAAATAATGATTCCTCTAAGGCTCCTTTGTCTTCCCTCCCACCTCTTAGGGCTTCTCCTCTGAGAACACAGAGCACCTTGTGGGCGTTCACCACAAGAAGCAGCCCTCTGCCTCTGTACTTGTGTCTTTTCACCTAGACAGTGGTCATGAGAGTGGGGAGAGTGTTCTCTTGGTCTGCCAATTCTTTATTTAGCTCAGTGTCTGGGCTACAGGAGTCTAAAACATTTTCATTTATAAAAATTCATATATAACAACTAGTTTCTCTCTGAAACTCCAAATGCTAAGCTAAGAACAATTTATTTTATGTCATATTGAACCTTTTATTTAAGGGAGAGCATTATAAAATCTAAAGCAACTTACCACATACTAAAAAAGTAAAAGCACTGAGATTCAAGTCAGTCACTTATAAATTTGAGATGACATTAAAAATGAAAAGCTTTTGACCAAAACTTTACATTGAAAAAAATTTCTATAACTTCAACTTAAATTAAAACATGCCAGTAGAGTTTTTTATTATGTAAATATCAAGTTTTACATTTCTGATTTGGTTACATGCTAGAATGCATTTTCCCCCTTACACAGCTTAAGAAAACTGCTATATTTCTAATATTAATAATTGAATGAATATTAAGATAAACAAGTTTTACAAACACAGTAAACAGAATTTTTTGCCACATTATCTCATATAGTTTATAAATAATCTGTTTTTATACTTTAAAGGGTTTCTTGATATTGTCATTTAACTGCATAAAATAAATACTTGTGATTACTATTTTGATTGTCACCGACAAGGCCACCCTAATGGCAAAACAACGCCACAAGAACCCTAGCAAATGTACTATTTTATAAACATAAAATAATAGTTATAAAATAATAATAACTGAAGTATTATCTCCACTTTTAGATAAAATTCCATTATTAGAAATAAAAGAAAATATGAATGTTGAGAGAAAATGTAGTATTGTCCTCAAAAACGTTGGCTCTAGAGTCAAATCCAGAAGTGGACCTAAGTAGAAGGCTGACATCCTTGAATTGTTAGAACTATAATAAAAGCTCATATTTACTATTGCATTATCATATGTATTTTTATAGGCCTCACTTATTATTTTCACTAATAGTATCAGTGTAAGAAATAGCAATAACTGAGAATAGCATTATAACCTAGGTAGAACCAAATCTTTCTTTTTTAAAAATTTCACTCATGTTAATGAAATGGAAAGAAAGGGAAATGAAAAGATGCCAAAATAGCGTAACTGATTTGTTCATATCAGAACCACATGGAACAATTACCAACTTCTCTGTCCCTGACTCACAGAACTGATTTCCAAGCTTTAGTCTGGTGTGTAACCCTAAAGGACAGGAAACGCATCAGAACAACAAAAACAAAAAACCTACAAACATTATAAATAAAACAGCATAAAGAGATAATTGTAAAGTTTCAATTTATGATGTGCTAAATTTGTTTCAAATACTTGGTTTAAAACAAGACAATGCTGGAAATACTACAGGACTTTCCTACTGGCTGGAGCTATTTTGAAATGATTATAATATAAATAGAAGCAGAGAAGTTTACTAAACTTCCTTTTAAGGACATCCATGATTCAGGGCATTATAAATTTGCAAATATTGAAGAGGCTTTCAAAGATACCATTTAACAGGGAAAAAAAAAGAAAGAAAAAGAAGAAAATGCCAAGCTCCTTTGCCCACTCTGCACTATCCCTGGTGTGTGTTTCCCTTTCTCACAGTTTGAAGAAGCTGCCATTAGTTAAAAAAAAAAAAAAAAAGGCCGGGAAGGCAACAGGGTGCATGACGTAGGAGTCCCGTTAATGGGCTAATTCAAGTACAGCTGTTAAAACCACACAGAGGAGCGCTAATCAGGAAGAAAACTATTAGTTGTGCTTTAGCAGATTACCAAATGAGTCTTTCAGAGCCATAAATTCAATCATTTAATTGCTTGAAAGAGTTAACTGGCAAGGAAACAAATATGACTCTCTGTCTATTTATGCCTCAGCCCACAGGCTATTTTTCAGACTGCATGGCTGAATACACTATTGCAAATTCTTACACCATAAGAATGAAAGTAAAATGTCTCCACGAACAATAAATGTTTCCGATGGCAAATAACAACTCCTTCTTCCTCAAATCTTTCTTTTTACAAGAGTTTGATTTTGTGAGAAGAGGAAAAAGATCAGACTTTGTAAATTTAACTAAATACTTCCTCCAAGTCTGAATGTTGCATGTTTTCAGTTAGCAAGAAGTTTCTTTTTTTTTTTTTTTATTTTTAAAGTAACAGTGAGAGTCAAAAAAAAATTTTTTTTAGCATAACCACCAATAGAAAACAGGAAGCCAACTTACTTGTCCCTTGTGCCAGCATTCCACTATCTCCTCATCAGTGTTCTTGCCTTCCAGGAGGGTTAACTGCTGAGCCCAGGTTTTCAGAAGGGCACTGAACTCTTCCAGGGCCTGCTCGAGCTGAGCCACTTGGCCTGAGAACTCCTGTTCCGAAAGGGCCATCTGGCTCACCAGGTTCTCCAAGCGGCCCTGCGTTTGGAATACGCTGTCTTCCCACTGCTTCCAGTCTGCGCGCAGGGCCTGCATCTCCGCGTGCAAGAGCTCACACCCACTGGCAGTTGTGTTCTGTTTCACTTCAGGAGCCAGCGACTCCACTCTGCTCAGGCGGCTTGCCCCAATCTCTCTGGAATCTATCAGCTCCTGTAATGGAATATCGCCATGGTAACCAAGGAGGCTGTGAGTCACTTGGGCTGCAAGTTTCCAAATGTGTACAGAAGGGGACCCTGTCCTGCTAGGAAGTTTCAGCAAGGGTGCCACAAAGAACCAGAATCAACTCCTTTGCCTATTCTCAAATCATATAAGCAGGGAATTATCATCGCAAGTGCCAATGCTTACTGCAAGATAAACCGGAGAATTTGCAACGTCTTGAAACAGACTAAACAGGGACCCTGAAATCAGGCATTGTTTGAACATACTAAAATGGTTTGATGGTGACTTAAATATTTGTCTGTGGCGTACTGCCCCTATAAATGATTGAATCTGCATTTCTCTTTCAGTGGATGGACAAGTGAACAAGGATTGTAGCAGAACTGTGCTCTGCTCACAATCTCCACCACAGTTCATCTTCCACAAGATGCTGGCTTCAATCACACTTCTGTCCCGCCAGGAATCCAGCTGACCCATCACAACAAAAGAATGAGCCCCATTCAACTTCAAAAACGTCAGTACCTTAACTAAACATTTTTATAGCAACTAAAATGAATAATTCACAGACATACTTAATCAAAAGTTTAAATTCTAGACTTGGGTTCATTTATTACTATTATATTTACCTTTTTAAAAAAACTTACCAGAAATTTAACAATTTAGCTATAGCTTTAGTCTTAAAGCACACAAGTACTCTAAAGGACAAGATACAATTAAATATGCAAGTTACATAGGTATAATATTGGTATTTATCTCTGAGAACAGTTTTCTTTACTGAAATTTTTCTTGATGAAATCATCATCTGGTGTTTATATATTTACAGATCCATTGCTAAAGCCAGGATTTTGTTAAAATTAAGACAAAATTATGACTTCATTCCTGGATTAAATAGAAGAAAAAGATGACTATTAGGAACAAAAGAAACTTCAAGAAGAAAATTGTTTATAAATTAGCAAGTAAAGAAAAATTGGGGTGTTAAATATAAAGTATGCCTAATAAATTATATTAAGCATAAAGAATGCCTTAACTAGTCTATATAATGGTGTTTGCATTCCATTAAATTAGCTTGAAATAAATATTTATCACAATTATATATAATACAGCCACATTTTAGTAGAAATCATTTGAAAGTAGCACAATCAAATGAAAATCCTTATGCACAGTTAGCTTTAATATACATATTCAACCTTTTTAACAGTGGGATTCTGAAAACTATCCCTGTTTCCAATACATATGATAATTACTGATTTGATGAAGAAAATATAACTTTTTAATAAGTGCTATATCTAATAGATTTAAATACTTATAATAATGTGACTTTATGAGTGACTTGAAATCTAGAATTCAGTATCAATTGTCAAAATTCAGTTTGCCAAAATATTCCCTCTTGCATTTTCCCAGTTTTCTTTAGCATGAAATGGAACGTTTCAATATTTGCAATTTCTAATTCCACTCATCCAGATTTTGAATAAGGACATCATCATTGGGGTTTTGAAATGAGTTTTGCATATATTTTCTTATCTTGTATTTAAACTCTTTTAAAATATTATATACGCATTCATACATATGTACATTCACACCCTCACACACATACACGTTTTGCTTTAGAGTTGCCTTTTCTCTGTGGTTACTCCTGGGGATGAGTTGGGAATGGCAAAGAGGGACAGAAGAGGTGCTTTGTGTATTTCCTCCAAGGTTTTCTCCCCTCCTGAACTTCAGAGGCAGCCTCTGACAGCCTTCACCTTCTCCTTCCCAAATTTCAATTTTTTTCTGTCAATTTTTTCTCCTATATTCCTTTTCTTTTTGGAAGCGTTTTATAAAGTCTTTTTTTTAAAAAAAGACATTTTGCAACTCATGAAGCTGTCTTTGCAAAAGAATTATCTTACTTTCTTGTATTAACTTTTCAAAACGCTAGCCCATCTTTATCACCCTGTCTTCCTTATTTGCCATTTACTACTAAATCTACGTAATCGTTTGCCACCTCCCCTTGCTGTGCAAATGGTTCTTGGGGAGGTTGCCAAATAGCCTGTCAAATGTCATGGGCATTCTTCAGTCTTCCTATCAATGGCAGCCTCCGGTGCATCTATGATTCTGACCACCTTCTCCACCTGGGGTCTTGGTGGCACCACACCTTCCTAGTCTTCCTCTAACTATTAATATTATTTCTCCTCTTCTTTATCTCTCTTATTTTCAAATCATTTTCCTCTGTTACCCCTTCAATGTTGGGAGTCCCCAGGCTTTGGTTCTGTGGCCATCGCTTTGTTGCTTTATACATAAATCTTGGTTTCATCCACTCTAGTGGCTTTAACTACAAAGTATATGCTAGTAATTTCCAAGTCTGTGTCTTTCAATCGAGCTTCCTAACCTGAAATTCAGGCTTGAATATTCAGTTGCCTCCTGGACATTACTACCACCTGCCAGTTCAAATTCTATCTGTTCATCATTGAACTCTTCATGTTTTTCCCTCAATAACCAGGCCCTCTGCATGCAGTTATTTCCCCCAGGTCAGGTGATAGCTCTATTGACTCTAGGTAAGACTTAACTATCACCCTTGACTCGTTCTACCTTGTCACCCTGTAGCCAATTAATCACTCATTTACCAAATCCACGGGATTATTTATTGAGTGTATTCTTTGTACTAGGCATGATGCTAAATGTTTTATATGTAAGATCTAATTTAGTCCTGAAAACAACTCTATGAGGCATGTACTATTTACTATTTTTCTTCTTCTTCTTTTTTAACCAATTAAGAGGTTGAATCTTGAAGACATCAAATAACTTGCCCAAAAGACACAGCTAGAAAGTCACTTCAGTAGAGGAAATGTGCAACACTGGGTTTCTCTGATTCCAAAGCTTGAACTCTCAAAGTATAGTGAGCTATCGTGACATTTAGTGTATTATTAAACATCAGTTTGTGCATTATTGTTCCTCACTAGACTGCGAGTTCCTGAAGGGATGCATAGCACTGGTTGAATAATTAGATAGAGGGGTGGATGCATGGTTAGAGGGACCAATAAATAAATTAGAATATTACTAAGAAATATATGAAAGAAGTATTTTAAAGAATTATTCAGAGAATAAGAATTTAAAAAGTGACTTTATGTGATTATCTCAATTAAAACATGCATAGCATTGTAAGAATGAAATAATACTTTTAACGCACTTAGAAGACAACCTTCAAAATGTAGTTATTATTGTTACCATCAGTTATGATTTTTTATGTCTTTTATATTCTGATCTTGGAATAAAACGCAATTTTAGTTTTAAATTCCTGACCATGATTACACTATTTATTACCAACATTTCCTCATCTAAAAGTAAACCATGGAAAATTTTATCACTGTTTCATTTTTATACACAAATCCATTATTTTCTATGGGGAAAAATGATTGTGATTTAATATTTAAGCCACTAGAAATATACTAAAAGATATGGGTAAATTTCTGTTCTTGACATTTCCCTTACAAGGAGTAAACTAGGTGATCATTTTAATGTCCTTTAAAGTAGTTTCCTACAATGTTGTTGGACTGTTGGCTAGGAAAGTAGAATAAAACATCTAGAATGACATTTCCCAAGTTATTGTTAAAATACCTTTAGATTATAAACTTTCTTCCACTGTGCTAGAAAACAGTATCTGCTTTTGTCAGCCTATGAAGCGAGAGTGTATTTCTTAGTCTGTCTTATTACAGCAACAAAAACATTTCCTTACAGAAACGTACATAGGCAATGTTACATTTTGCTCACAAGTGAAAAGTCTTTTGAATTCTTTTTTAAAATCTTGTTTATGTTTAGAATTGATGAGGCATGAGGTAATAAACACCAACAAATATTCATAGAAAGCAAGAAGGAAACATTTTAGATAAAACAGAATGTCATATCCACCAAATATCAAGTGTGTTGTACTGAAGAACAATGAAGCTATAATATCTGTCCATTTTCTGACCTTAATTTTCAACAGCTTTTTCTGGGTGGCTGATGAATCTTCCGACATATCTGACCACCGGTGCAGTTCTTCCTTTGCTGAGTGGAGCCAATCTGTGAATTCCTGAACTGCATCGAGATACATTATATGGTCTTTCACAATTTCTTCCACTTTTCTCATTTTCTCCTAGTAAACAAAGACAAGACTACTTTAATAGGAGTCATTATTGAGACCATGAAATCAGATAGGACAATAGGCCTGAGGTAGATCTCCTAAGATATCTCAGATTTCATTCCCATGCTTGAATTTTCTCTGAGTTTAATATCTTAAAAAGAAACGATCAAATCTTAATTAAGCCAAAAGGCTTTGAAGAAGAACCATTTTCCCTGTAAGTTTACTATTGTCTACTTTAGCATAAAAATCTATGCTTAATGTATGTAGGCTAACATCTCTCACTGATAGACCACTTAATAATAATTATTATAATGTCTAGTCTTAGTATTAAAACGATTATTTGTGTTAGCTTAGTGTACAGTATTCTGCTCAACATTTTTAGATGCATTTTCTCATTTAATCCTCACAACAGTCCTGTGATGTAGATACTAGTATTATCATTTCACAGAAGAAGACACAAACTTACAGAGGTTAAGTAATGTGTAATGTGCCCAAAGCCACATAGTAAAAAAGTATCAAAGCCAGAATTCAAACTTAGGTCTTTTGACTCTAGAGTCATAGCTCTTAGTCATTATCAAGATGAAAATGAAGATAAACAGGACCTATGTTAGTAATTATAGTATCAATAAGACAAAGAAAGTTCCCCAAAAGTCAAACCAAAGAAGATAAAACAACAACAATAAAAACTCTCACTTAATTTCCATAGTATTCACAAATATACAAAAGAAGAATCATGAAGGAAAAAAATAAAGATTCATATAGAGAACTGAAAAAAATTTGATATTACATGAAGGAGCTCATACTTTGGAAAATAGAAAAATACAGTTGTTACCAAGATGACAAATGAATAAAATACTTTGTACATGATTGAAATCTGAGAAGTAAACAGACTTACATTTTAATATAAAAAAAAAGTGCAGCAAAAGAAAAAAAATATCTTCAAACACTGACATTTGATGCTCATTCTTACAAAGAAAATAGATGGGTTGATTAAAAAAAAGTGGAGAAAGATAAAAAACAAGGAATAAAGAATCCATCTCAAAATTTCAGAGAGAGAAAAACACATGAGCATTCATAAGTAAGAAATGATCTTTATGTGATATTTATTCACTAAATGTACAGTTTTAGAGCAACCAATTCTCCAATAATTTAATCCACAGTTTATTCTTTACCTAACCCTTGAAGCTTTTATTTTCCTTTTTTTTTTTTTGGTATAAAGCACTAACCTTGGCCACAGTCACTATATCATTGAACTGTGTTTTCAGTTCCTCTTGAGCTGTGTTCTTGAAAGACTCGTCCTCTGTCTTCTCATAGAGCTCCCTGGACTTGGCAGCCAGGCGGGGAAGGGCTCTGGCGTGATCCTCCGCCTCAGACAGGATGGACTGAAAGTGGTCCAGCAGGGAGAACTTCTCCTTCAGACCCGGCTGCAGCTGTAAGGGATGCTCCACGTTCTCGTCTGCTGATTCCATCCACTGTTCCAACTGGTTTTTCCTCTCCGTGTAGTCATTCCATTGGCTAATCACAGACTCTAAAGCGCTAGAATTAATGTCACATATCATAAAAGTGAGTTATCTTGACATCTCTATCAAAAACCAATCACAAGGTCATCACACATCCATGTAAATTGTTTTACTAAATGCTACTGTAAGTGATGAAAATTGTTTTTCAGTGCAGGGAGAAACACTACTTCCCTGATCTGTAAGACTCGTCATACTGTGTGTTAAAATATGAAGACAGAAGCTGTAATCATACATGCATCTGGAGATTTGTCTTCCACATGCTATTGTCCTAAATGAACAGACAAATTTATCGGCTATGTTGTTAAAAATCAGCACTGGAATATCAATTACATTTTATTTAGTATTTATCCATTCTTTATATATATATATATATATATTTTTTTTTTGAGACAGAGTCTCGCTTTGTTGCCCAGGCTAGAGTGCCGTGGCATCAGCCTAGCTCACAGCAACCTCAAACTCCTGGGCTCAAGCAATCCTGCTGCCTCTGCCTCCTGAATAGCTGGGACTACAGGCATGCGCCACCATGCCTGGCTAATTTTTTCTATATATATTAGTTGGCCAATTAATTTCTTTCTATTTATAGTAGAGACAGGTCTCGCTCTTGCTCAGGCTGGTTTCAAACTCCTGACCTCAAGCAATCCACCCGCCTCGGCCTCCCAGAGTGCTAGGATTACAGGCGTGAGCCGCCGCGCCCAGCCGTTCTTAATATTTTTGGGCTTACTTGATCTTATTGACATCAGATGGTGATTGTTGACGGGAACTCAAAATTCAAAGTATTCTTTCTGGGTAAATAATACCATTAGATTGACTTTCATTTAGGGATATTATATACATGGATATACACACATATATACACACACACTATATATATATAAATATATAAATTTTTATATATTTATATATATAAATATATATATATTTATATATATTTATATATATATAGTGCTTATGTGTTGAAAATGTGAAGGAATGGTCAGGTATTATAAGAAATATAGTCACAAATATAATAGCTTTCCAGATAGTCAAAGAAAAGGCTCTCTAGACTAACATTTGGAAAGAAAAATCTCTCCGTTATTCAGCTTTACAAGCTGTTCTAAACTCATCTTCAGTGAAACCCCCTTCAACTCTCCATTGCATACAAGCCTATGATCCTGGAGTTAAGATCTTATGGTAAATGTACTTCCAGCATTTGTTCAAACTGTTGCTTTTGCACCCATAGAAACTTCATTATATAGGTCTTAAAGTCCTATCTGTTCCTCAAAGAATTTCTAAAAAGTCCAAATCAATGCTTTTGCTCCAGAATTCATCCCAGACTCTGCATTCTTCTATACCTCGTAGCGTCTTTTGAAAACTCACAGTAACACAGTCTGAGTCAGAGTTTTTCTAGAATACAGCCTACCCTAGCTTCTGAGCTCTTAGAGGATAAAACCCTTTGTTTTGTCTGATTATTTTAACACAATAATTTGAGCATTGCTATTGGCTAATATGTCGTTGTCAAATTTAATGTCTTGCTGAAATAGGGGAGTCAGGGATCTGATTTCCTGTATTTAACATTTTATTCTAACATATGAAAAATATTCACCTGCATTCCTTTAACTGTTAGGAAGCTGGCCTTGGGAAGTTTAGTTCATGCTCCAGCAGTCTACTGGACAAGTAGATGCCATAGGATTTGAATTTTTCTTGCTGACCATTCTGAGTTATTACTAAGATGCAGAGTCCTGCTGACATTGACAGTCACCACCCATGGTCCATATTAAAGGAAAAAAACAACTCTCCTGCTGGGTATGGTGGCTTATGCTTATAATCCTAGCACTTTGGGAGGCTAAGGCTGGATGATCCCTTGAGGCTAAGAGCCTGAGATCAATCTCAGCAAGTGGCTGAGGCAGGAGAATGGATTAAGCCCAGGAGTTGGAGGCTGCAGTGAGCTATGATGATGCCACTGCACTCCAGCCTGGGTGACAGAACATGACTCTGTCTCAAAAACAAAACAAAAAAATCTCCCAAATTTTAGTTGTAAGCAGTGCTTATTGCTCACCTTACAGTGGATAACTGCAGTGTTTTTTGTTTGTTTGTTTGTTTTATGATGAACTGTAATCTTCTGCTCATCTATTTGTTGTGATCACATTGGGGACTCTGTCAGTGTCTGACAGTGTGTATAACCTTCAGAATATGGCTCTTGGGATGTGTTTTTTGACTGATGGTCATTTGTCCACCAAGCTGGCCAAATAATTTGTGGATACTCCAAGAGGGAGGGAGGTGGAAATCTTCCACTCATAAATACAACAATAACAAAATACCACCTGGTATAACTGTCAAGATGTCTACTTCCTCATCAGTGTTTGGTTCAGTGCTTTCAACAGAGGCTCTAGGGCTGGGCTCTATTCTGGCTGGGCTGATTGTTGCTTCTGGGAGAATGTCCCACACTTTGCAGGATGTTAGCTTCCCCTGCCTCGGTCACTAAATGCAAGGGATATCCCTATCACGATGTCAGTCAAAACCACCCCACACATTTCCTGCAACCCCAGTGTGGGTGGGATTATTATTTCTTCTTGAGCAACAGATTTATACTTAAGCTCAACAGTCACCAACAGCTTAATTCCCCGTATGTTCCTTTAAAAAGCTAAAACTGATTAAAGTTATTAAAGAATCACATATCATTGCTTTGATGACTCAAAAGGATATATTTTACTGAGCCCAGATTATTTGCAAGATTCCATGAGCGATATGAGGGGAGATGTAAATATTAAAAAACAAAAACGCAGACACAAAGCAAGCTAACAAACAAAAACCAGTCTTTGCCTTTGGAAAATACAATGCAGGCAAAGACAGGTATGCATACAACAAGATAAAATGACACGCTTGGTAATTCTACCCCAGGATCCCTCAGCACTGCGCCATCATTTTACCAAGGCACTGGGTTTTACTTAGGCAAATAAGCACTAAAAATAGGCTCTGTACCTCTGAGCACGGAGGGAGGAGCTCACGATGTCGGCCCACACGGTTTTCAGGGTCTCCAGCTGGGTCTGAATCACCTTCTGACCTTCTTTGTTGCTACTTCTCAAGGCCTGTTCCCCTTTGCCAATGGCCATGTTCAACTTAACTTCGCCTTCCGCTTTCATCAGGAGAATGTCCTGGGAAGGAAGGAGGAACACTTGTCAGTAGGAATATAAACACCTTCTGCTATTTTTAAAAACGGCTATGTTTCCCATAAGAATTGAGGTAGGGAATACTTTTCTCCCCTTAAAAGGAAAACAACAACAAACTCCGGACCCTATTGCAATATAATGCTATCCTTAAAAATCAGATATCTGGGAGTCTGGGAGACCAAGATTAGCTCCAATTTAAATTCTTAGAAAACTTTGGGCCCCTAGCCTAGAAATCATAATTTTATGGACTTCAATTTCAAAGAGTCAAAAGAAATTATTTTGAAAGTGAAGGCACACCTGTCCAAAACCCAGCAGTCCCCTAATTCCTCTCTGCCAAGGTCACCTTCATTGACTACAGTCTGGGTTGGTGATCTGCTCTGTGACTTCAACGCACCCTTGCTCGCTTCAATCCCAGCCCCCACCTGTGCACTGTGCTGCCAGCTCGTGCCCCACATACCTGTATTTGCGACAGCCGCTTTTCCAAGGTGTCTTTGCTCCCGAGAGTGCTCTCTGCCCCGGCCAGTCTGTCCTGAACAGCTTTCACCCAGGACCACATGCCCTGCAGCGCTTCTTCCAGGGCTTCGTGCTCCTGCAGGGCCACCTGGCAGCTGCGGAGTTTCTCTTTGGTCATTCTGAGTAAGTGATGGTAGCTCGTGAGGAGCTGGGAGCACAGGCGTCCTTCTTGCCCAGCTCCGTGGCCTTCCTCACTCAGAAGCTGCCCTCTCTGGGAAAGTTTATCGAGAGACTCCCTGAAAAAAAAAAAAAAAAAGGAAAAACATCTTAATTCTGACATTCCGGAGTAGTGCAGGGAGGAGTGGCAAAGGATTGTTGACATTGGAGCAGTAACCAGACACAGGCTCATAGCTGGCATGCCTTTCAAATAAAGATGCTGGGAACTGGGCTGGCTACTTGCATTCTCTTATGGTCTCTCCTAATGCAGCCAATACATGTCAGGGACGCAATGCACTCTTGCTGTGCCTGCATGCAAATAGCAGTGGTAGAATATTCCATAGTACTAGGAATTAAACTCAGAAGTGGGCCTGGCTGCCTCTCCCAGCTCATCTCTAGCATCTCTCCATTCTTACTGAATGCTCTATTGATGAAAAGCTCCCTGAAATCCACCAAACACTCTGCTGTTTTATACAGACATAGAGATTCCTCATTTGGGAAAACCCTTCTGTCCTCTTCTGTTTCGTTCCTAGCTGCCCCTTTAAAATTCAGCTCTGGCATCACGTCCCCAGGAAGCACGTGCGTCAACGCAGGGAGGGCAGAGAGTGCAGGACACCGTGTGCGCCCTCTGCTCCTTGTCTTGCTTTGACACCTCATATACCTTCTGTTCTGATCTACAGGGCCGTTCCTTCCAGAAGCCAGCGCTGTTACAGCCAACTTATAGTCCCAGGATCCAACACGATGTTGGACAGAGACAAAGTGGGGGAAAAAAGTTTCTCTTAAAAGGCCATTTTTATTTAAAAGTGCTTTTATGAGTTTCTTTGTTATGGCTTGGGTATCAAGCTCATCTTAGTTTAGAGCTAGTCGAGGGAAAAACTGAATCGCTATGTAACTTGGTCGGTTTCATTCTCTCTGTTAGAGTTCTGAATTCTTACCAGCACGTCTATCAGGAGAAGCCCAGGATAACAAAAGGGAGAGTGAAAATGTCTTAACACAAAATGTTGTGACTACTAGAAACAGAACACAAATCGAACCTCCTACAATGTCTCAACTATTTTTTGAGTTGCTACCATGCAAGTAGCATCCTATGGGCCACTCTGAGACATACAAGAAGTTACACAACATTATACCAACTTAGGAAGACATTTGTTATACTTGTGACCTGTTTGGTGAGACAAGGAGGTGGCTTCAGCAATGGTATGAGTTAAATAATAATTCAAGACAAGGGATTTCCCTTGTTACTACATGATGAATCGCTTAACGGATGATAAAAATTCAATGCGTCTCAAGCTGTGTAGTTTTATACAAAGAATCTCCCCAAAATATTTGAAGTATTGGAAACATTAGGGTGAAAAAAATCCAGAAGACTGGAGGAGCAAGCAGTAAGCAAGTGAAAGAAGTCAGGTGGCCCAGTTTGGGAATCTGAGTGACCAGCACAAGTGCATTAGGACTGTCCCCAAAAGTGCCCAGTTTGGAGGGAAAGAAACTGGAAGCCAGACCATCTAAGGTCTCCTAGCAGCTGGTCCTGGAATATCAGAAAGTAAAACTGCAAGGACTGTGTCTTCATCGATGTTAAAAAGCTGAAATTATCAGAAAAACAATGGGGAATAAAGACTTTGAATTTGGTGTTGAAGGGTATTTGGGCCACTTTCTCTAATGCAGTTTTAGAGTAATGACAGCAGAAGTAATACAAAGCAAGGGAAAGAGCAGCCTGTGGGGAAGAAATGAAAGCAGAGAGCATGTAAAGTCATTCATTCATTCATTCATTCATTCATTTATTTATTTATTTATTTATTTATTTATTTATGAAATAGAGTCTCACTCTGTCACCTGGGCTAGAGTGCTGTGGCGTCAGCCTAGCTCACAACAACCTCAAACTTCTGGGTTCAAGCGATTCTCCTGCCTCAGCCTTTGGGGTAGCTGGGATGGTCAGATGATGCTATCACTCTCATAATTCAGTGAATATTGTCTATTTTTCTGGCACTATACTAGACCATATGACTATAAAGATGATAAAGATCTAAAGTCCCTGACTTTGAGGAACTTGTAGTTGGAAGTTGGGGTGCACAGAGTAAACAAAGAGTTTCAGCATAGTAAGGACTTGTGGAGATGGGACCAAAGCATTCCAGGAACATTTTATAACAATCATCACACTAGCACACCAACTAGCAGTTGTCAGTATATGTTCTGCTGCTCATTTGCCTGCATGTTTGTTTTTCAGGACAAGGAATAGTAGGTAGGCATGTTTGACCTAAAAGAAGCCTCGGTGGAAATGAGGAATGACTGTGATCTTCATTAGGCGATTTGTACCCAATTGATGATTGTTGTTGACCTACCTGATTGAGCATGGTGGGTGCTATCATCTTGTGCTTCACATACGAGTGCACCTGCTCTTTAAGAGGACAGTTAAGGAGCCCAAAATTTTTGGTCAAGCTGAATGTCCCTGAAGGAAAGTGTTTTGTCTTCCAATGGAGCAAAAACAACTGAAAATGCCAGTGGTGGAGCACAAATGTAAGGAGCAATGTACTGCAAGCGGTAGCATCAAAAGCACAGACCAGAGAGCATTGCCTGGGAAAGGAGCCAGAAGCGTTTTCTCAGGGGGAAGCAATGAAGAGATGCATGTTGCAGTGGAGAGCAGGAGCCACAAGGAGAGTCAGACTTAGTGCTCATAATACTAAGAATATTATGAGGATAGGTGGGTAGAAAATGGAATGGGGGGATGAAATGTGTGAAGAATATATGGAATTTGAGGTCTACAGCAGTAATTTATATCTTTACGGTCACTGTGAAGGTGAGGTTTTCTTTTCCCCATATCAGCTTCACATTATGTTAATTGTTCCTCAAAATAACCCCAGAGAGGAGGATACAGAATTATTAACACAATGTTTAAAGACTGAGATCCAAAGTTCTAGGAGGTAAGTGATCTGCCCAATTTCTTGAGCAAAGAGAAGTGGGACAGGACTACAGATGAGCTCCTAACTTCCACCCTGCACTTAGCAGACTGACTACCACTCTGCTGTAAAGAGTGCAGCATGATCACATGTATTCTAGACATTCAGGGACAGCGACAAACCATCGTCAATAACCAACCAACCAACCAACCAACCACCCACCCACCCAACAAACACCAAAACAAATAACCAACCAGCCAGTCTACAACATGGTAGCAGATAAAGGACCAATTCCATTCGTGGGTCATACCTTGCGGCCAGTAGTTCTCCCAGAAACATTTCAACTTTATGAACTTCATTTTTCTTCTCAGGAATATGCTGTTTACTCTCTCCCAAGTTTTCTGTATTTAACCTTTCTTCCATTTCATGGATCCATAAGGTTAGTTTTCTGTGCTGATCCTCAAAGCTAAAGAAAAGAAAACACCTTAGAGAAATTCTTATATGCTTGTTATAATAGGTAAGTTCTACTAGCTGAGGTCACAATGTCTTTTATATGGCAATTAAGATCTCATGATTTTTCATGTTATGAAAAAAAAAAAACCCTACAAAATAAGCCCATCCAAATTGTTTACTTACTTCAGTTACAAAGTGACAAATCATGGTAATTTCTTTTGAGATCCAAGCAGAAAAAGAATCACCTCACCTAGCTGAATTGATTTCATAGCTGGCAATTTCCAGCAAGTCACATTCCCATGTCAATGTGCACTCAAATTTGTTTCTTACTACAAAGACCCTTGAATTGAGGCCAGTGGGTAAGTGGGGAGGGGGAAGCCCAGGGAAAAGAGGGGAAAGTGGTCTCTGAATCTTTATTTCTTAAGAGAATTTGAATACAGCACAAGAGCTCTAAGTTTTAGAAACTATGTAAACTCTCCAAGAAAACTGGACTAGAGTCACATAAATTACCACCAGGAAGGCAATTTGATTATACTGACATCTCTTCTGCCCTAAGTAAAGAGTGCTTTTCTCCCTTTCTACTTGTATATTTACCCTCATTAACATACATTAATATTACTGATTTGAATCGTCATCCACAGAATTTAATAGTTGCTTTCTTCCATGACTCTATCTAAGGAGAAGTAGACACAAGAAAAAGGCTTGGCTAATCTAAAAACTGAGGTGTGAAAGTTCTAATATCTTGAGTTAACCAAATAGACAAAAATTATATGTTTTTCATCATTTATATCATTTTCAATTACTAGTAAATATAATTCTTTTGTTTTTTTTCTATGTAGAAAATAAAGCCAAATGATAACTTCAGACTCTGAGCAATGGATTACTTTCCTAGTATCAACATGTACTTAAAGTCAAAGTTTATTCTAATTTAAACTCATAATTTCAAATATTGTTTGTTTATTTACAAAACTCTTTTTCTCTAAGTCTTCAAAAACACATTCAGTGTATGATGAAATCTATATTTATCAAAACAACCTACCTCCCAAGTTCTGAAGCACAGTCTTGGAGACTCTGTTTGTCTTTAAGGCATTGTTTCAGAAATGCTTGAAACTCTTCATTAGCCTTTGTAATTTGTTCCTGAATGCTACCGACAATTTGTTTAGACAAATGTGCATATAAAGTCTGTCCTTCTTGAGTCACCACATCAAGCTTGCTCTGCCCATCACTGACTGAGTCCAGAATGTTCTGTTTCAGAAAATAAAGGTCATATGAAATATTTGCTATTATTCAGCAACCCTAGTGCATGGGAATTGTCATTATAGTTGTGGGCTGAGACCGTAGAGCAAGAAAGAATAACAGAGTTCAAGGGAAAAAACTGTCTAACAGGGTTGGAGTGAGAATGATGCATACAATTGGATATAGCCAAGGCTCCTTGTTGAGGATGGTGCCAGCCAGTCACTGGGACCACGGAGGGCAAAATGTGAACAAGAGAAAAGTCCTCTATCAAGGTCTCGTTCTCTAACTCTCCTCGTTCTCACCTTCCCAATCTGATCCAGGCCCCACTGCCTCTCACAGTTAATGTGACAGCACTCTAACTGGTTAGCTGTTTCCAGCCTTTTCTCCTCCTCCTCTGATCCACCCTGAACACAAAATCCCATCCTCAGGCCCCTTCTTTCCCTAGTATGCACCAAGATCTACACACAGCTTCAACAAAGCTGAAGCATCCCAGAATGCAGTGCTAGCTCTGCCTCTCCCCAGAGCTCCAGGGTGGCATTTAAATTGTTGCTCCGGCGGTTCATTATGGAGTTCACTGCACCTCAAGCTTAAAAGGAGACAGTTGCATGTGTGAATTCACCACACCTCCTACAAAACCAGCTTCCTTTGCTATAACAATCTTCCTACCCTGACTTCTAATATGAGTTCTCTAAATCATTTTTATCACTCATGAGGCCCCCAAACCCTCATGGTCCTTATGTTAATTTTTCAAAACTTTTTTTTTTATAATACTTAACATCAGACGTCCTCCAGCTATGGCCTGTGGGCCACATGCGGGTGTTTTTGCCCGTTTGTTTTTTTACTTCAAAATAAGATATGTGCAGTGTCCATAGGAATTTGTTCACAGTTTTTTAAAAACTATTGTCCAGCCCTCCAATGGTCTGAGGGACAGTGAACTGGCCCCATGTTTAAAAAGTTTGAGGACCTCTGCTTAACATAGTGCTTTGTTCAGATTAGCTGCTTGAAAAACTTGGTCCAAACCTCATTTGAACCTACTCCTCTGTAAATAATTTCTTAACTCTGCTTCACCATAGCCTTTTCTTTTCTGAATTCATACATTTTTCATAGTCAGTAAAACCTATAAAACCTGTAATATCTTTTACTTTAATCTAATATATCCTATCTCCACATTTAGACCATAAGTTATTTAAAAAAAAACTATAAGCTATGTCTTCTTCTTTTCAAAACTCTCATACAATAATAATGTAACATAGATATAATTATTTATACTTTTACTCCTATAAAAATTAAATTAGGTTTAGTTTTGAATGAATTACAAAGAATGGTTAATAGGCTAAAAAGAGAGAAGAAAGGAATCTAGAAATTCTCTAGCTCCAAATTACTTTTCTCAAAGTACTTTTCACTTTGCCTAGCTCTCCTTCTGACTCAATAAGCCAAATTCTGTTAGGGAAGAAGAAAGGATGGGCTCAAATAGGAAGATCTGAAAAACATGATTATTTAGGTCCGACCTCAAGGCACCTGAGTGCAGTTTGGGGCAGAAAGAAAAGGATACCAGCTTCTGTACCTGAAGGTCATGGAGCTTTGCCTCTAGAACTTTGCTGTCGCCGGTTCGATCTGATGATTCTTTTGCTGCTGCCTTTGCTCCCAAAAACCATTCTTGGAATTCCTGCATGGACTCTTTTGGAAATAACGAAAATCAGGAATAAATCTAAAGCATTCAATGAGTTCCCAGGATTACCACAATGAATTGTTTCTGGCCCTCCGCCTATCGCCTCTTGCATTCCAAAATATTCCAGAAAGAAAATGATAATATAGAAAGTAATACATCATGATCTTCAACCCTGACTGTTCATGGTAGGATTGAGAAGTTATATCAGGGAAAAGACTAACATTGGCGTTCCCAGAATGTCTGATTTTTCCATTGTTTTTCTTTCTTTTGGTGAAGAAAGATAATTAATTGACTCCATATGTAAGAGTGCAAGGGGAGAAATGCTCCAGGGATATTAAAGCCATTTTCATGGCACAGGGGGAAGCACCTCCTTTTTCCTCCTCTTTCTACTAAGTTGACTTGGAGACTTCTTATGCATCTACATCAGAGCACAGGCACAGCTGTGTGGCAGCAGAGGGGGGACAGGATGGGCAACTCCTGGATTTTGTGGCTGCCTCTGTTTCATGGCCTCTCCTAACACCCAAGCTTATTGTGTTACTTTGTCATGACATAAAACACTCCAGTAGTTACTTGGACAGTGGCTGCTGGCCACTTGAACAATGGAAGTCATTTTCCACACACATGAGCTACATGCAGAAAATCCGGATCAAATTCAGAACCATCAAATGGTGGACTCCTGCTGTCTTGGGAAGACAGAAGAATTCTGCATAGGGCGAGAGGCACTTTCATTGCTCAAATCTCAAAGCACAAATGAATTTAAAATGATATCCTTCTGGAAAGCTTTCTCAAACTTTTGCTGGCAGTTTCTAGGCAGCATTTGGTTTGGATTCTTTCTTGTAAACAAACTGTTCATGCTAAGGCCCATCAGAACTCACCATTGAAGTGTTTTTCCAGAGAATCCTGCAAGTTGGCCTGGGTTTTGGAGCACAACTGGCTCACAGCTTCGTGTTTCTTTATCAACCCAGTCATGGCCTGGCCTAGGGTTTCCAGCTCCGCGGAGTGGTATTTGCGGCACAAGCTATTGAGATTTTCTTGGGTAGAGCTGATGTTGCTTTGTTGACTTTGAAGTTCTTTTTGCATATCCTACAGATTAAAAGTATATCATGAAGAATACTCATCACATTCAAGAGAGATACTCCATTTACTCCACAATGGTACTTTTTTTTAATCTGAAATTAATGCTTTTGAGATCCACTCAGTAGTGTGTACATTTTGGTGGGACTTTTTGCATATTTGTGATAGATCTGTATTGCTTCTCTCAGAATTTTGCCTGTTCTCCTTAGGAATAAACAAGGGTTGGGAGGTACCTAGGAATTGAAATATAGTCTAGTATTTCAAGCAAATGGAATAGGTTCTTATGGATCCCAGTCCATGATTTTGGTTTTAGTCGCTTGATTAGAAACTATCACAGTTCACATTCTTCAATAGGCCACTTGAGCTTCGTTTCAGGGTCACGGGCCACACCAAAAGCACCAGTACTTAATGTAAAAATATATGCCTTTATTCTCAAGTATAGTAATAAAATATGCCAGAAGAGAACACACTGCATATGTTGAGAAGTCAACTCAATGCACATCCTTTACAGAAGTTGATCAGGAATTTCATCTATTAACACGAACAGACAACATGGAAGTGGAATGTTTTCTCAACTTTTTTTTTTCACCCCAAATATACTGTTCTCTAGGTGAAAGAAGTCATATTGACCAATAAAAATAACTGATGAAAAACTATGATATTCAATTTAAAAAATTCATGAAAAGTGAAATATTTCCTCTATAGGTTTCATTTATTTACCAAAAAATAAAAATTAAAAAAAATCATTACAGCAATGCATGCTTTTCTAGAGTATTCTAGAGTATTCATCTTTGATTTCATAACATCTTTGATTTCAGTTCTTCACCTGTTGCTTACTTTGCTATGTTCAATGTCATGAATAGTTGGTCTGCTGTTAACATGGGTAATTGAGAGCAGAGGTTATATTTCTTATTATAGTCACCACAAAATGGGAGAACTAATATCTTTATTTGAGTGGAAGCACTTAATAATAGTTTATTACCTACCTTCACTTTCTTTAATCCCTCACAAGTCTCACTTTGGGCACAATTCATCAATGATTCTTCCACTTTTGTCAGCCATGTTGTTATATCATTAACAAATTTCTCCACTTGTGTGCGTTGAGCAGTGAAATCTTTCAAGGTTCCTTTTGCTACTTCAGTTATTTCTTTGGCATGCTCCAGTTTCTGCCTTAAGTCTGCTTCAATAAACTAAATATAAAGCAATATTTTTTAAAATCTGTGAAGACCAGAACACTTGTTCCATAGGAATTCTGTTCATATGCAGCTTGTCAAAAACACATAAGCTTTGTCATGAGAGCCAGATCCAATGCTAATATCCCTTTTCCAAGAAGAAAAATCAGTGGGCACAGTTGTCAAACATATTAAGTGATGGGAAAATAGAAAGAGTAAGGATTACAGTTAACACTAGATACAAAGTGGCACTTTTGACTGAGGTTACAGGCAAATGTGAGATCACATTCAGGAAAGAGTAAGACCTACACAGGGTCTAGCAAGAGGTGACCAAAATCTGTTCTCAAGTTTCCCTGGAAAGATCTTTAAACTATATTTCAGAAGGATTGACTTGTCTGGCCCTCTAGTTAGTAAAAGGACTTATATTCTAAATTGCAAAACAGTCTCAATAATAATTCAAACATCCAAGCCTATTTGGTAATCAAAATTTTGATCCCCATAAAATCCATATATTTTCTTGGAATTATGATGATGATAACAATTAGTATATATACAGATATACATACACACACACACACACACACACTTTTTGAGAGAGAGACCTAGAGACACACACATCAAGAGGGGGATTAGTACACGGTAGTTATCACAAAACTAATTCAGTGCTTACCTGAAGATCTGGTGGTGTTTCCAGATTTTTAGTTAGTTCTTTAAGATCATTAACTTTGGAATACAGTTCTTCCAATCTCAATGTTTTGTTTTTAACTTCAGACTGCCAAAATACAAGACAAAGGGGAGAAGCTTTGTCTAATCAAAAACACTGACATGCTATATTCAACATTTAATAATTTTGAAAACAAAATTTATCAAAATACCCCAACTTTAAGCTGTGTAAAAAAAAAAAAAGGTTTCTATTTCCTTTCCTGAAGGCTGTCATAAATGTGGAAAAACATTACCATTAATGTTCACTTGGAGTGTAAGAGAGTGTGCAGAACTTTCTCTCCACCCACTTTTATGAGAAAAAAGCTCCCGGAAAAAATTAAACACTAACCAAAAGTCTTGAGTCAGTGAAGATTTTCAATAGGCTAACTGTCATTTATTCATTAACTTTCATATCACTGGTTACTATGGTAGCGTGAAACTCTTAGAGAAGCATTTCAAAGCAAATACACATTGGGAGTGCAGACTATATGTAAGTAACATGGAATAAACATTTCAGTAAAACTTGGAAGGACATTAAAGCAGAAATCAGGTTAATTAGGTAAGTGCCATATAATATTTTATCTTTTTTTTTAAATTAATATTAACCTAAAAAACAAAGAACAACAATCAGAGAATCATTTTGAAACAATTAGATGCTTGCAACCTTCATTAGTTATTTGGGGCAACAAAGGAACATTTAATAAGTTATTCATCTCAGCTTAAAAATGGTATTTTGGTGTTTTGTGGATACTAATAAACCACCTGATGGTTTCAATTCAGAAAGAATGTATTTACTGTATTTATGTAGAATAATAATTAGGAAGTAATAATTTCTTGGTGGTAATTATCTTTGTTTTTAATAGAATTTTTTTGTGAATTTATTTGTAGTTTTTTTTTTTTTTTGAGATAGAGTCTCACTCTCTTGCCTGGGCTAGAGTGCCATGGCGTCAGCCTAGCTCACAGCAAGCTCAAACTCCTGGGCTCAAGCAATCCTCCTGCGTGAGCCTCCTGAATAGCTGGGATAGTTTAATTTTTAATGATGGTTGCTTTTAACACTGTCACAAAGTTCTAAAAATTTAACAATCAACTTTTGCAGCTGGTACAAATTGGATCCAACCCAAATCACTGTTTGAACTGTGATCTTAATTTGACATCAGAAATAGTAACTAAAGAAATTGTAGTATCCATCACCCTTGACAGTACTTTCAGTCTAAGTAATTTCTTCTACTTCTGATTGCCTTAGAAATCAGAATTAGATTATAAAATATCTAGAAAGTTCTCTGGATCAAAGACAGCTAAGTGACTTAAGTAGCACAATTCATTCGCCTATATTTTTTCAGACTAAAGTCATTCTCTTTTCATGCTATTTCCCCTTACCCTGCTTCATTTTTATCATAGCCCAGTTACTATTTGGCATTTTATATAATATATATTGCAATGTAAATTCCATGGGGGTAAGGAAAAAAACTTTCTTTTACTATTATATTTTCAGGGTGTAAAACAGTGTCTGGCATGTGTTAGGTGCTCAGTTTAAAGTCAATTGGTGCCTAGAGACTCTCCACGGGAGCCCGTGACACTCCAATCTCCAGTTTTCTTCCATTTCTGAAAAGGAAGTGGAAGAACCCAGCACATAGCATAATAATGGCACATGGAAGTCCGCAGCAAACGGTTTCTTCCCTTGGAATGAAGAAACATAGATACTAAATATCACTAAATTAGAAACACTTCCAATTTGGCTTTCAAGTAGGAAGGTGCCATATTTTCAGATAAATGGGAAAAATTATAGATTTTATAGACTTTTACTTTTCTACTAATACTACAAATTAACAGCACCACTAGGAAGTGATAAAAATGTCAAAAAACTCTTATCCATAACCTATTCAAATTTCAAGTAAATGGGAAAACATAGTTACGAGTTTCGTAACACTCTTGTGTGTCTCCAAAAAAAAAAAAGAATTAACTTTTAAAAAAAGACAATTTTGTTCACATTCTGGTCAACAATGTACCACAAGCTCCTGTATGTAGGCATAGTCAATTTACCTCAAATTCTTTAAGAGATTCTTCGGCTCTGAGGCTGTTATTCAGGTTGCTGACATTTTCCGCCAGCTGTGGAACAGAGTTGTTTGACCATCCCTCGATCTCATCCTTACTTGAAAGCACCTCATCCCAAATGGACAGGCTTACTCTCAGCCTCTCCATGTTTTCTTCAATTCTCTCTGATAACTAGGATGGAAAACAGAAGCCATAGCATTAATAGTCTGAGGCCTTAAAGTGCTCGTTTCTCCCCCAAAGTACTGAAAATGCCAGTGCCTCCTTTCTTCATCAGAAAATTATATTATAACAAAGTTTTGCAAAAATTATTGTAAGTTAATTATTGCTCCTGATTCATGCTAACAAATACATAGATTGTTTCTGTCCTTGAGAGAGTAGTCAGAATTTCTGAAACATTAGATTTTCATTTGTAAATTGGGATACTAACAACAGGTCTATTGGAATCTACTATAATATTACTCACTATAAGGGTAAATTCTATAGGATCAAGGTTTATCTAGGGCAGTATCGTATTTATTTTTGAAAGTAATACAATAAGCACTTTTAATGCTCAGTTATAGTAATGAGCATTAGATTCAAACATATTTATAATGTAAGTAAATATTTATGAGAGCAACAAAGTTTGCACATTTAAAGTATTACTGCTTAACATTTTTCCTATAAGAATTTTCTTTTAAAAATGGTAGTATATTGGGTTTTAAGATGTCCTCAGATTATTTTATTATATTACACAAATATCAATGTTTGACTAGTAAATTTAGCTTTAGTAAGGGAACCCACTGTAGGTTAAACTTCTGAACTTAGATATTGATAACAGGACAACAGAATCACTGTCTTTTTGAGCTGGAAGGCAATGTAAAATATTTATAGATTCATATATAGAGTCTCAAGGATATCAAGTGACTTGCTCTATGATGGCATAGCTACTAAGTGACAGAACAATAACTAAAACTCAAAGATGTAAACTATAAGTGCAATATTTTCTAATATATTTCCAATATTTCTAAAATATTTTCTAATATTTTCTAATTATAGACTTATTACTTTAAATTATCACATTTTGTGGTTTAATATTCTATATGATATTTATAAATTATTCTTCTATTTTTATCCATAATTCCATAGTTTTGAGAGGAAAAAGATTCAAGGCAATTTGTTATGTCTGAAGCTATCAAGTGAAATTGATAGAGCAAATAATTTTTGTACTATTTCTAAACTTTATGTGATCAGCATTTTTCCTCAGAATATCATTTTGCATTTAACATCGAAAGCTAAAAGTGGAATGCACATCCTTGAATAATCCTTTGGCCAAAGATGTGATGGAGAGATGTAAATATTTAAACCATTCTCAGAATCCCAGGTGACCATCTTACATCCAGCCATTTGTCCACGGTGTTCTCCATGTCTGTTTTTACCAAGATGAAATCACTACTGTGGATTTTTTTCAGTTCAGATAACAAATGTTTTCCTTTACTGTTAAAATTATCCAACTCTTTCTGTTTATAATTCATTTCATTCTTGACCGTTTCATGCTGTGGATATAAATGTTTCCTTAATTAATAAAATAATCAGTGATAAATCCATAGTTTAAAAACATTTGCCTCCAAGAAACTTAACTCATGATTGACCTCATGCAGAAACTAGTGATATTAATTAATCATATGACTATATATATCATTTTCTTGAATTGCTAGAATCCTAGGGTATCAGTATTCCAAGAAGAAAGAAGTTGAGCTTGTTAGCATGAATTATCCACACTAAATGTACTGACAAGAAGAATTATGCAGAGAATCACTTTATGAGTAAGAACAAATCTACTAAACGTGTCTACTAAAATAAACAAATTTTGAATTTTACCTTGGAAAAAGCCCATTTAAGATCTTCTTGATCTTTTATAGTAGTTCTGGTTCCAACCACACTGCTGGCATTTTCTATGACTTTAGACACGGCTGACTTTAAGTTCTGATATTCTCTCACTAAGTCAATAAGTCCACAGCATTGACCCTGGCTGTAATGATTAAAGAAAACGTATCATTTAGTGTCATGTGTCAGGAAAGGAAAGCATTCCTTACAATTAGACCTGACATATCATACATGAATATATTCCTGGATACTGGAGCCAAGAGAAAACCATATTTCTATATACTGAGGTCAAAATAGTATAGCTGGTTAATGCTACTTCATTCTAATGTCCCAAATATTCTTCAGGAATGAAGAATGCACACAACCATTGAAACAAAGTCTATGGACTCATTGACAAAGAAGCAATATATGTTCTTGACAACTCAAACTTACTTAAAAGAGTCACCCAATTTTTCTGTTTTTTTAGGTGTTTTTTTTTTCCATTCTGTTTTAATAATTTCATAATGGCAAATATTGGGGGAAGGGAGAGAAAACAACAATAGAAACAAAAACACTGGTCAATAATTAAAATGCATGTGAAATTTTCTCTTGCGTCTCAATGTAACAAATTTTCATTGGATATGAATTCCTTGAAAACTGTCAAAATAAAAATATAGTTTTTATTTATAAGAGTAAAATGCCTTTCAGCAAGCAAGTCTATATCTAGAAATTTTTCCAAAGAAAAGGAAGTAGGGCGTGTGCACTTAGATTACTTAGATTATTTAGATCTAGGTAAAATGATATATTTTTACACCTTTATTTGTAATAGGAGAAAAAAGTAGAAATAACCTAATGCTACAAATAGGTCAATAATTGAAAAATTGTAATATGTTCTTATATTAGAACACTATGCAACCTCTAAGAAATTATAATCTAGGAGAATGTTTAATTACATGGAATGAAGTTTATGCAACATGGTTAAATTTTAAAAAGCCTACATTAGTAGTCTACATTATATAACGTGTTGTCAATTTTGTTTAAAAGGCCTTTGTACATAATATAAGGTGTAAGGTACATTTTAAAAATGCATATGAATGTTCAATTGTTCCAGCACCACTTATTGAAAAGACTATTCTTCACCATCAAATTACCTTTGAGTCTTTGTCAAAAATTAATTGACCACATATGTGTGGGTCTATTTTCTAGATTCTACTTGTTCCATTGGTCCATACGTTTATCCTTTAGCCAGTACCACAGTGAAAGCAGCTAGTGTGAGTCTTCCAATTGTTTTTCAGAATTGTACTGACTATTCTAGTGGTCCTTCTGCTTTTATATATAAGTTTTAGAATCAGCTTGTCAATTTCTATGAAAATTCTGTGGGGATTGTGGTAGGGATTGTATTGATATTAAAAAAGACCCCAGTAACAAAAAATTCCCCCCAAAATGGCCAATTTGAAGAGGTATTTTATTAAAGAAGATATACGGATGGCAAATAACCCATTAAAATATGCTCATTATCAGTCATCAGGAAATACAAATTAAAAAACACAATGAAACATCTCTACACATCTATTAGAATGTCAAGCAAGAAAATAAACAAAAATTTCACTATACCAAGTGTTAGAAATGATGTGGCACAACTGGAACTCTCACACATGGCTGATGTGAGTGGAAGATTGTGTGACTCCTTTGGAAAATAGTTTAGTAGCTTCTTATAGTTTGGTAGTTAAGCATATCCTTTACTATATAACCCTGAGTGCCACTTTTAGATTATTTACCCAAGTGAAATAAAAACATATGTTTACACAAAAATTCAAACATGAATGTTTATAGATGTTTTATTTATAATCATTCAAACTGGAAGAACCCAATTGTCCTTCAACTGGTCCACCCATTCAATGGAATATTTAGCTATAAAAAAAGAATGAACTACTGATACATACACCATACATTGTGCTCAATAATAGAAGCCAGACTAAAAAGGTCACATTCTATTAACATATGGCTCCATTTATATATAATTGTGAAAAAAGACAAAACTATAGATACAGGAAATGGATCAATGGTTTCCAGGGCTGGGGGTGGGGGGAAGAAGTAGAGATGAGGGAATTGAGATTCTCAAGATGAGAATTGTTACTATGAAATTCAATAGCTGATAGTTACATAACTGAATAAGTTTGCCAAAACTCATAAAATTGTACACTAAAAAGAGTGAATTCAAAGTACTTAAATCATACATTAATTATAAACAAGCACAACAAAAACAGAAAAAAAGGAAAATTGGGGGTTAAAATTCTTTTGGTTGCACTTAATAATTGTTGACAACTCCTGCTTTTAAGCATTGAATTTCACATGTAATTATCTCAAGTCAACATCCTCAATAAAGTTCTATAGCACTAAAATTTTTAATGTTACTAAGGCAACACAGAATATCTAAGAAGGCAAAAGATATTCAACTCTTGATCATATCAATGCAAATTAACAGTCAATGGCCCAATGGCACAAAATAAGTGGGAAGTTAAAAACATACACTGTTAGGTTTTTTTTTACTTACTTTTCATGAATTAGTTTTTTGGTATCATCCCAGGTAACCTCTAAGCGATTTATCTCCCTGTCAACTTCAGGTGCAAAAGCTACATCTTTCTGAGCAATTTGCTTAGCCTTGTCTTTCAACCAACATAATTCATGCTCGTGAGAATTTAATTCATCTTCTAGCTGATTGAACACTCGCAACCTGTGAATTAAAATGTTAAATTACTAAAGGTAGTTAACTAATATTTCTTCTCCATAAACACAGATAAGTCCATAAAGCACATATAAGATAGCTAGAAAAAACTTTTAACACAGCAGTTAAATGAATGAAAGATGCTTTTAAAATTAATTTTGCAAAATACTCAGATTCTGGGGTACTCAGATTATACCTCAAAAATTTTTGAGAGTCATTCTTACCACTTACCTGCCATCTTCTATTAATTTTATATTCTCTTTCTTCTTTGCTTTGATGGTGTAAGACTTTTAAGACTAAGACTGATCTTGTAGGCCAAGTAGGTGAATACTTATTAGAAAGTTATTGGGAAGAAATGCTTCTGGGCCATGAGGTTCGATCTACGTAAATAATATTCAAGGATCACAGGTGTTTCATTCAAACTCAAAATAGTTTTACTGAGCTCTCCAAAAAGTACATATTTTAAAAACTTAAATTACCTACATTATTGAAAAGATTACCTTGAGAAAATGATCAATTTTTTTTTGTCCCTAATCTATTAATAGTGGGGCATTTGTACAAAGTGTCCACATGGAGGCAGTCACTGCCTCCTTCATTCTTACAGTTTGGTATGGTGCTTCAGAGTTTATAAAGTGAGTATGCACGACTATCCCATTTAATTCCCCAAAGTGGCTGGGGGTAAGCATTTTCATTATCCTCACCTCACAAGAAGACAGCTGATTTGCTCAAGGTGACACAGTGAAACATAAGCATGGCTGGCATTTAATAAGCCCATCGATTCCATGCAACGTTTCCTACAGCTGATGTGTGACTTTGGTGTTGAGTTCAGTGTTGAGGTTACTGATTTGGCTCTTGAGCCCAAGCTGGGCTTTCTTCTCCAGCAATTTTAGGATCCCCCATCCACTTGGCCTGAGCAGCCCAGAGAGGGGTCAGCCCCCCTGCAACACCAATGCTTCTGCTGACTTCCTGGGTGAGTGACACTAGGCATCTTGCTCTCTCTTTACCCTGCAGGCTACTTTTACTTCCAAAATCCCATTCCCTTTTGTAAATGTATTGCTCAACTAACTAAAGAGTTTATTGCCCATGAGGGGTATAACCTCAGGAGCCCAGTTTTTAGCCCTGATATGAACTCAACCATCATCCAACTAAAGCCTTGACTTAATGTTTGATGGTGGGCAAAAGAAAACAAATGGCAGTGGTCTTGGCAGGGATAACATAATCTACATCCATTATGGGTACCTTGGTATGAGTGCATTTTAACCATTTTTTTTTTTTTTGCCATATGAATAAATGGGATAGAAAGTGGTCCCGAGAACATAATTCCAAAACCTTCTTCTACTAAGAAGGAAAAAGAAGATTGAAAAGAAGGCTACAATTTCTTTTCAATCTTTGAAAAGATTGAAAGAATCTTTCAATCTTTGACACCTGTCAAAGTTACTAAGGGAACTTACCCTTGGCCCCTTTGCTCCTCTATTGAACTCACCTGACAAAACTCCAACTTTGCTTAAACCCGCTTCTCCGGCTTCTCCATACCTCTAAGCAGACAGTTAAAGGTGGTCGTGGAGAACCACTCTGCCAAGCTGACTGCTTCTGCTTTGAATGAACACAGACCTCAAACGGCTGCTCATCGCCTTCCTAAGCTCCTCGCCATAAGAGAATGATTTCACACCATTTTCTCTCCTCCAACACCTGCCTTTATTCTCATTACAGAAGATGAGTCCCTTCCCCATCGGTAAAATATTGCTTACAAATAGATAATATGATCTATATGCTGTCTTGTAAATAAGGTCTCAGAGTGGCTCATATATAGCTTTTGGAGAAATCCCTAAGGAAGCCAAAGAAATTTTAGTACTTCTCAAGCATCAAATTCATCATTGTTTTATCATCATAATGTTAAAAAAAAAAGTTTTCAAATATGGTACTAACAAAGTTTTGCACAAAAGTCAATTCTGAGAAAATACAAAGAAGATGAGTGGCTGAGACAGTTTGCCTTACCTCTGCTGAAGGGCCTGGCGTGTAGGTTCTCGGAGTCGCTCTTTGTCAGCCCTTTCTTCAATGTCCTCAATGCTTCTCAGCAACTCCTCCTTCTGGTCTTGGAATGCTTTTCTCAACACCGCCAGGGCATCTGCCTCACTCTGCTTGGTTCCCAGAAGGTTCTGGATCCGCTCTAACTCTGCACAGAGCTGATCCGCTGTGGCTCTGCAGGAAGTCCTTTGCTCAGAGCTCCCACTTTTCAGATGGTACTGGGCTTTGGTAAGAACACCATCGAGACTGATGGCAGTTGATTCTAATGTTTTAGCGTCTCGAAGAGCATCATTTAGGTCCTTTTCTAACAGATCAGACTGTTTCTTGTTCATACTGTTGGTTGCTTCCACCGTTTGCCTCAGCTGGTAGAGAGTCCCGGACAGACAGGCGTGGCTCTGCAAGAATTCTGCCAATTGGGCCAGGGCCAGCTGCCTCCTCTCCACGACCTGGCTGGCCTCCTCGAACAGCTGGAAGCAGTCCTCTGCCTTGCCCTGCAGGAGGTGGAGGTCCTCCGCTCGGCCCAGAGAACCCAACTTCGCTAAGTGACCCTGCAGACTCTGCCATTCTCCCTTCTTGCTCTCCACTTCTGCTGCGTGGTCCTGGCAGGGGAGAGAGAGAGAGAGAGTGATTGATTGCTCAGATACACTACGGTTGATGACAGATACGTTCCAGGATTTGTGACATCAAGAGATATTTTAAGTATTTTTAGATATTTTAAGTATTTTAAGTATTTCATGGATAGCCTAGTATTTAAAGGTCATCTACAGTAAACCTTTAAAAAATATTCATAAAACTTCCTGTTTTGCTCATCTGTATACTTCACATGCTCTGATTTGGAACTGTGTCATTAATTTCATAGAAAAGAATTTCTTCATGGATAGAAATTTTACTTAAAAGATATTGAAAATTTGAAAGATTTTAAAAGATGTATTTTTTAAATTAAAAATTTAAAAGATGCATAAACTATTTTAACATTTTTTAATTTAAAATTTTAAAAGATGTATATCTGTATATATAAATATATAAATGTAAATATTTATATTTAAATATATTTCATATATTTTTATATATTTGATTTTTTATTTTTAAAAGATGCATATATAAAAAAACTTTAAATTAAAAAATTTACAAGATGCATTTGTGTGTGTATATGTGTTTCTTCAAAAAAAATCTTCCAAATTTTTAATTTCTTTTAAGTAACAATTTCTATCCATGAAGAAATTCTTTTTTTTTTTTTTTTTTTTTTTAAGACAGAGTCTCACTTTGTTGTCCAGGCTAGAGTGAGTGCCGTGGCGTCAGCCTAGCTCACAGCAACCTCAAACTCCTGGGCTCGAGTGATCCTTCTGCCTCAGCCTCCCGAGTAGCTGGGACTACAGGCATGTGCCACTATGCCCGGCTAATTTTTTATATATATATATATCAGTTGGCCAATTAATTTCTTTCTGTTTATAGTAGAGATGGGGTCTCGCTCTTGCTCAGGCTGGTTTTGAACTCCTGACCTTGAGCAATCCGCCCGCCTCGGCCTCCCAAGAGCTAGGATTACAGGCGTGAGCCACAGCGCCCGGCCCCATGAAGAAATTCTTTTGCATGTAATTAATTACTTTCAAATCAGAGTTGTGCTTCCTGTGAGACTATTGTATAGGAAATTTGATGAGGTTCACAATAAATCACATTTAAAATCTAGCAGAAAATTGCTAATACTATCAGCATGGTTCCTATTAAAGAGAAGTTATTGCTGATCTTATTCTTGATCACAATGGCTTTAGGATTCCCTTCAGTGTGACTACTAAACTTTAGACAGCTTCTTCCTGACTGGAGATTCCTGACCTCCTGTTTCCTATAGCACTTACTTTGGAAAACTTGTAATTATAAATTCATTCTCTACCACTTTGAGGTATAAAGCTCGTAAGAGCCTCTGGTCAGTTTTACAACCCTAGAATGTTTTTCACAAGGACGTGGGCACCACCCCTTTGAAATGTAGTCATGAAGGAAGATAGCATCCCTCTCCCCCAGTGTCTGTGGAGGGCAGGAGCCTAACATACTGGGCACTTGCCTCCAAGCTGTACAACTACCTCCTGCCCTGAAGACATCAGAAACTTTGCTCTTCCCTTCTGCAAAGCCAATTAGCAAACCCAACGTAGAATGAACACTGAAGAAATATAAAATGTATTGTTATAAGCACGTCATGTAGCTTATTTCTACTGTCCCAATGCTTGATGATTAATAGATGATTTTTAAAATACATTTTGATGTCAGGATAGATATCATGTGTTGGAGCTAAACACATTATAGAAAACAATACGCTAAAATATGCTGCTTTGGACTTCAAACCAAGAGCACCCGGGGAGTAGCAACTGCAGGGAATGGCCTTTCCCTGATATGACTAAGGGAAGTTCCTCCAGAAGGAACGCGACATCAACCAGGCAAGAGTAACTCACAGGAAAAGTTTCTTAAGGTCTGACCACTCACTCAGAGAAACGTGTACCACAGGCTACCTTCAATTCTGACAGCCTTTATCTGCATAGGACATCTTTGTTCTCACACATTTCCTCCCCTCATGCTCCCATAGCTTGTTGCCACTGGCCTCTGGAAGCCCCAGCCCCTATTTCTCTGTGTGGTATAAAAACTTCAGTCATTCGGTCCTTCTTTGAGTCTCATATTTTGGGGGACTCCTGTACATATGCACATAATAAATCCTATTAACTGGTCTATTGTCAGTTCATTTCATAGACTCAAATTAATGGGACTTTTAGAGGACACAGGGAAAGTTCCCATCACCCCTTCAATGCATAATTTATAAAAAAGGGGAATAAGGCATGAATTTAAGCTAAATAATAATTGAGAAAAGCTATATCATTAAAGTATTAGAATTCAGTATTAGTTTTCAGTATTGAAATAAAACGAAATAGGAAGCTTAAAAATGGACATTCTTATCACTAAACACTAGAAAGCATTTGCTCCACTGTGAAGAAACAGTTTTTAAAGTGGTTGCCTGTTTTACCTGAAGTGGTTTTATCTGCTGAATTTATGTGCATAATGCATTGCTTAGATTCCCATGCTCAATTATTAAAACATATTCATATGAATAAAAAGTTAAATTGCTGCCATGCATTTTTTTATTTTAAAATGTTGCTTACCTTTGTAATTCAAGAACTTTTTTTTTTGTAAATAAATTCTTCAATCTTAAAAGAATGTATTTACCTTGTGCCGAGTAAGAGCCACTTGATGGTCTACCAGGCTTATCTCAGAAGTAGTTTGTAATTCACTGAGAAACAGCTTAATCCAGACAGAAAAGGAAAGCAGCAGCTCATCAAATTGCTGGTGTTCAGCGACCGCAGACTGAAGAAAATTAATCCTGTAGAGAAAGGTATTTCAGTTAAAATGTCCCCTAAGTGAACAGAAAGAGGAATTAAGTTTACACAAGGGTAAAAATGATGTCGTTATATTAATATATAGACAGGCCAGATCCTCTTGATGTTTTCTGCTTCCCAAGCCCTGTTTTTTCTCAAAATGTTCTGTCTCAGTTAACATTGCCACCATCCACCCTGATGGTCCTATGAGTCAGTCTTCATCCCGCCATGTCTTTACCGGTACCTCTGACCTATGCATGTCCTGTCGGAAGCCCCAACACACGTTCATTCTCGCTCTTCTCTCCATTTTCACTATCCAGCCCTGCTCTAAATCGCTTTATCTCCTGCCTGAGCTCCACTCTCCTAACTGGCTTCCTTCCCTCTCTGCCTCTATGCAGTATACTCTGTAGGAAACAGCCAGAAAGGATTTTGTATGATCAGGGCATTCCCTCGCTGTGCTTAGACACTGGAGCACTTTCCTGTTGTGCTTGGGAAGGCAAAACCCCAAAACTCCTTACTGTGGTCTACAAGGAACCCACATAAGCTACTTCTCTGGCCTCATCTGATACATCTCTGCCCCTTACTCCCGCTGACCTGTTTTCTGATATCCCAGCTCATTACTGCCTTAGAGCCTTTGCCATTTTTGCTCCCTCTGCCCATGTGCTCTGCTCCTAGACCCCTGGGTCTGCTCCTTGCACAGCACTCAGGTCTTAATCAGATGTCACCTCCCCACAGAGGCTTTGCTTGACCACCCAGTCTAAAAATGCACCATCCCGCTAGTCCCCGGCATGTTACCCTATTTCGTTGTATTCATAATGTTTAACACCACCTGCAACAGTCTTGTTCATTCACCTGTTTAATTATGTATCTATCTTCCCAAGCCCCATCCTCCCCTCCCTACGCCACGAGAGTAAGGACTGTGCCCACTTTGCTTTCTACTATCTACCTAGCACTTAAAAAGGTGCCTAGGATATGGTCAGGGATCGATCACTGTTTTTGTAATAAATGAATTAGCTTTTTAATAATCTGTGATCATAGATCAGAATTCAAAACCCATATTAAAAATAATTTCTTAATCAAATGCTAATATTCATTACAATGGTTTATATTCAGAGTTCAGCTTTTAAACCAGCTTTCATGTTTTAATCTTTACATAATCTTCTACACATTATCTTTCCATACATAATTTATATGTTGAATGCCTTCCCACATTTGCATCACTTTAAAAGTCCTTTACTTTCCCTGGGAGGGACAGATGGAAGGCAGATACTGTTCTGTTTTATAGAATGTTGCTCACCTTTCAAGAACTGGCACCACATCCTTCTGGAAATCTTTCCCGAACCCATTCAAACGCCCCTTTTCTTCCTGTTCCTATAATGCTCTGTGCTCACCTCTCTCATTGGTTTCCCACACTATCTGTAAATTGCTGGAGGTCAGGTTTTGTTTATTTTGGTGGCTCCAATATCCGCCTGATACGGTGCCTGGCCCTCAACAGACACTGAGTGCACATTTGTTGACTGAATAAATGAACAAATAACCATGGAATACACACAAGCTCCATGAAAGCAGAGAGTGAAACTCATTTCCCATTGTTATCCTCAGCACATAGTACAGTGTTCCACCCATTGTAGAAATACAATAAATATTTGCTGAATGAATGAATCTATGGCCAAATTAAAATTTTTTAATAAAAATAAATAAAATAAAATAAAAATGGCTAGACAGGTTAAATGCTCATCTAAGATCATATGGATAATCAATACTAATGTAAAGAGAAAATCTGTTTTCTGGTATATTAGAAAGGTATAGATGCCAATTGTTAATCACCAAGTTAATTAAGATTTAATCCATTTTTGCTTCCATTTACTATAACAGCAATGTCCCTTGCTCTCTCCAAAGATCTATATTAAAATGAAATGGAAAAGCATGTGTATAGAAAATGGAAAAGCATATGTATAGAAAATGCCTCTGGTTGAGGAATAGCACATTAGGTGAAATTTTAGTTACTGTTTTTCTTTTGTACACAAACAGCTTAGGCAATAAATAAATACCAACATTAGCAATGCTACTCTCTTTAATCTATTTCAAATGGTGTAATCATTTTCCATGATTTTACAGCTAAAATTATGAATTGAGGCTCAACAGAAATGCTTATTTTTGAGGACCTTAATTAATAAAAATGACAGATAAAGTAGTTTTTTCCTTTCTACAGAAAGCCCATGAATAGCTGAGCTAAATAAAAGTAAATAAAAGTAAAAGTTTCTTCCTTTCTACAGAAAGCCCATGAATAGCTGAGCTAAACAAAAGTAAACAAAATTATGCTTTCTTAATTTATTTGCTCACCATTAAATACAAATGAACAATATTAGAAGGGTTTTTTTTATTTCGGCATATTATGGGGGTACAGATTTTAAGGTTTCAATAAATGCCCATTTCCCCCCCTGCCCCCACAAGTCTGAGTCTCCATTATGACCATCCCCGGTTTGTTTTTTTTTTTTTTTTGAGAACCAACCTTTTGCTAATTATCTGTGGTAAATCTCTCCATCTCTCATCCAACTGCTCCAACTGTAGTTTCATCATTTTCACATCATCTTTGGAGGCTACTGAGAACAGTGATTCCTTCAATTGCAAAAGGTTGCTATAGGATGAGGCCTGGGATACAACTTCCTTTTGCAGCACCTGAGAACAACAACACATTACAGAATAGGACGTGTGACTCCCAGGTGGTTGCTTTCCCAAGGATTTCCAATTTCTTGCAAAGTAGAAATCACTGGGGCCAGGTTGAAGAGAGTTTTATTACTTGATTTGGAAATGGATCCACTTAACCTCTATTGCAATTTTTAAAATGCTACTGAAACCTGGATAAGTTTTCTGGAGTCTGATTTATATTAAGTTAGGCAAATTTAGAAGCTGTAAAATTTCTTTCAGCATGAAGAAGCTGCTTAGGCAAAGAAAATCAAAGAAAAACTATTGCCAAGGAGAACTGATGCATGGCTTACAATAACAGAGACACGATTCTAGGTACCTGGAACATGGTCTCCGTCTCTGTTTAGAGTCTATATTTGGGAACTTAAGGGATCTTCATTTCACTTTCAAGCAACCGAACTATTTATTTTTTAAAAATTTAATCAGGCAATGAATCTCTTAGGTACTGTGAGATTCCCACCTAATAAGAGATAAGATATAAACACTCATATAGATAGGCAGCAATAAAAAAAGGTGTTGAGATGATAGTTAAAGCTTGGTAGATAGCAGATGTTTGCCAAGATGCTTTCTAGTGAAGCCACATGTGTTATACAAGCCAAATTGCTAAAGGGATCAAAGGAAGGAGTACACAGCCTATAGACCACAGGTGGGACCACAAAGCAGAACTGGGACTTATCTGGGCAGGACAAGGAAAGAAGCAGCATGGGAGGCAAGGCCAGGAGGTGGGAAAGTACAAGTCAGGTCCAGCCCACAGCAGCGAGGCCGCCTGGCTGACACGGTGTCTGGATGCCCGAGTAACAGAAGCCCCCAGTCCTCTCTCCGTCCTCGAACACATACAACACTTAGTTTCCAAAGAGAGGCATGTAGCAACACAGTTTTATATGCCTAGATATCTTTGTATCTGTGCCTTATCACTTGTAAAGCCAGGAACTGTGACTCCTCTGCTTGGAACATGTCACATGTGTTTGGAAGAAGATAAGAACCACATTGTGGACTCAGGATACAGGCACTGTAGGTTTCGAGAAGGGACTTTTGGGAAGGTAAATGCAGACACTGTTGTTTAATAAACCAGAAAGGCAAGAGAACCAGGAGTATGGAGTAGCCTCAAAGTCAAGGAAGAAGAAAATTTGAATATGAGGCAATAGGTTCAGATGCTACAGATACCTCTGTCACAGTTTTTAGAAAAGCAATTATAAAAAGTGAAATAACCTAGCTTTATCTTAAATTTATTATAAAAGGTGGTGGGAGAAAGTTGGAATATAAATCTGTAATACAATAAATCTCCTTTAAGAAGCAACTTTAATGAATTTTCTGGCATAGACAGTATCGCTTAAAGCAAGCAATTTATTAATCTCCAGAAATCAGCAACATTTTTGACTGTAGCTTCAATTAGACTTAAAGAATGTTTTTTAGTTTAAAAACTTAACTTCTTCGAGGACGTAATAAGCTAGTAGTATTCTTTGTCTTTCTGCCTATCATTTGCATTTGCGCTCATTCATTTTTTTCTGCCTTGCTTGAAAATAATCCTAACTGTGACCTCTTTGTACATTTTATTACTTCTCTCTTTAAAAAAAACTTTTTATTACCAAAATTTTATATACATGCAGAGGTAGAGAGATTATACCTATTACCTGCCTCAAAAATCATTAACTGATAGTCAACCTTGTTTCTTCTATTTCTACCCATCCTTCCCTCAACTCCCTTGCCAGATCATTTTTATTCAAATGCTAGACATTATATTATAGGATTTTCTAACACATCACAGAAACTGATCATCACGAAATGTACATCCTTACTTTGTCTTTCAGCTCAGGGTTACTTTCCTCTTTTCAGGGTACTTTGACATCAAATGATGCTTCCGGGATCATAAATCCAAGCAAGAAGTGAAGTGGGATAGAGGTTTGTTTATTATTTTATCATTTTTAAAATAATGCAACCATAAGAAAGAGCATCTTATTTTCCTTCCTCACACTTCCTTGAACTTGCCTGTATTAATTGAAGTTCGCCTTCCACTTTGACTCTGTCTGCAGAAATGTCCATTTCTGGGGAACTGGCTACAGCTTCACACCGCTCTAACCAGGTCAGAAAGGATGACAGTTCTTTCTCTAGCCTAAAGGAAGCAGAGAAAAGAAACAGTTTCATTTAAAATCATCATGTGAGAAGACTAAACCTTTCTGAAGTTGGAGTGTTCAACATGAACCATTACAAATAATAAAATGTTGGTTATCTCAGGCTTAGATGTAAAGGTAGAAAAATGACTCCTTTCATTTCCGTGTGTGCTTGCACACATTGGGTAATTTGTCAGATACAAAGACATCCTCTCCACTCTCAGAAGTCCTCATCTTATAATGAAGATCAAGATCTTCCTATACGAGACACATGAGCTCACGTATTATACATCTGGGATGATTATTCCCTGTCATTTAGAGAACAGTTGTCCAGAATTTCTTATTTAATAATGATGGTAAGTCGAGCAAAACATCGCTCACCTCTGCCAGTGGGCCAGCAGGTTCTCCAGGGCAGTCTGTCTCTCCTTGGCCCTGTTTACTGTCCCCTTGTATCGCTGCTGCAGGGCTGCAGCCTCCTGAACACAGGACTCTCTGTTCTCCACCTTCCGGGCACTGGCTGAGAAGGCGGCCACTGTATTGCTCAGCGACTCCAGGGCCTGGCAGACGTCCTAAGGAGGGTGCGGAAGGAACACAACCAGCGCACAGGATCCAATGAGACCTACGTCTTTCTTTGAGATGCATCAGGGCAAACTAGTTTTCCTTAGTCATAATAAACAGCAATAGTACTAAAAACTGGGTACAAATATACAGTTTGATAAAAGAAAAAAGACAAAAAAGACAGTGTGTACGATAGATCAGTAGGGTGACTCTAGTTCACGATAATCTATTTCGTATTTCAATATAGCTAGAAGAGAATAATTTGAATGCTTCTAGCATAAAGACAAATATTTAAAGCAATGGATATCCCAATTACGCTGATGTGATTTTAATAAACTATATGAATTTATTAAATTGTCCCACATACCCCCTCAAAAAAATAACTAAAAACTGAATCTAAAAAAATCTCTCCTTATGATGTACAGCAAGACAGTGAAAATGAGAAGTTACTTCATGAACACAGAAATAAAAAATGAGAATGGAGAGGCTTTCCCCAAAGAAGAATGTGCTGCTGTATGTCTGAATAACTTCAACTTTCCCTTAACAATTCAGATAGTTTGTGAAAATTATTATTCATTTTATGCCAAATATGTGAGCATTTTAAAACCCTATTCTTGATTTACAAAAACTACATGTAACATACTATAATCTCTACAAAAACTATATAGAAAGAGTTATGGCTGAAATGGCTGCTGTCAGGAATCAATACTACTACTACTACTACTAATAAAGAATAATAAGAAGAATGTGGCAGGTACTGTGTTATGTGCATTGCATGTATTAACTCATTTAATCTTCATGAGAACCCTAAGAGGTATGTATGCTCTTTCATTATCTTCATTTTACAAATTAGAATAGCAAGGCAGAGAAAAATAATTTGCTCTAGGAAATCTAAATATGAGAAACAGAATATTATCCTCTCTGGTACTCCATTATTAACTTAGTTGTCTATTAAAATAATTTCATCACATGAACTTTTCCTCATGGTTTTGTATTAAAAATTACACGAATAACCCAAAAATGCATTCTCATTATAAATCTTCAAACAATATAAATCTTGCTCCCATTTCCAGATGTGCCTTTGTCAACTGCTTGTTTTCCATCGCAGCTGTCCCCTTTCTCTACATTTTATGTACATATGTGCACACATGCACATGTAGTAGGAATATCTGCATTATTGTTTATTAATTAACATATTTCTTTTTAGTATTTCTTTGTGTATAGCTCTTCCTGTTTGCTCCTTTCCCCAAATTCTGTTGGAGCCTTGCAGAAGTTTCGCAATGATCAGTTCAGAGCACAGACCAAAAAAGCCAGTCATTAGAAATAGGTTAATGAGAACACATTCTTTGCATATTTGAGTGTAGTGGGCTAAAATCTGAAATCTGCTGTGCACATCTATTTTTTTCCTTGCACATTTAATTTTTTATAGTGCTGGCAAGTGGTAACAGGGTTTATTAAAGCTATAATCTAAAAATGTTACATATTCTAATTAAAAGAGAGAAATATATTTTAAATGAATACTTCTTTAATACACATTTTAATGAAAACTTACCTGCATACCAACATTCCTTATATTACATAAAGTGACTATGTTTAATCTATATAATTCCTCAACATAAAAAATTTTCCACTTCTAATTCTCATAAAAATACTCTGTTTTTTTCTCAAGTAGGAATTATCAAACTTCTGAGTTGATAAATAGTAGAAATGTTGAAGCACACTCTTACCATATGTTCTTGGAGAATTTTGTATGTTTCTGTAGCTGAAGAACATATTTTAATTGGATCAGCAAGTTTATCTTCAAATTCAGACACAGTCTGCTGGATCTAAAACATTGGTGCAATATAAAAATAATGGGGGGAAATATACATCAAGGCAAAAAAGGTTATTGAAAAGTCAGCATATCTACCTTTTATGGATAACTTTTAATGTAATGATAAAATGCATTTTTTAAAAAATATCAAGCCATGTATCCAATTATTTGAAAGGAAAATGTTTGTTTTAATGACTATCCAAACACAATGTACAACATTCTTATATTCCACCCACAAAATACTTTTCAAATAATTATAAATTTGTTCATCATTGACAACTTGGTAGATGATTGGCAAATTGTCTTTCCTTATTCTGCTATTTGTGGAATATTTATTGCATTTCCCTATAAATACAATGTGAAATACATGAGTATACCAGGGCCAATTCTTACCTTTCTAAGATTCTCTTCAAACTTTTGCTGTTGTGACAAATGTCCCAGGATTGTCCCTTCCAGACATTGTGCGTGCTCTCGGAGTTCTTCCCAATATCTTCTTATTTGTGTCAACTTGGCTTTGATTCGAGCAGATTCTCCAGTGGTAATAAACTGAGCAAAAGACTGAGCTGCTTCTTCTAATTCTGTAATGCTGCTGATCTTACTTTCTATTTCCTGGATTGTGACCTAATATTTAAAACAAGAAAAATGACAATGCAGGTTGAACAAGCTTTCTGAAATGATGGAACTATCTGCATATAGAGAAAATCAGGAAAATTTCCTTAATTAACATTTCAACATACTTGAATGATCAGAGCACAGCTATGAGCAAACACCATGTGGTTGGGGAGGATAGAAATGGCCAATGATGTCTGCAAAATACAACCTGACAGAGGTTGTGCTCACTGGATAGAGAAGAAAGAGAAACAGCTACTCCTGTTTGCAGAAAAGTAAGCAAGGAAATGTCCCTGGATCTCTTACAGTATCTCTGAAGGCACAGAGAATTCTCTGCTTACCCTGTGAACCAAGCATTTTAACTAGCTGATCTGGGGAAGCATTGTGTTTCAGTAACTCATTGGAATGCTAATATAGACATTCATTTATTTTTCTAAAATGGAATTGAGTATTTTATGGCTTACTAAACAAAAAAGTTTTCTGATTGCACTCCTACCTGAAACCAGGTTTATTTTTTTTTTTAAATTTATCATCTATTCTTTATGCCAGTAATTTCAAATCTAGAATCCATTAGGATCATCTGGCCCCTCCTTTCTGGGATTCACAATTACAAATTAAGTCTAAGGTGAGGCTCAAGAATTTTCACTTCTAATAAATTCCCAGGTGATGCTGATACTGCTATTCCAGGGACTCCACTGCTATATTCATTAGCTACATATTAATATTTTACAGCAAAAAGCCTATGTAATATAATTTTAATTTGGAGCAAAAAGGACATTTTATATCTTAGCAAACACTTGAAAAATACTGGTAACTACTAAGAATGTATGTGCATATATGTATGTGTAGGGTTATGTCTCTCATAAACATATATTTAAGAAATAAAAATTGTTTCCCTGAGAAAAAGGGCCAAATCATTCAATCAAAATAATGTCAAAAATTCAGACAAGTCTCAAATAATTTAAATAAAAAATATAGTTATCCTAAAAAAATAAATTTGTGACTTCTACCTAAATGAAACAACATAGTCAGAAATAACATCTGTCTAGTTGGGACAACCAAAAATAACTTATATCAGATTAAATGCCAGGTATGGGTAAGTTATTTATTTTTATTTTTCATATGCATGACCGCAGTGGTATATCTGATAGATACCTGTTGTTTGAGCATTAAGGCAGCCTTTCTTCATTTTGGTGTTTTCTAAGACTATATTTTTTAAGAAAAATTACTCATAAATTCAACATATATATATTGAGTGTCTACAATGCACTCATAACTGTTCCAGGTGCCTGCAATATTATCGGTGAAATAATCTTTAGTTAAGAACAGAGTTCTTAGTTCTTAGAGTCATACCTGTCATCAAAAAATTCATAAACACAAACCATACAATTGTATTGTTGAATTGTGGTAAAAAAGAAAAACTATGCAAGAGAAGAAGATGGAATATAATTCCAGCATTTATTCTTATTATTTATCATTATCAATTAGGAATAAGAAATCGGTCGTTTAGAATAACATGTAATGAGGAACAAAAATGGGCTTAGAGTATTTATCTTCCAATAATGCAAATGCTTCATTAATTTTAATCCTAAAGTTGTTTTAAAATGAAAACACTATGGCAAATGTTACAATATTTTTAATATTTCCTATAATATAGTCTTTTGCTTGGAAATAGAATATGAACATATTATCCCAATTTCCATAGGACACTGTATTACATTCTTTTATTTCTAGTATCTTTTTCCTAGTATTCTTATGCATTTAATATATTTTAGATAATTTTCAAAATGCCATATTGGACATACCAAAATGTATTTCTAGTCTGATGGCACAGAAATCCACAACTGAATATTTAAATATTTAAAATAAAATATGTACATATCTTTTTTCTGAGGAATAATAGTGAGATGACATTTGATCATTGATATATTTTGGAAGTCTTGGAATAAAGGTTAAAATAATAGTAAATGAATCATAGAAAGGATAAATAACTTAAAATGTATGTTAATTTTTGAAAGGGGATTTTTTGAGATAAAATTATTTAAATGTGCTATTCCCTTTTTACTTAGAATTTGGCAAAAATAATAAAATGACAACTTTTGAAAACAGTTTTAAGGATTAATAATATTTCATGAATACCGTTTAATGGCTTGCCATCTATTTTTCCCAGTACAGCACAGAAGACATAGCAGACTGTGTGTACCACCCTCCACGTATCCTTGATTGCAAAAGATGTGTGATAAGCAAGGACGATCTGCGCAGTGGGTAATCTTAGCTGAGCAGCACTGCATCCTCCCACCCTGCACATGGTAATAACTTGCTCTGAGTCATAGTGTGAAACATTCCCTTACCTTGGTATTTATTTTACTATATTTAATTGAATGAAATGGCAGAGGGTTTTCCCACTCCAAAAAAAAATGAGCTGAGATAGAAAAAGAAGTGCCTGAAGTTTGAAAATGTGTGGTGTAAAATTGTATAAAAGAGAGATGACCACGATGAGCTCATTTCCTGGAGCCCATTTTTTGTTAAACTGTTTGAATGAAGTGGACGATGACAGTCTATCTGTATGGTTATTTTAGAGCTGGAAGAACTAAACAAGCAGAGTATCTCTGTTCAAGCCCCAAGGTCAGAAATGAAAACATTAGAGCTCCTAGGTTTGGTTGGTTCACCTAAAGAAAGTAGTTTTTCAAACTCCTCCTCGTGGTGGGTGAGGGTAAGTACCACCAATTCTTGAGCTAGACATTTGGAATGGTTCTTATAAAGCTGAGTTGTAGATGATGAATACATTTCATGTTGTATAAATAAATCAACAGAGAATTCGATTGACGTTAATTCAAAATCAAGGAAAAGAATAACGTAACCATAAAAATATTTTAATGATATTGCACACAATATTGACTTTAAATGCACAAGTCAGACAATATTAATACATAATTCCATCTATAAAGTGTTGCTCAGTATCAATCAAGACCTCCTAGCTTAGTAATTTATATGAAATTTAATTTTAATAGAGTCACATCACAATGAAAGATTTGTCCTGGGACCAAATAGCATTTGAAGAAATGTAAGAAAGGAGTTCTTAAAAGCTACACATGGATTATAAATATAATGTGTGAACAGGTCACCTTAATTTGGCTGATTTGCATGTCCATGGCAGATGACGAAGTTTCCAAGGCATTGAGTTCTTTTTCTTTCTCAGTTATCCAGACGGACAGAGTCTCAAAATTACTGCCAAAATGATCCCACTTGGTTTTCACCATTTCCATGGTTTTAATACTAAAATTAACCAAATTAAGTAAATAAAATGCAGTACTTTAATAGAGAACAACACATTTTTTCTTTAAATCACCCGATGAAAAGATAGTGAAGACATCTGTGACCATTTCAAAGTTGAAACTATTTGAACTGAAAAAAAAAATGCACATCTGATTTGAGTACTTTGTGGGGCCTCAAGTTTTCCTATCTCCTCTGAGAATGAACATTCAATGAGGTGGCATTTATTCTACGTTATGCATGGAACTGCACTTCAAACAACATAGTGCTTGGTCCAAAGGAGTTTGAATCCAGGAATAATCTAATTAAACTCTGCATGTGACCAGTCGTTGCTAAGACTCATTTTAATAAACTATGCCAGAAGAGATTCCAGTGTACATAGTTTTTCAAAAATCCTATTTTTATGGAATTGTTCCTCTTGCTCTTAAAGGAGAGACACTGCAGTGATGCTTTATAGTGAAAGATGTTTATAAAATGCATCTTCATGAATCTAGACAGAACAGGCCCTATTTACCATTAGAGTTAAGTCTGAGATTTATAATCTCTAGTGATTTTAGCTATTTTCATAGATGTCCTATGACCCTGATTCCAAAAGACTTTTATAAACTTTGTGTATAGAGCACCCTAAACTACTTTTAGACAACTTAGGCTTTATTTGTAACAGATCTAATGAATAAATTATCAACTATAGATTCCCTGTGTGTATTAGCTATGCATATATAACCAGGTGAATATGGCTTTTAGTCTAGGAAAAAACTAAGAAACTAACAGTATATCATTCAACTGATAAATCCTTGGGTTAAAAAAAAAGTGAAAGAATGTTCCTGTTTACCAAAAGGCACTTAAAGACATCAAGAAAAATAAAATGGCATCATTGATTGTCAAATTTAATAGTATTGCAATCTCAAATTTATACCCCAGTTGTGCTCAATTCTCTCAGCAGTACAGGTAATGCAAGCTATGTTATATTTTAACTTTTAAAATGAAATAAAGATCCAAATGGATATTCTTAATAGAAGCAGCTTCCTTTCCAATAAACTATAAGTTTTACTATTTCCATAACTTGATGGATAATATTTAATATAAAGTCCTCAAAGTTTCAAGTCATAATTTGTTTTAAATAAAATATTTATCAAATTTTAAAGTTTAGGCAAATGTAAAATGTTAATTTCAAGGTGTTAATAGTATTAAAAACAAATTTTACACTTTAAAATTCATCTTAGAAATGATGTCCTGTTTCTTAAGAATAACATGCTATTATGTGTCATTGATTTGCCACTAAATAACCTTAAAAATAGAAATGTTTAGTCATACTATTTTGAGGAATATTGGCCATATCCTCATAAATTTACCCCCTCCAAACTTTTTGTATTTATTTTATATATAACAGGATATCAAAAGGCCAAATTGTTATGTCATTCTTTTGAGATAAACAAACATTAAATGTTTAAAAATAAAATAGGCTTTTAACGTTAGCTTCTGGAAATAGCATATTGAGTGATAATTTGAATACCGAGGCACTGTAAACAAGCTTCATGACTTCCGTAAGTTGGAGACATTTCGTCTATGTGATGTGTATTTCATCTAGAATTAACATTAAGAAAATATCTCCTTTTCCCTCCAGCTGGTGACAGCAGAATAATATAGTAAAAAAAAAAAATTAAATATTAGCTCTTTTTAAGGTTCCCTCTATAATGTACAAAGGCCACAGAATGGAATAGATATGGCTTTCTCATGAACTAATCTCTTTAAGTCGCAAAAACCACATCCCTTATATTTTTTGGCTCTGTTATAGATATTTGTTTCTGTGTTAGTGATACTTTCTTTTGAATTGTAAGTTGCTTCCTCAAAACATGCTGAAATACACAGACACTTTGAGATTTCAAAAGAATGTTTTGAATACAAGATACAGGAAAGATTGTATGAAACTTTATCTCAGAGAAGAAAGTTTAGGACTTGTCAATCACATACTCTTCTTCAAGCGTGTCTTCTAATTTTTTGACTTGCTCTTTGATTGACTTGGCCTGCTGTTGAAGCAGCTGCTTATTTTTGGGCCCAAGTGGAATCTCTGAGGCTTCCTTTACAAGGTTCTCAGCTTGGATTGCGATACTTTCTGTCCGTTTAGAAAACTCCTAGAAAAAAAAAAACATTATAATTGTTAGGTAGACATTTTATGTTATTTAACTCTGCTCTTACATAAATTGCTTATACTGCATAGTATTCCTCAGAATAGATGGATTTGTACATGTGTGGATCTTATACTGTACTTATGACCAAAATAGACCCTTTGCTAACATTTTTTCATTTTACACACACAGCCAGCTACAAATATTCATATTAATAGTTATCCAACAATTCTCATAAAAATGGTTTTTCCATTATTTCCTGGCTTTGGTTTATTTGTTAGAATTCTTAGCTATATTATAATGATTAGCTTATCCACAAGTATAGTAATTTATTACAGACCAATTCACAAAATATTCAATAGTAATTGATTTTTTTCTATCATAGAGATAATGGATTTCTAGGCCAAGGAATAGAAATAGATATTTCTTTAATTTAATATCTTTAAAAAAATAGAGTATCAGTGGTCCTTATTATAAAGAAACATTTACTTTCCCAGTTTCCTAAAAAGGGATATCATCTGATCTTAATGCCTTGTATATCTTATTTATTTCATATGCATATGCAACATGATGGAAAGAAGGTAAACTATGAACCAGTCAAGCTTCGGCCAGAATCCTAGATCAGCTAATCACTAGTTGTCTGACTTTGGTGAATTACTTTTCAGGCTCTTTAATGTAAAATGCAGATGGTAATGCTTTTCCTGGAAGGTGACTATTAGAATTCCATTAGCAACTTTACTTTTAAGTGCCTAACACTCTGGCAGGTCCCAATTATTTTCCTACACATAAAATTGAGGAGAAAATGGGTTATTAAGTCCATACACAGATTTTAACAATACTGAACTCTTTTAATTAAAAAGTTAATTTAATATGCATGAGACAGGTAAACTTTAGATGTTATCTGAATTTTGTCACTTCAATATATTGAATACAGAATTAGAAAAACACAGTGATAACTTTGAGTGAAGAAAATTAACTTAGTGTCTCTTTTCTTTTCATTTAAGATAATCTCACAGGAAGTTTAAATTTTGATCATCAACTCCCCTCTCTTCAATGGATAATGTAGAAATCTAACGTAAATATTCTTAAAAATTCAGCTTTTTGATCAGAGCACCTCCTAGAATTATTACACAATACCATATAAGATAGAGTTACTACATAATACTATTGTATCTTCATGTTTGAAATACTTAACATCCTCATAGAACTATCAATCTTACTTCATAGAAGAAGTACCCTGCAATTTGAGAGGCTAAAAATAAGTACAGCTTCCTTATGGTATAGAGACTTATGGTGTCCTAAAATATGATACATGCTAATGTCACAACTTTAAGTTCTATGGTTAAAAGCACACACTATTACTATATGTGAACTTACAGTCATTGTAGATTCAATTGTGAAGACTGTGAACCACAGCATGATTTCTTAGAATCCCAGGAATAGAATAGGAAGTATAAAATAAAATGATTTTTTACACTAATGTTTCTCAGAACCCAGGAAAAAAACATGGAGAAAGTAATATTTGAAAGTGCTTATATACATCCAATCTTAGAGCCTTTTGTGTGAGCTATGTAAAGGGAAAGCACAATGCTGAGGAATCCAAAGATAGAAGTGATGCTGATAAAATCGAAAATTAAATGAAAATAGAATAACACTGTAAGGCCTTATCTCCAAGTCCTGAGAAGGAGACATATGAGTGGTAGCAGGATCCATCGGGAAAGAACTGACTCACATCGGATTGATCTGGAGTTGAAACCAGGCTCTGCCCTTTTCTAGCTGAGTGACCTTGAGCCACATCTCTCTGAATTTCCATTTCCTCGTCAGTAAAGCCATGCCTTTTTGTGGAAATTAAACAGGATATTGCTATGAACACCCTACCTCACATCAGCACACAGAGGACGCAAAACCATTCCTTAGCACAAGAAACACTCCAGGACTATTAACTGGAATAAAGATTATAATAACAATGCAAGGTGAAGAAAGAAGTAGAGAACAACTGTTCTAGATTATTTATACATGTTTATGTGGCAGTGTACATAAGCAATTAGCAGTAAAGTGGCTCAGTCTTGGAATGAAAATATAATATACAGGCTAAGGGTGTAGGCTCTGGACTGAGACTTTTTAGGTTTGAATCTCAACCTCACCATTTAGTAATCTAGAGATCTTAGACAAGTTCATCATCAACTTTGTGTCTTATATGTCTATGTCCTTGTTTATACAACAGGATTAATAATGATAGCTATTTCTTAGGATTGTTTTGAGGATTAAATTAAAATGATAAAACATCAAGTAATTAGACCAGTATACAGTATGTGTTCAATAAATTTTAGACCAGTATACAGTATGTGTTCAATAAATGTTAGTTTATATTATTAAATCGATCCCAAAGTATGGAAGATCATGAGCTAAGGAGAATTTTAATAACAAGACTAAAAAAGTTATATTTGTTTCATCTACAGACAAACAAATCTAAAGAGATTAGGTAGAGTCACAGGGTGTCAGAAACCCTGGTTAGAACCTTGGTGGAAACACACACACAAATTAACCCAACAGATGCCTTCGTATTTATAAAAGATACCTAATACATTTAACAGATAAAATAATTACAAATAGAAATTTTAAAAATGTTCTACTTAAATGACTGATGAAAATTGTACAGAATTAAAGGAATATGTGGCTTTATAAAACTTCAAACTCCTTGGTAAGTTAATAAAAGGAGAAATAACAAAAAGTAGTATGAGAGACAGAGAAGCCTTTTACTGGTAAAGAAACAGAAGCATGAGGGATTACTTTCTCCCATCCAAGTCCTAACCAGGCCTCACACTGCTTAGCTTCTGAGATCAGATGCATTCAGGGTGGGATGGTCATAGACAATGAGGGTTTACTTTCTAAAGGCTAAGAAAGGGTGGGTGCAAGGCTCTTCTTTCTTATATATCAGCTAACCTATTACTATACCAATTCAGTCTTTCTATTAAACCCAAAATATGTGCAATAGCCAAAAAAAAAGGACCTGTACATGCTTTGTACAAATTAATTTGTTTGCTCAGAGTGTTCAGGGTATTTGAGATCATAGGGTTGAGCTCATTTAGCACATCTACTAAATATTCTCTCTTTGATGTCCCATTGGAGCCTAAAACTCACTATATCCAAAACTGAGCTGCTCATCTTTCCCCATTAACAGCTTCTCCTTCAAGCTCCCCATCTCACTCTCATAGTCTCCGTCAGGTTCAAAACCTTGGGTATCATCTTGTTTTCCTTCACTCTTTCTAGGTAGTTGTCCTATCTTGGTGTGAACTTCACATCTTTTCCATCTGTCCCCATGTATCAACTGCCACCCCCACCAACCTTATTTATGACCATATTAACTCCCATATCTTCATATGCAGTGACTTTCTAATTGGACACCATAATCCCACTCTTTCACATTTTCAGTCAATTTTCTACAACTGCTTAGAAATTCATCTCCCTAAAGCACAGCTCTGGTCGTGTGATCCTCTTACTTAAAATCCTTCAATGGCTCCTGCTCCATTTTGTCTTAGAGAGTAATGCTTTAAGTTTTCGAGACTCTTTGTGATGTAGCACAGCTTTCCTTTACAAATTCACTTCTCTTTATTCTACTTTATAACACAGAATCCCCATATCAAACACTTTTATCCCTCATGCCATTCTGCCTTCCAGGAATGTCTATTTTCTGCTCCAAACTCCACTTTTGAAGTTTTGCCTGCTCTTCAATGTTCAGTTAAAAATAATCATTTCCTCTAGCTTTTTAAAAATGTATACATCTATTAGGGAACTAACAATTTCCCATTTTTATGAAAACTTTATCTTCATTTGTGATGTTTAAATCCTACTTATGTTTTTATTTCCCAGTGTGTTGAAAAAAATGGGTCATCAACAAATAGTAAATCTTGATTAAATGAATGATAGCAATTAATAGTAATAATGAAGAAGAAATAATTTTTTTTTCTGAGTACCGAGTACCAAGGAACCACATGAATATACCTTTGTCTGTTCCAATTCTGAAGATAAACTTTCCAAACTGCTAAAACTCAAGAAGCGTTCATGGCTGGAACCTGTTTGAAAAAGGTATCTGACTACTGTTTCTTTGTTTGTTTCAAATCGCTCCCATTTTCTTAATGTGACCTAAATTTGAAAAAATAAACAACATATCAGGTTACAAATGACCAAAGTGTGTCATAAAATACTGCCACATTTCCATGCATTTGCTAAATGGTCAACTTCCAGTAAACCCTTAGTCAAATTTCACACAGTCACACTGAGTAAAGGTGATTCTACTGTCTTCTATAAGAATTTCCTTTGTCAATCTCAATGTCTTCATCAGCAAAAACAGAAGACACAAGGAGTAGATGATGTCTGAGTTGTCATTTGTAAAGCCCTAGAAATACAAAGATATTACTGAAAATGTAGATAAGTAACGAAAGAAAAAAATGCCTCTCAATCTATCTCAGAAAAGAAAGGAAGCAAAGGAGGATGGAGGGAAGGGGAGAGGGAAAAAAAGCCAAGGGAGCAGATAGCAAAAACTCAAAATTTTTTGAAGGTCAACATCACAATAAAGCAAAAAGGTGGCATAAATGTGTGGATGCAGGACTTCGTGGAAAAGGTAAAATACGATCAAATTTCTGCATTCAGACAAGTGTGGATTAAATCCTGGCTTTATTATTGATCCCTGTTGTGTAACATCACGGCAAGTCCTCAAACTCTTTCTTTTCAAGCAGCTACACTTATAAACGTGCAAATTACAATAAGGCGGATGTGATGATTAAAAGAGAAAATTCACGTAGCCTATGTCACACAACGCTGGAGCACCAGAGGTGGTAACAAACATTTGCTCCTGCAGTTACGAAGCCCAACCGGAAGTCGACACAGCCTGGCCTCCGTGTAAATGGCCCCTGACTTCCGGCCCCTACCTGGATGCGGCGCTCTTGCCTCTCCCGGCTGCGCTCCAGGCCGTCCAGGGTGCTCTCCAGCTTCTGCAGCTCCTCCTGGCCTCGGCCGGGCAGCCCACCTTCTCCCTGCTGAGCCTGCGCGATCTGCTGCTGCACGTCTCTCTTCTTTGCTGAGATCCCCTTTGTCTTTTGCTGGAAGCATTTATTCCACAGATAGATATAAATTTTACCCTCTAAGCAGGGAAAAAAAATACCCACACTTCACAAAGGTACACAAGGTTACCGTCTCCTTCAGCGCGGGCACAAACTGTATTTTAAAGCTAAAACTAGCAGCTAAAACGGTAATGGGAACTCTGTATTAGTCAAAGACACATTATTTACAAAAATTGTATATTTTTTTATGGCAAACAACATAAATAATTTGGCTTTAGTGTCTTAATTGTGTGCAAATTTGTAGAACATTTAGCATTTTGTGCAGTACTCCAGAAAGAATATGACAAAACAATTCATTTGACATGATTTGTATTAAATAATTATTTTCTGCCTAAACACACAGTGTCGACTCCAATTTTTTTTTATTATCAATGCTGTAAAAGATGCTAATATTATAAAATTTACTTCTTGAGTATATTCAGAATGGTTAATCTCAGATATTTTGGGAAAAGTTGTGTTTTAAAGTAAACTTTATATTGAAGTATAATCTTTAATCAGAATGATAAACAAATCTCAAGTGTACAGCTTTTGAATTTTCACAAAGTATATACAGACATATAATCAAGTACCTGGTCCAAGAAATGAGAAGAGTTCTTAAATATTAATATAAATATGTATAGTCTTATATTTTTTCCGACTTGAATAGAAACCCAAACAATTTTACAATGGTTGATGACACTGTAACACCAAACATTAATTTTTTGAACTCACAACCTTTTTGTAATTATTAAGTAAATCTATAAAGCCTAGAGGCTGCTTTTAATGCAACTTCTATTTTTATATATTAAAGGTATATAGAAAGTTAGCTAGCATTTTGCTATTATACATCAAATTGGCTAGAATTTTGTCATTAAATGTATTTTATTTGAATCATATTTGTTTCTATTGAGTTTTGACAATATATTCCATTTATGCATATATTTTAATGATTACTACCAGACTATCAGGAATTAAGTTGATTAAAATTGTTTATTATCAATATATGTACTAGAATTTCTGTACTTCTAGTTCTAATTCTTTGTAAGAACATACTCTCCTGAAGGTTCTGATACTTCAAGTAAATTATAATTTTCCAAACTAAAATTTCGTAAGTTGGACATTGGAAGTTGGAACTTTCCCAAACTAAAATTTGGGAAGTTGGACATTGGAAGAGCTGGAAGTTGTACATTGAAGAAAAAATTTTTAACATGACAAAAGAATAGTGATCTCAAATACGAAACCATTTGTCTATCTCTATGCTCTCCTTCTCTGTTATAAAAAGTGCCCTTCTGGCAAGTTTTATGCAGGTTTTCATAGCTGCATAGATAAAAATAGCTGCATAGATTTCATAGATAAAAATCTGGCAAGTTTTATGCAGGTTTTCATAGCTGAGTCAATTTTCTCTCCACAGTATTCCTTAAGCTTTTTGATGTCACTGAATCACTCAGTCTGGGAATTAATATTGAAGAATATTCTGAAATATTTAGTATTTAACCAAGAACAGAAAACAGAAGTGCTAAGTTCTTTTAACCATTCACCTGAGTTCCTTCCTGGGCCCACCTCATCTACTCCCCAACCCAGTGGATAAATTCTTCATCTCTCTGTCCCGTCAGTAACTAATTTTTATATAAATGCATTGGAGTAAAAAGGCATTTCTACCTGGTGATGAAGAAGTAACTGCTGCGCTTCAAACAGATTTTCAGTGTCCAGGATCTTCTCGGCTTGTTCCTGAACTTCTTTAGAGCCAGAAATTAATTCTTCAAGGGAGTTTTTGACTATTTCTTTGTATTGGACACAGTCCCCAAAGTTGCTTAACATCTTTTCAACCTAAATTTTCATGAAAAAAAAATGTAAATCATATGCTACTTAGTGAAGTTCCTGTAATCTTTTTTTATTGAGGTATTATTGACAAATAAACTTTGTATATATTTAGAGCATACAGTATAATGTTTTGAGATACACACACACACACACACACATACTGCAAAATGATTCCCTTAATCAGGCTAATTAGCCCATCTGTATCCTCTCACATATTTACCATTTTTGTGTATGGGAGAACAGTTAAGGTCTACTCTCTCAGCAAATTTCAAGTATACAGTACAGTATTATCAGCTACATGATCATTCTGTACATTAGATCTCCAAAACTTATTCATCTTATTAACATAAAATTTGTATCTTTGATCAACATCCCTCTATTAAAGATCATGTAATCTTACATATTTTAAGAGTATGCATAGTTAAAATCTATCTCAACCACTTGAAAGATAAACACTGATCTCTAACTTTTATTCTCTCACATATTAGTATTTTAAGGCTCATTTCATTATTATTAAATTGCACAGTCTTTCACAGGGATTTCAAGTTTCATTTGATATGGTGCTCTGCTATATATTAAAAACCCATTTAATCTGGAAATCAAGTCAAAACAATAAAACCGTACATATTGTCTCCTGGGTCTCTTCAATTACAATCTCATGATTAAAACCTAATCATAAAAGCACCTTACAAGACAGTTGAGTTTACCTCATTTAAAGTAAATAAGAAAAAAATTGTAGAGTTGAAAAAGAAGAGAATAGAAGAGTATTTGTTAAAAATGCACTTGCAATATTTCTACATAAAGCATCAAAATAATTTCTAATTTTATTGTTTTCTAGTGGATTTTCTTCCTTGTCATTTTCCTGAATTTTCAACTTTCTCTTCCATCTAACTTCTACTTCTTCTATTTTAGTTTGACCAATGTCTTTTATTTTCAAAGTCTATCCTTCATCTTCACTAAGATCATCATTTTTATATCTTATCATCATTTTTTTCCCCACAGAAGCTTTTCAGTTTCTCTTTCTCTTAACCTTTTTCTTTGACCCTCTTCTGACCTGAGTTTGTTGAGGTGTCTTAGAGCATGCTGTTCTCCCAACAAGCAGCAATAAAACGCTGAGAAAACCACAAACTCCAGATCTCAGTAGAAATCAGTATAAATCCATTGAAAGAAATGACTCTTCATTAAATACTGTGAATCTACCTTGTTTTTTTCTTATACTGGGCAACTGTAAACACTTTGTGTTGAACATTAATGTAAATACTAAATTGATTATTATCAAAGGAAGGGACTGGATGTGCCAAATCCATCTTTTCACATAAATTTATCTATAAACAGAATGTGTGTTTTTCCATTCTTCCCTTTTTGCTTTCACTAAGCAACTAAGTGGCAAAATACAATATTAATTAAAATTATTCAGAAGTTTAAAACAAATGAGTGTATAAAAGATTAATGTCTGTATAAAACTTTGTTAGAGGTAGTTGGTTGCTACAAATTGGTAGTTGGTTGCTATGGGCAGGATCATGAGAGTGTTAGGAAGACAACGCAAATGGCCTTTCTTGGAAAAATGTTAGGGAGACTAGTAACTTCTAATTTTAAAGGCTGACAAAATGTTTTGTCTTATTTTGGCTTTTGGGGGTGACAAAAGATATTACAAATTTGTCTATCAGTATGATAAAAACCTTTGTTAGACCTTGGCTTAAAGCTATGGAAGATGGATAATCAAAGGATTGAAATAGTTTATGTTCTAAAATTTGATTAATAATATCTCTATTTTCAACTTGTCAAAATTATTGAGAAAAATCATAATTTATGTATCAAAATTCTCACATAAACTAAAATCACATGCAATTCAGAGTATTTTGGGCTTATGTAAATTTACCACTATGGTCTAAAGCAGATTTACCCGGATTAAAAATATAAAAGATTAATTGACAAACTGTTAAATTAGGGACATTTTTGAGAATTCTATATCTTCATAATCAGAGAGCTTTGTAGACATTTTATAGTCCTCTGTTAGATCATTTTCCCATGCAAATTTATATTTATACAATTTCAAGAAATATTAGTAAATATTTTTTCTACTTTACATTATTACATTATCTTCCCATATACAAACTCCTTAGACTTATACAAAACCTGTTCAGTAAAAATACTCTTGCTGGTGGGGAAGAGGCCCTCCTAGAAATAAAGTAGATAGATTTTTATATTTTAATCTATAAAGGAATGTAGATAAACATTGAAATGCATATCTAAAAGTTTAAAATGAGCAGACCTTGACTAAAAAATTTTATGGGTCTGAAAACTAAATGTTGAATATTTTATTAGTATTAACTACTATTTATTAAGCATTTACTCTGTCCTAGGCACTGTACTAAGTGCTTTAAATACATTATTACATTTAATCACTGACACTGACTTTTATGGTATTTTTAACCCTGTTTTGCGAGTAAGGAAATCAAGGCTCAAAGATGTTAAATAACATGCTCAAGTTACATAGGAAGTAGGGTATCAGATTTAAGTTCTAACCCTGGGTTTGTCTGACCTTCAAGCCTTGTTCTTAACCCCTATGATATACCTTAAACTGAAGATGAAATAACAATGCTTCTAACAGGAGTAAAGAAGTGTGGATTTGATAAGCTTTTTGCTTTACACATAAGTCATTAATCTGAGCTAACATATCCAACAATGGCACAGACTATCATAATTCAAACATCCTGCTCCTCTTTCCCAACAATCTTGACATAAATTAGTATGATAATTATTCCGTTTCAAGTACACTTTCTTTATAAAATTGCTTGCTAAACTACAACCAAAAGAAAGAGAACCTTGCAGATTCCTCACTCGGAACGGTCTGTCGAGAGTGTGAGGAAATGACATACCTCTGACAGCAACGTCGTCAGAGCCTTGAAAGAGCTGGATAGTTTTGCCAGCTCATCCCCTTGCTTCTGGGCTTCATTCTCAGAAGAAACTTCAATCAAAATTTTCAGCCTGGCTTTCAGCCAGCTGAGGGTCTCTCCTCTTCTGGTAACACCATTTCTGATCTCCTGGAATCATAGAACACTTTTGCTGACCAGAGTACAACTGTGAATCATAACTTTCCAGCAGTAAAGGACTCAACCAAAGAAGGTTTGCAAGGCAGAGGGGAACAGAGATGGACATTCAATCACTGATAGAGTGCCTGTTTATTTTATGTTTCATACACATCTTTAATAGAAGTTCACAAGAGCTCTAAAGAATACTATTGTCTATACTAAAAAAGTCACCTTCATAATTAGATTGGTTAAATATTTATAGATATATTCTTGATGACAATGAAGATGCTTCTAAGAGTACTGTAGAAGAATATGAGATACTAAAGTTGGGAATTATGGCATGCATATATATATGTATACATGTATGTATGTGTGTGTATATGTATATATATATATATATACACATATATATATATAGAGAGAGAGAGAGATAGCCCTCACTTTTTGTGAGCTGGAAAGAACATAGTAATTTTGGAAATAAGAATGGTACCCCTTTTTTTAAAGTCAGTTGATTGCATTTATTGAAGAGACTACTTGTAGAATATTGTTACGGATGCTCTAAAGGTTTATTGTATTTTCTGGCTCATTTTTGTTAGCTTTTAAAAATCAGCACCCCATATATTAAGATACATAAATAAGATTCACAGCTCTAATCCAGCAACGGAGGGTTTACTGGCAAGGACAACACTGAAAAGACTCTGGGCTGGTGACTGAGGGAGTGGTGACTGGCGCAGGCTGTGCCTCCTACTCCAGCTCCGGGGTGGCACAGGGGTGGGGGTCTCCAAACAGGGCTTTTACAAGGCAGAGGCACACTAGCCAGAAAACAGATGGTTCCAAAAGCCAGTGATCTCTTCATTCTGAGATGTGAATACTTTTGTACTATAACATCAACTAGTGGCAAATGTAGATATCCCTCTATATGTATACTATAACATTATTGAGCACCTCTAGCATGGGGAAGGTTATACAATTTAATTGAGAAAAGGACTCAGAGGACAGGAATAGAAAGGAAATATATTCTCCTTAACAGCAACTATGTGACTTGCTAGGGTTAAAACTGCTGAAAGATGGAGAATTTTCAAACAGTGTGTGCGTACGAGTGAAAGAGTGCCATTCGCAGAACGCAGCCTGTGTTTAGGCCTGAAAGGCTCTGAGGCCCTGGCCAGGTTTATCAGGCTGTATTCGAACTCACAGAGGCTGAAATGAAGCAGCCCAGCTTCAATCTGACATAGAAAAGATGCTTAGAGACCTTGCCCAATTCCTTGATTTTTCTGTGATCCGGCTTTTTCATGTCTGAAAAATGTATTGTATAAAAGCATACAGTGTTCTGGTTTTCCATGACAACCCTTAAACCTCTACCGGGTGATACACCCATGCAGGCCATTTTCCACTCAGGATTCCCATTAGCTAAAGATGCCTTAGAGGCCCACTGAGTATGACTAACTCTCAAAGCTACCAACGACTCAACAGGAAAAAAACCCTACAGTTCTCCACAGTAACATGAGACTTATTTTAGAGACAATTCCAGGAACTTAAATTTTTCAAGGAAAAAAAAAAAAAAACAAAGGACAACTGTTAGATTGTCTAGCTTTTGTCTTTTATTATTGGAAATTTTTCTCTAGCAAACAACAGCCACGAACGTACCTCAACAGCATGTGTGACCTCTCCGTGGTTGGCAGTACTGATGGCCTCGTCCTTGATAGCCTTCAACTGTGTCTCCTTTGAAGATATCCAAGAGGAGAATTCAGAAAATCTGAAATAACACAAGCATTTTCTTACTAAAGGGAGAAAATATCAGAATGGTTAGAATACGTCTTCTGTTTTGTGTTCACTCATGGGGATTTAACAATCAAGTGGTCAGCGAACTGATTTAAAAATTTTCTGGAAACTGTTCCTTTAACATGAAGCCCAGGGCAGGGGTGGCCACCACTGTGCTCAGATTCTCAGAGGGAGCTCAGCTGAGGAAAACGACGTGGCCCAGTCGCTGAGCACCTGGAAGGAAGGAAGGGACCACTTGGGGTCTGGCCTCACTTGTCCTCACCAGGTGGGACACTAACCCACATGTGCAGAAGCCCCCTTCAAGGATGTGAGGAAATCAACAAGAAAAGGATTGGCCAACTCTGTCGCACAGAGAAAACATCTGAGGCATTTGGAAATAAAGTGCCTCACCCTATTTCTTACTGAAACCCATTCTTTTTATCAAATGAAGCATTTTTGTACAAGAATATCAGCAAGATCATACAATCTAATTTTCTTTAATGCATAAAATGAAATATATCTCATTTCCTGTTTTGTAATGATCTATGAGCTAAGAGAATTAAGATAGACTATACCCTTCTCTGGAGACAATTCCAAGGTTACCTGCTAGTGTAGTCCTTCCACTTGTCTGGGTCCTCCATGAGCTTCATGTAGGTGCTGTCAATGGCAGCTCTGAGCTCTTTGAGAGCCGCGTGACAGGTTCCCGATGTGTCCCTCACTGCGTCCCGGACTGGGAGTTTCACGCACAGCTCCTCAATGAGCTGTAACCTTTTCTCACAGAGGTGATGGGGACCTTTGTCACTGAAGAAAATCTAATAAGCAAGAAACATTCTTATCATCTCAGTGGGAAGCCATACAATACTTTTACATTTTCATAGAAAAACCAAAGGAAGACTCCCATGCAGACAACTAAGTAATTATTTTTTTCAAACCCAAACCAAAGTATCAGTTGTATCCTTTATGTAGCAACGTGACTGTACGTGACTATGCACTTGGCGGTGGGGAGACATACCCTGTGCTCTTTAATAATCTTTTCGCTGCCTTCCTGGGCCACCAGCTTGGTCTCTCGCTCCAGCTCAGTTTTGCATTCTTCTACCAAGGCTAAGAATCTGTTCTTCTCCACATCAATCTTCAGATGAAGCAAGTGATAAGGAGCTTCTCCTTGAAGATCCTACATTCCATAGGAAGATTCAGAAAAATAGGATCATGTTCCTGATTACATACATTTCCAATTGAACTGGCAAAAAAATAAATCCTTAAAACTTAGGGCCAATGTGATTTAATCACTACCGTTCATACCTGTTCACACCTATCCACACCTACTTTGTACTTTTCCAAGTACTGAGACCACAGGGAATCCTTCCAGCCTGCTGTGGGTTAGGTGTCTGCTCAGTGATGAGTCTATTTAATCTTCACAATAGCCCCGCAAAGTATTGATGTTCCCATTTTACAGATTAGATAATGGAGGCTCAGGGGTAAGCAGAAAAGCTGGGATTTGAACCTAGATTTAAATCATGCACTGATGCCACATACCCTCTCCCCTGTATGTGTCCTTTTTGATTTTGTCAACAACCCCATGAACTAGGCAGGGCAGGTATTATACCCACTTCGTAAAGGAGGAACATAGGAAAACTTATTAGTTAAAAAAAAAAAAACAGGATTAAACAGCCAGGGCTACTGACACCTGCTATATCCTTCTTTTCTTAGACCATACCTTGAAAAAACAAGCAAGCAAGCACTCAAACAATGCATAACATTTTATGTTCTTTTTAATTATAAGCATAAGCTTTAGCACTACCTTTAGTTCCATAATTTATTCATTTTAACTAACTTCTATGCTATGGCATTTAAAATGATTACCTTTAAAAGAGAATGCTAAGGTAACTGATGAGAAAAATAAGCTGTTGTATCCTAGAGAGTTTAGTGTGTGTGTGTAATAAAATACAACCTTCAATTATACTCTCTGTTCCAGTATACATTTAGGATACGTTAAGCTTCACAGACATCTTAGAAAGCTTGGGTTTCTTTAAGAATCTTTTTTGTTAATGAGATGCTTGAATTTTCAAACTTAGCAATTTAAAGATATTTCTTTAACGGTGGGTTTTTGTGTGTGCACGCACAGGGATAATTTTTTAGCCTATTCCCGAGACTTTAAAAATCCAGGAAGTAAGACAACCCGATAGAGAGAGTGTCAGCAGCCAATCTTCCGAAATGCTGCCACACGCCAGCACTCGCTACCTACAGCCAGAGCAGTCTGCCCCTTGTCTAGCTCAGGGAAGACAGCCTTCCAGGGCAGACACTGTGCTGCCACTGCTTCCAGAATCCGACATGCAGATTCCGAAGTTGGCTTCCATGGGACAGGCCCAGTTCCTCCACAGCACGTGGCACTCAAGTCAGACAGACAGACCCCAATGGGCCACTGCGTCCCCCGTGCACACTCTCCTGCTTTCTCTCTTCCGGTTGTGCTGCTTCACCCTTCTGCCCACCCACATTTCTGCTGCTCCCTTAAAGTTCTAGCTCAAAACTAGTCACTCTATTCACTCTTCCAGTCTCCAAGTGGGTCTGCCTCCCTCCTTCAAAGCTTTTTTAAGTATATTATTTATATATAATCGGACATATTACACGTTATACTTTTATTATTTGTAACTAATCATCTCCCTTACTGAAATGTAAGCCCTTTAGGGGAGGAGGATTATCCTTTGCACATTGTTGAATCCTTAACCAAGAAATGTTTTAATTTATATTTTTAGATCATCACTATCTAAACTGGAGGGTAAAATCCTTCATGGCAGCAGATATATATATATATATATATATATATATATGTATATATATATATGTAATTTTTTCTGTAATTTCAGTAGTATACCTGGCATGATTTATTTATCTGAGAAGAGTTCACTAAATGGTGATTGAATAAGTTACATGCCCTTGTCACCCTGCCAAAGAAAATCAGTAAACAGAAAAAGAGTACTCAAGTAGTATGATAAAGTTGATGCTGCTGAAAAATATGAATAACAAAGTTCTATCATAAATTATCAAGTCTTATTCAAGTTCAGTGTTTTGGTTGTTGTTTTGTTTTGTTTTTTAATAGAGGAAGTCACTATAGTGACTTTCCATGAATTTCTAAATTCTCTTACAATCCGACCTTAGCATCCTCATGTTCTCTCCCCTTGTTCAGGACACACGGTGTCCCCATCATGTCCTGACTCACCTTCCATTGTTTGTGGAGCTTTCTGACAGCTTCCTGCAGACCTGGCTGCTCCTGCTCAGGGAGGATGTCGGTGAGCTCATCACAAGCTTTCAGGAAAGCGTTGAGCACCCTCTGATCCAGCTGACTGAAAAACTCCTGACAGGGAGAGGCGGGACATGGTTACGAGTGTCGAGCAGAGTAAAAGGCAGCACCAGACCCTGTCATGCCTCTCACGGGCTGTCCGCCAGCTGTTGTGCTCTTCAAAACTTCGGGGCAACTGCTGTTTTTCTTTTTTGGGATTGAACTTATAAGCATCTAGAGTTATGAGTCAGAAGCCATAAAATCTGAAATTCAACTGGTACTTTCTATTTTTTAGAAAAATTTTTGCAGTTTTTAAAATTGGTAGAATATTTCTAAATGTCAATGGGAGATCCTAAAACTTTGATTCCATAGTGATGGAGCTTTGGTTCCTCTTTGGTAAAGTTGGAAGGGAAGGGCAGAGTAGAAGCCAAGACTAAGGCTCATAACTCCCCAATTCCCCAACTGCAATGCATTCCAAGCCCTGCTGGTTCATTATGAACCATTCCTACATTCACACATGTGCACACGTGAGCACATAGTCTATGGAAAGAATTATGGCCCTCCCCAAACTTATATGTTGAAGTTTCATCCCCAATTGTGATGGCATTTGAGATGGGCCCTTTGGGAGATAATTAGGTATAGATGAGGTCGTGATGGTGGGGCCCTCATGATGAGATTAGTGCCCTTCTAAGAAGAGACACCAGAAAGCTTGCTAGCTCATTCTACCATGCAAGGACACAGGGAGAAAGTGGCTGCCTACAAGTCAGAAACAGGGCTCTCACCAGAACCCTACCACACTGGCACCCTGATCTCAGACTTCTAGCCTCAAGAACTATGGAAAATGCATTTCTATTGCTTAAGCCACCAGTCTATGAGATTTTGTCATGACAGCCTGAGCACTAAGAGGACACACATATGACCAAATCTCATGCTGTCTCAGAAGTATGTATGCAGACTTATTTTGAAACAACAGTGATTCAAAACAGAAAGTGCCATACCATAAAGGCATATAAACTAAATGAGGTGTTTTGCATTTTATCGTCACAGACATTGACCCTAAGTCTAGACAGCTGTATCACAAATATATTGTATTTGTCATATGAGAGTGCAGTTTATACAACTGTCTACTGAAATTTCAGGAAAAATAATTCACAGTAGATGCTAGAGTGCTGGTCATCTCATGTGCCCTTTCATAAACAAGTATAATAATCATGAAGGTGGCTTCACAATACTGAGACAAGTTGTATATCAGATAGCAGATGTCAAGTGGCATGGTACCTATTCTATACTATGATAAGGGAGATTTATCAAATGGCCACAAAAGTCCTAGCCATTTACCTTTTCTATTTAAAAGATTATTTAGTTATGTAAGAATTTCTGAGCTAAATAATGAATAAGTAGCTTGGAGATCCTGAATTATCATGATTCTACTATTCTAGGGGCCTAAGAATGGCCCAGTTATAAGTCAGTTCATCAATTGTCCTTGAAGCTCTTTTTGTGCACTATGGCCTTGGGTCTCAGACCTAAAAGGTTTCTGCCTTCCTGACACATCTGCCCCGTCTTCCTCTGTATCAGATCGGAATGCTCTGTTTAGGTTTTCATCCAGGGTCGCTCGTCCCTGTACTCAGGGCAGGTGCCCCACCAGGCACAGACTCACAGTGTGTCTCTTCAGGAGCTCTTCCGGGTCCCCCTTTTCCTCCAGGCCCTCCTGGGCAATCCGCAGCACCTTCTCCAGCTCTGCTCGGGACTCCTCGAACTTCTTCATCAAGCGACTGTTGGTTTCGACATGCTTCTTCCAGTCTCCAGTTTTCTTTACCATATTCTGATGTGAAAAATAACCATAATGCGATGCTGCTTTCTCATTACTGACAGTATCATTTAGTTAGAGCATTATCGATTCAAAAAAACACACTTGGAAGAAAGACATTTCATCATGATGAGAATAATTAATTCTTTTCAATGTTTTTTTTTTTTCTTTTTTTTTTCTTTTTTTTTCTTTTTCTGACAAGTCTTGCTTCTAACCTTTTCAATGTTAATTACAGAGAAGTAGAAAAATGATTGGATTTCAAGCACCAGTAGGTGAGGCATGTTAGCTAGACTGAAGGCGTAAGAGATTACTACCTGCCCTCACCCTTTGCATTTTCCCTGGTTCACACCTCTATAGCACGGAGAGCACATTACCTGAAAAGCAACACGAATATCTGTAATCTGTCTTTGCAGCTTTGTCTGATCAAAATGCTTTAACACTTTGCTTAAGGTCACAAACTTTTGAATGCTTTGGCTGCCTTTTTCAATTAGTGTCAAGGTTTTCTTACAGCTTTCTTGACAGGCTACCAGTTCCTATAAGAAAAAGAAACCCACAATAATATTATTTACAAAAGAGAGTGAGAGAGAAATAAAGAGAGTAATAATTACAAATAATAAGAACAACATTATATAGCTTTTAGGCTTTCAATCAACAGTAAGTAAAACCAAAGGTACAGGGAACATTTCTTTTCAAAAAAGCTCAATTTTAAATAATTGCTGAAGTCAGTGCTTTTGTATATATGGCACTTAAATGTCACAAGGAGTTTTTTGAGGTTTTAAAAATACTTTATGTACATCTTATTAACATTAAGAAAATGACAGAGCATCAAAATTATTTGTCTAGTGTCTACTTTCCACCAACCAGTTGATGGGACTAGGGTTTATTAAGAGAACCATCATGAAATCAATCTACATATCACGTTTTCATCTGACTAAATAAATTTGAACCAATGCACATTCACTTTACTAAAAGAGATGCAGCAAATTAAGTAGTATTTCCATAACCTAAATTTATAATATTTGAATTCCTAAGCTTTATAATCTATCCACCTTATTCATGAAATGGTAGACTTTAGATCCTACTCAAAAAAGTCAGCAGATCAATGGGCCTGGGGTAGATGTACAATGGTCCCACAGTTGTAGGATGAGACACAACGGTACTCATAGATCCTTACACTTTTGACTGGTAGTCTGGCATCATAGTGGATTTCCACAGTAGACAGCATGGAAATTATCCAGCCCAGCCCAAGGTGGAGAGTCATTTTTTTTTTCCGTTCAAAATATTAAGGGAGTACAAATGTTTTTGTTACATGGATATCTTGTATAATGCTTAAATTGGGTCTTTTAGTATGTTCATCACCAGAACAATGTTCATTGTACCTGTGAGGTAAGTGTTTACTCCTTACCCCCATCCACTCTCCCTGCTTCTTGGCTTCTACAATTCACAATTGCAAAGATATGGAATCAACCTAAGTCTCCACCAATTCAAGAGTGAATAAAGAAAATGTGGTATGTATATATATATATATATACATATATATATATATATGTATGTATGTATATATATATACACACACACAGAGCATGGAGTACTACTCAGCCATAGAAAGGAATAAAATAGTGGCTTTTGCAGCAACTTGGATGGAACTGGAGACCATTATCCTAAGTGAAGTATCTTAGGAACAGGCACAGAGAGTTGTTTTTTGACTTGAATCCACATCACTTGCATTTCAACATCCTCAACTGCTTTGAAAAAATATTTCAAACTCCTTATTTGGATACCATTTTCCATTATCTAGATGCAAACATTAAGAGCAGAATTTTTGTTTTGTTTTGGCAAGGCAGAATAAAGACATTCTTTTTCCTTTTGAAGACTTAGGAGATAAAAGGTTAACATAAGTTTAAAATATATTGTGAAATATTATTAATATTTCCTGACAATAATATAAATAATTATTTTGATTATGAAAAGGTAAGTTGATGACAATTTATAGCAATTTGGGAATGTAGGAAATGGTACTCTGTCTCAAAATGAAAAATAATCTTTATCCAATATGATAAGAAGTCATTAAGATGAGGTTTGGTGGTATAATCACTGTGGCTTCACAATCGATAATAATAATCATGCCATCAGTTACAGAGTACATATGTGCTATTATATGCTAGTCACATTATAGAATATCTATCTGATATAATATTCACAACACACCTGAAACTCAGGTATTGTCACCTGCATTTTAAGGTGAGGAAATTAAAGCTAATCAAAGCTTTGCTATTTGCTGTATCAGACCTAAGATCTGAATATCTGTGTAAGTCATCTCTAATAAGTGATGCTGTCTTCCTTCCATGAATCTATTTCAATTAAAGCAGTGGCAAACGTTCTGTGTGTTAGTATCACCCTCCTCTGATGGATAGGCTTATTTATAATAAACCAACTAAGTCAGTCAATTAACTGCAACACTCAGTAGGAGATTGCTATGCATACAGATATGCTTATTAAAAATGAGACCAAAAAATGATTATCACACCAAACACATATACAGACTTTTATGGTTGTTTAATAGACCTATTTCTAGAGGCAAAGAAAAGATCTCATAAAATATAATTATACATACTGGATGGAAATGGAATGCAGTTATTTATTTTACATATATCTAAATATATATGAATTATATATATATATATATATATATACATTTTCAAAGTATCAAGGAATGATGGCACTACTTTTTAAAAATGAAATTAACCATTTTGTCAACTAGGGAGGCAGGACATGATGCCCAAAGGTATATGTGGGAAGCAACAGTAAATGATTTCCCAAAACAAAGTCAATATAAAGATGAAAAAATTTATTGTACATATATTTTCTATGCTTTGAAAATGCAAATGAGAAGTTATTTACATTAAACTTTTTTTACAGACTTTGTGAAACATAATCCCTAGCTCCATCGATAGACACCATAGGAAAATTAAATAAATACAAAGCAAAAAGGATAATAGAAAGTCCTTTGATTATGGGTGTCCTTTTCAACAGAGTAATAGATTTGGCTCTATTCCCAAAACATATTCTTTATTTCACAGAGACCTCGTGAACTTCCCACCCTCTGCACTTGGAGTTTGGAATGCATGGCTTATGCATGAACGGGGCAGACATTCATAAATACTTGCTGAGTACACTCGGCTCACGTTGCCCAGTTGATAGAAAGGGAGCTGGGTGCTCAAAACAAACCATTCTTCCTAATTTTGCTTGACTCAGTGAACTTATTAGTTCAGATGAGCAGAGCCTGGCTTGCACCTGGGGCCAGCCCTACTGCTCCCCATAAACTGCTTGAATCCACTCAGTGCATGGACTTTTGCCTCTGGACAAGGTGTATTTCTGTTTTGTTGAGCTGCTAGTACTATTCTAGAAACATGTTTCTTGTCCTAACTGAATCTCTATTACTGCAAGCAACACCTCAGTCTTGCTTCACATGCAGTAAAATAATAATTTCTCCTGAAAGGGATTTTTCTTACCTGATGTTTTTGTTTAAAAAGAGCACTAGATTGTGCCTCGTGCTCAAGAACTGTTATAATTTCATTGATTTTCCCAAGTGAGTCATAAAAGGACGTCATTTGCTTTTCTAATTCTTCCAACGGAACCAACAGCTGCTGAGACTCATAAAGGAGTGGGGAGTAACATTCTTTGACCTTTAAAAACACAAAGATAAAAATTCCATGAAAGGCCAGTAAGTACCACAAGTTCAGGGCACTCTTCATAGCTCCCAGGAACATTTTCTTTAGTAACATTGTCATTTGGTGCTTACAAATACCCAAAGACTATTTCTTTAATGATATTTCCTTTATATTAAATTTTGCTGATAAAAATATTAATAATAGAGCTGTAACCCCTGAAACAAATAAATGGCTACTAAATTTTCTCATGAAAATTCACCTACATCGTCCTTCTGGAGAACACTTTCCATCTAAAAGGTTGTTGTTTGTGAGGCAGATGGCATCAAATTCCACCTCATAAACCATCAACTCATTTTCACTTTAGCTTGAATCTGACCTAAGATAGTCACGAATTATTATTACATCATCTAGAGCAAGCTGTGCCTTCCAGCTTTATTTTCAAGAGCTTTCCTCCTTGAACACTTGACTCCAGACAAACCTACAAACCTACAAAGTTGTTGACTCACTCTTCCCAGACAGACTTTGTGCTTCCCTACCTCCCACCAGCTCCGTGCTTTCCTACCCTCTGCTTATCAACATCCTACCTGTCCCAAGCATTAAAGTCAAATACTAGTTAGTGTGCTTTATTGATGTTTCCTGGTGCAACAGAAAATCTGTTCAATCTATAGTCTCAGCTACTTGGTAAGCTGAGGCGGGAGGATTGCTTGAGACAAGGAGCTCAAGACCAGTGTGGGCAACATAGTGAGACTCTGTCTCTAAAAAAAATTTTTAAACCAATATCTATCAAAATGCTGCATCTGAAATAGCAGTAAGAAGGCATAATGACTTTAGGCACAATTTACTTTCTCAGGGATTGCCCTAAACAAACTAAACCTGGTTCAGGTTGCAATGTCATAAGCCCAGATATGGTCCTGAAACTGCTAGAAGCTTATCAAATTGAAAATGACTTATTAATTGACTTTAAATTGTACCCAGTCTTTAGCAACTTTTGCTGGCAGCCAATATTATCATTATTATTCAGTACCTTTAAATTACCAATAATTCTATCTTGAATGTTAAAATATATGAACATAAACTTCGAATACATCCCAGATTGATAGATAAAATTTTCTCCTTTTATTCATGACTATGATTTTTCCTATTTTTGCTTTTTGAATTTTTCCACTTTTTCATTAATTCTCCACCACTGATTTTACGTAGGTTACTCTCTTTCTCTCTACCTTTTCCGTTCCTATTTAACAGGTTTTTCTACTTTATTTTCTTTTGTTTTTCAATTCTTCATTATAAAACATTTCCATTTATATAATCACTTCTGTCTTTTATCAGATACTAATTACCCAATCTAAGTGGACTTTGCAAATAACACCATCTTCTGAAATTCAAGTTTAGATAGATAAAATATCCCAATGGAACTTCCAAAACTCTTAAGGAAAAACCCTCAGTAGAATAGCGAAGGCTTATGGCTAGTGCATACATCCATCTAGTTCCCTGCACAGAAGTAGTATATATATAGTAGTATATATATTTAAGCCCGAGGTGAACTCCATGAGAAAAGGAGGACAGAATTTCCACTGCTTTGCGGCTATGCCAGCAGAAAACTGCATAAATGGGCTTAGAGTGGAGGTATGTCAAAGGAATCTCAGTAAGTTCTCAGTTAAATGTGTGATCCCCTCTTATTCCTTCTCCTTTTCTTTTTCTGCCTTTCTCTCTCTCTGTTTAATAACATTCAGCTGTCCTCCTCAAAGCATTTACCTTTCTATTAAAATATGCTATAGCACTTCTGAATTAGCAGAAGTAATACTTGGTAATAGTATCATAGTTTTATTTTTTTTAAATTCATGACAAAATTACTAAATCAAGAATCCTGACTGGGCGTGGTGGCTCACGCCTGTAATCCTAGCACTCTGGGAGGCTGAGGCGGGTGGATTGCTGGAGGTCAGGAGTTCGAAAGCAGCCTGAGCAAGAGCGAGACCCGGTCTCTACTATAAATAGAAAGAAATTAATAGTCCAACTAATAAATGTATAGAAAAAATTAGCCGGGCATGGTGGTGCACGTCTGTAGTCGCACCTACTTGGGAGGCTGAGGCAGCAGGATTGTTTGAGCCCAGGAGTTTGAGGTTGCTTTGAGCTAGAAGACGCCATGGCACTCACTCTAGCCTGGGCAACAAAGTGAGACTCTGTCTCAAAAAAAAAAAAATCCCAATAAGAAACAAGTGTGATTTGTTAAGAAGTAAACAATTAGCCCATAGGTGAAAAAGCAGGTATAAGGCAAGCTGAAGGCAGCGTTGGTGCCACCCAGAGTGTTGTGCATTAAAGTATTTTCGCACCTTGCTTAGCTGCTCTTTGAGTCTTGATGTGGTTGCAAACATTTCATTAGCTTCTTCTTGGGGGATCTCTTTGGAAATGAGGTGCACTGTCTTTGTAATCATCTTGTATTGAGCATCAATTGCAGGCACCTTCTGCTCGATGTCCTGCATGAATCATTGAAACAGCTAGATTAACGCATGACACATTTCCTTTTCATGTCTGGATTCCACAGAAGGCAGAACAAAAAATCAATAGTATAAAATGCTACACTTATAGTAAACTTCAGGAGAGTCCAGCTTTTGCTTCCCTTCATTACTAATATATATATATGTAATATTATACAAATAAATAATAAAACTTTCCCTTAAAAGTGACCAACATTTTTAAGTTAACATCAGGATTAGCTGAAGTAATCTTTACACTTTCAAAAAAAAAAAACAACAGCATGTTAATGTAGTATAGAAACATTATATAACATATAAATGCATATTAAAAATTTGGGGCAATTCTGACTTTAAAAAATATACACTTTGTAATTTGTAAATTAGAAATATTAGGATAATGAAAATTTAAGTTACTTATAGTCTTCTCACACATTGAAAACAAAAGCCAGAATCTCATCATTACATCATTAATATTTTTCCTGTGTTTATATCCATTTTTTATTTTTACAAAAACAAAACAATGATACTATTGTTTGCTTTTCTCACTTAACAATACATTGTATAATAAAATATTTCCATGTCATTAAAAACTTTTCCAGTACTTCATTTTGAAAGCTGTAGGCTATTCAAAATATGTAAATACCACAATTTGTGCAATTAATCATTTATTGTTGGAAGCATTTATGTGGAAGTGCTATCTATAGATGTCTCCTGTTTTATCCTAATGTTTCATAATCTGGTTGTAGAAAAAAAAATCTCCAAATTGAAAAACTATTTTGAAGTTACTTTATATGATGAAGACATATCTTTAAAAAACTCAATATGTTTTTTATGACAGGTACAAATCAGGGTAGGCAGTTAAGTCAAAATGATGCCCAGGAGACACAGAAATGATCTTTGCAATGATCTGAGCAACCTGCTGATCTTTATTTTCACAGTGGAATAGGCTTTTCATTTTATGACTCAGAAACTCCTCACCTCCAGGTCTTGGATTATTAACTTCACATTCATAAAAGAGACTTCTAAGGGTTCAGAAAGTTTCCTATGGGCTTCAGTTGCAAAAGTAGACAAAGTATTAACACAGTCTGTGTATTCTTTCTTCATTCTGTCTATCTCGTCGGCTCGTGCATACTGTTAAGAAAAGGGAGGGGAATATTATGAAAGCCATTAAGCTGTGACTGGAAGACCCACCAACCTTCACTTTAACATAGTCTCTGGAATTGTTAACTGGCAAGAAAGATTCTAATTCCTGATTCTCATTTTAGGTAAATTTGAAGTAAGTCCAATTACTTTGAAAGGATAAAAACTAGAACAAAAATGAACTATGATTTGAAACACAAATCATTCCATGTAAGTGGGCTCCAAATCTCAACATAGTCCTTAATCAAATTAATGCATTTCAGTAACATTCCTCCATTAGAAATGGAAAACAATGAATAATCAACCATAAAATACACCAGTTTTAAACATATCCATACCCTGCCTTAATAAGCCCAGCCGATATAAATAAAATTGTCTTTAAAACAGACTGTTTATCACAATATTTATAATATATACACATTGGAGATGTCTATAGATTTGAAAGACATACTTGCTTGACTTCCATAAACAGCTCTCTCCACCGCCCATTTAGCAACAGTAGCTGCTGCTTAAGGTCTCGGGAGACCATCTCATCACACGTTTCAATTAGGAAATTGCCAGCGTCGTTCATGGCAGTGTGCTGCTGAATCCAATGAGGCAAATTTCGAAAAAAATCCTAAACAATACAGAATACACAGTATTGCAAACCATAAACCGTATATTAATAACTGATACTAAAGTGACTAGAGTATGAGAAATGTCTTTGTTCTAAAACTTGTGCAAATTTTAAGGTAAATCTTAAATCCTTCAAAATGCAACTTTTTTTTTTTTTTTAAGAGACAGGATCTTGCTCTGTCGCCCAGGCTGAAGTGCAGTGGTTGCAATCATAGCTCACTGCAGCTTTGAACACCTGAGCTCAAACCATCCTCCCACCTCAGCCTCCTGAATAGCTGGGACTACAGGTGCACATCACCACGCCCAGGTAATTCAAAATGCAAATTTGTAATAAAGAGCTTCAAAATATGAACAAGAAATGCTGAGTGTCTTTTTATAAGAACATCTACGCCGTATTTTTAGCTGAGGACAAAATAAAACTGTAAGTGTAAGAAACTTGTGCATGGTCTTCAAGCTATTAATAGTAAATACCAGTGCCAAGATCATATAAAAGCAATAACAGATTAGGGAAATACAGATGTTTCTAAAAAAATTTAAAACAAAATTTGAACTGTTATTCTTGACTTTAAAAGGTGAATACGGCACATTAAATAATTTAACAATCATGGGGATAAACCAACAAAGGAAACAAATTTAAATGTCTGGGTAAAGAACACTTAATACAGTAACAACCTTTCTTATTTGTTTAAGGTTTTATTGCCACATACTTGGCAATAAAACAGTTTCCAACTCATTTTAAATTAAATGCATGTGTGTGCACACACACATCACAGTAAAAACCAAGGATACCAAAGATAATTCAAAATTCATTTCATAAGCCATGTGTGGGAGGACTTCCTACATAAATAGATGAGAACACTTCTGTTTCTGCCGGTTATATTCCCTTGGATCAAATTAACACATATGACATCTACTCGGGCACTGCCGGTCTGATCAGAAAAGCCAAAATCTATATGGGTACATAGTTACTGCCTTCCTCAGCTACACAAGCATATTTCATCTATATGAAATATAGAATAGTAAAACATTTGAAAATGATACATCTACTCATGCAAACAATAATAGATGATCCAATCTTGGATAGCAAGCAGTAATTCTAATGTATGTACTATATTTCTTAACAGAAACCTGGCATTTGAACATCTTTTATATATAAATTGATTTTCCATATGAAAATGCCAGGCACCCATTAAGAAGTATATGCACTGAAGTAAGTCCGGTTCATGTGCTATTTACATGTGAGTGATATTAAAGTAAAACAGTAACTCTCACATGCACACACACATACACACTTGTACTGCCAAAAAATGAAAAAAGAAATCACTCCTAGCCAGAGTGAGACTCTTGACAGAGGGTTGATAACATACAAGAAAGAATGTTCAAAGAGATAAGAGCATGATGGTCCTGCTGTTTACTTAGTGTATACTACCACACAGCTTCAGTACTGTGTTAGCCAAAGTTGTTTCCATCTTCTCTTAAATCAGGAAATCAAGGACTGGGGCCCTAGACACGCCCCTTCATGTACAGACCTCAGAGTGAGTGTGGTGCCCTCTGCTGCCCAGGGGATTTGGCTAAACATCAGTTACTACTCTTCTGAATGCAAAAGTCAGACACTAGAGTGATCAGATAGGGAACTATTTTAACAGAGCTTTCATTAAGCAGTGCATTTATTGGTCCGAAGTAATTTACTAACCTGTGCAACTTTCCAGGCAAAGTCAGGATTCTTGAGCCACACTTGCAAATACATGCCACTCCCTAGTGAGCTATGCTGTAAAATTTCTCATTTCTAAATCCACATCTTCTCCTTTTGCAGGAGACAGTCTTACCTTTTTGGCATTTTCTGACTGATTTAGCATTTTTTCAGCATCCTCTAGCCAGGCTTGAAGACTAGCCACAGTACTGCCATAGCGATCCCAGTTAGAGATCACTTCTTCTAGCATACTCCTCACGCTCCTAACTTCTACCGAGAGATTCCTCCACTGAGCAGTAGTTTCATTCATGAATTTCATCACATTCTCAGCTTCTTCCACTGAAAGAGATAAAACCAAGTATAATCCTTACATTATATTTTAAATCCTCCACCCCTTTTAAAAATAGTCTTATATACTGGTGTGAAATAGTATCAATCACAAATGCTAAAGTTCATTTCCAACAAATATGACAGACATAATTACAAATTGAAAACAAACATTTTACAAATCATGTTTTCACACTAATTTACTCTCTCATTTACTTGATTATCATATTCAAGTCATTCCAATATCTTTGCCTTTAATCTTTAGAATTTGAAATAGGTTGAAAAATTATAATTTGGAAAATTAATGTGTATTTTGCTTTTCTCTTAGAAGAATACACACACATACACACACACACACACGGAGAGAAGAGTATGATCATGCAGGTTAGGCATTGTACAAAATCAAAGGGACTGAATACAATATGTGATCTCCAGGCCAATGGCATGGTCATACAAAGATTCTGTAGAGGAAAAAAAATGACCTGATCACACAGACACCTACAGGTTCTAATTCTACTGCAGTCAACGCTGCAACAAATCCTGTAGCACGCTTTACCTGAACCATCTGCTTTGATGTACATCTCAGCTGTTTGTTTCAAGATCTGGTATGTCACTTCATATTGCTCAAAGAACTTGCTATTTTCTATGAAAGACTAGAAAAGGAGGAATAGTTAGAAGATAGAAAACATTAGGCTTATGTAGAAATGCCAAAGTCAATTTTCTTCAGAATAGCTATACGGATATTTTACCCAAATTTGCCAACCTCATGCTTTTTGAAAATACAAAAATAATTCCACTGCCACAAATAACCTAAGATCATTCTGAACATATAAATTAATTCCACAGTTTAAATCCTAACTTAGCACTAAATAGAGAACATATTCCCTTTGTTCACCACCCAGGGGTTTGCTTTTCAAAGAAAAAAATTTATCCAGAGAACCTGAGCCTAACATTTAGAAAGCACTAAATTTGGAAGAGCATTTTAAAGTGTCCCACTGTGTTCTAGCTGTGGGATTATGTTGCTCTTTGAATATTAATCCTGGTGAATGACTGCTTTGAGGAACTTCAGATTATAAATAAATGACACAGTGCACAAACACTTCCCTTAAAAGGTAAGTAGAAAAATTTAAAATAATCATATATTCCATCCATGTTATTGATGGGCTCATATTTCAATTACCTAGTATAAAAATTACAGATAAGACATGTCTATATATCTACATGTACTGTACATATGTAGTAAAGTCACTATCAGCAAATGGACAGTATAAAACTGAGAACATGGAATAAATGTTTAGGTAAATTTTATTATTGTTAAGTCCAAGAAATATGAAATAACTCTCATTTCAAAGATTATTCTATTCCTCTAGATTAGGAAATTAATGCAATTATAGTTTATATCATATCAGTAAAGGAATTTCTTTTAATAGTATAATGAGTTCCTATGATTTGGATCTATTAAAATACTTGATAAGTATCACTATCACAAAATGCAAAATCAGCCTTCAAAAATCATCTGAAGTTCTATAGAGTATGCTGATGAATGCTTAATATATAGATGCAAGGTGCTTGTGTGCATAGGCAAAGTTATTCATAACAGCAATTTCAGATATTCCTAGATTTTTACTGATAAATGTTTATCATATTTCAAGATAACATTTAAAAACATTATATCCATGATGCATTTCATATCATTTAATGTTTATCAAGCATTTACTTATACATTAACTATTCTTCAGGAATACAGTGAATAGAGAAAGCCGTGAGTTACCTGGAATGATGAATACTTTATTCAATGACTTCAATAACTTTATTATTTTTGTTTAAGAATAAAGTAAGACAATAATAGTCTGATTAATTCATTATTTAGCTTTACATCGTATTCTTACTCCCCACATGGGAAAAGAGTAACTTGCTAGAATTTAAATCTTGAATAACTTAACCAACTAAGCAAATCATGATTTGATAAAAAATGGGAAATTATACCTAATGTTAAAGACACTGTGTAAGAAACTGAAGAAAGAATTATATCTGGCAAAGTCTAAAAAATAGTCTCCATTTAGTTTTGGTGCAAATTTCAAAAGCTAGTGGGAAGACAATTGCTCTAAATGTCAAAGAAATGGGAAATAGTGCTTGTGATGGACAGGAAGACTTCAATATGCTTTTGCTGGTTTATAAATTAATTAAAAATGAACAAGAGAGAAAAACTTATTTCATTTCATTTCTGGTCCAAGATGCAGGAAAGAAGAAAGGATATTTTATAAATGTTGGAGGGATTCATTATTTTTTAGCTTTCCTATTAGGAAAACTAGGCAATTAATTTTTGAAAAAGAGACCTTATTTGTTATTTTTATTTTTTATTGATCCATTTAATTTGGTTATTTTTTCCTGAATATGGAGTGAACCCAGTTAGCAATGTGAATTATTTTGTCTATTAGAATCACTTTAGCAGGAGCATTGCTAAACTTCCTTTTTACTGTGAGCTATTTAGAAATGCCTCTCAGTAAAATGGAAAAGTAAATAGAAATGTACATTTAAAATAATAATGACAAAATTAGTTTAATTCTTTCAAAATAAAGTTGAACCTTGGATGTGAAGTTTAAGAAATAAGAGATGTTAGGGAACTTTGAGAGTTAATTGTACTTCAAGAAAAATGAGATACTTCTTACACCACTAAATTCAAAATATGATTAGAAGTCACTAAATTTCTACTTTTACTAGCTAACTACAGATGTAACAAATACAAACCTCATGAATTTCACTGGAAGGGAAATAAACCAGATAATTTAAGATATTTCAAATTAACTTTGAGGGGTGATTTATTAGAATTGTCTATTTATATTAATAAAATAATTATGAATAATAAAATAAATATTCACATAACTTATGTTGCATTCAGACAGTCCATAATTTCAAGAGCTCTTCTTTTATGTGAAAGATTAAAATGTTATCCTATTTTTGCCATAGTCAAATTGAAGCACATGTTTTGGTCATTTCAATAATTCTGACAGCAAGGACCAAACCAATTATCTTCTGACTTACATTACAGTATTTAATCACATATCAATGGTATGTGGCCTACATTAATCACAACAAACATTTGTGCGGCATTTTTTAAGAATTCTTTAAGCGCTCAGTAACTGCATATCTGAGCTAGGAACTACATTCTCTAATTCTCTAACCCTTAAAAGAATGTACTGTTTTTCTTTTTTAGAAATGAATAAGTTTGAATTGAGAATTTAAATTAAGGAAAAGATAATGGAAGCTTATGTCCTGAATATTAATTTGGTTATTAGATTATTAGAGGCATACAGCTTATTATAATACTGGTTTTTGTGATTTTATTTGAAAATATTCATGCTCTTTGGAATAGTCTGTTTTAAAGAGCATGATTTTCTAGAATACACCAAAAAGATAGGAGGTGCAATGGCCATGGTTCCCCAAGCTTTTTGGCACCAGGGACTGATTTCATGGAAGACAATTTTTCCATGGACCTGGGTAGGGTACAAGTTCCTAAGTTTCATAGAGGATAATTTTTCCATGGATGTGTACAGGGTTCGGGGGGCGGCAGAACTCTCTGGCCCTGTCCCTAAACAGTACTGGTCCACGGCCCCGAGGACTGGGACTGCAGCTCTATGGGATCCAACATAAAAGGAAAACAGTATGTGTCAGTCTTTGTTCCTTAGAAAACTTCCTATTATTCTATTGTCGTTATCACCATTATTATTATTAAAAATTTGAGAAAAACTAAGGCCTTTAGAAATTAAGTCATTCACAAAGTCACATGGGTAGTAAGTAGGTGAACCATGATTCAAACCCATTTTAATGTGACTATGGTCTGGGCTTCATCAGTCTCCTCCACCCCCACACCATGTTGCCTAGGGCATAAATAACAGCAACTATCAGGCTGTTAAATACTGTCAGATATGGACCAATATTAAATGGAACTAATATTTATGTGAGCTACATTCTTTAGTTTACAAAAATGCAAGATATCGCATCAGTGATTTGGTCTTCTAAGTTAAAAAATCCTTTTTGATAGTAATATTCAATACTTAAGTACAAAGGCTTTTGCTTTGGGAAGATTTAGATTCAAATTCTGGTTCCAAATCTAACCTGCTTTACCACCTGAAGCATGAAACGTGAGCCTATGAAGCCTCAATGGCTCCTACACTGTTTCCTCAGCATGTAAATTAATGTGCAAATGCTCAGCCTGTAAGACCATAATTGAGATGAAAGATGATGCATGTAAAAGACCTGGCACTTGGGCAACATTCAACACCCCGCAGTCATCAAAACTAAGCAAAAAAGTGTCTTAAAACTCTTTATGGAAAAAAAAACACATCAGTGACAAATAGATATTCTTCATTAAGGGGTGAGAATAGTAGGAAATGTTTATTGATATATGCTATGTATTACCTGTAGGGTAACTAGCAACTTTAGAAATAATTGCGAAAGTTACAAAGCAGTTTAAAATTAGCAGCTTAGTGAACTTCTCTTTGACTTTATGGAGTAGGCAGGAAGTATTAACTTTTTATCATCAATAATAATTCTCTATTTATATATGCTTCAAGAAGTTCAAAGAGAATTATTAACATAATTGTATTGGAACATTAACCTGGTGGAACAGTCCCATTAGATATTTAAATCTGATTGGCTGTTCTTAAATAGCTAGAACAAAGAATGGATCCTGTATAATTACCTATTGGGCTCAGAGTAAATCATTTGACATGACTAAACCTGAAAATACAAATGTATAATTATATTTAATATTTAAAGGACTCATGTACTTGCTTGAATTTAAGAAATTGGATCTTCCATTACTTTCTAAAATAACTTAAAACATGTAAAGGAACATATCATACCAGATTTCACAGTTTTTAACAAATGTTTCCTAGACAATTTTAGTAAACCTAGAAAAAGATTTTACTGTAAACCAGTTAAATCTTTTCTTTTTCAAATACATGTTGTTCACTCATCACTTAGAAAATGAAATTAAAAGGCAGAAAAATAGATAATGGTTCTAAGATGCTTCAGTAAAAATATGATTTCAGTAAGTATCTGTGCACAACTTATTACAGAGACACTGTGACTAATCAGGTTATTATGGGCTCATAGTTTAAAAGTTCATTGAGTTACCATTTAGAATTTGTGTTTAAATATAAATGGAACAGTATAGGACTAAGATGCCCTATTAACATTAATTTTGTGAGCACATTTGCATTCCAAATAAATTCATAAGGAGGGCATTTTTAATTGATTAAGAAATAAACTGCCTTTAATAAATATATATACTAATTATATGTAAATGAAAACTGCTAGTTACAGAACAACTCCATTCATTTATTAATGCAGGGCTACTACTCTATGTAGATACAGGCTTATGGAGACTCATAGCCCAAAATATGAGATAATGTTTAAAAATGAAGTTGGTACAAAAATTCCTAGACAAGATTTTATTCTTCCTGAGTGCACACAAGGAACAGTGAAGCTCAGGAAATGACCATGAAAAAGACACACTGGACCCACTCTAAAAAATAGTCCTCGTGGACAATTGAGAATTGTTCCAAACTACTCATGATTGGATTTTAGAACACATGAAGATAATCTTTAAGTATCCTAATTCAGTTTCAGCAGTGAGCTACAATCAAAGATGTGGGTATGCAATACAAAAACTTTTCTTCTTAATCCATAAAGCCAGTCACAATGGTTCAATATGATTAATGCAGCAAAACCTTTCTAAACTAGGGGGTTTTAAGGAATCAAACTCCAAAGAATAAAGGTTTATGTTTCAGATGATTGTGAAAAGCTCATAAACTTATTTACTATCTAACCCATTTAACACATAGGTATCTTTATGTTTAAATTCAAGATTAAACAGCATTAAATAAACTGGTAGGTGTTAGATGCTAAATCCACTGGCCATCTGATTTCTCTGACAAAGCACCGGGGACTTACGATGTAGTTTTGTAGAAGCAGCTCCACTGACTCTCTCCTCCCATACTTAATGATCCAAGACTTCAGCTTTGACTCTGCAAGAACCAGCAGTGAGAGCAGACGGTACTTTAATTCTAGAAATTCCATTTTCATTAGGTGTAGCTCTGATGTGGAGGAAACAAAATGAAACCTAGAAATGAAACAGGGAGAATTTACAGAATGTAACTAATAGTAACAGGATGATGCTTACTCAACCTGTTACATGCCAGCCTTAAACATAATGCAGCCACAGGGTCTTCTAAACTCTGGTTGATCATTATGAAGAGATCTGATTCCTTTTCTTGCCCTGGGTTTAAAAGCGGAACATGATTGATTGAAGTCTTTGATTTAGTTCTTTCCCCTGCCAACACATCTCTCATCTGTTTCTTTTATAGGCTGTTTTTTGCAATATTACATAATGTTCCTTACAGTACTGAGCAAAAAATACAGCCTATGAAAAAAACATTTCTGTGATTTCCAAGCTGTGGGTACATTCAGATTCACTCTTTTCAGTTAATAATATATTAGAATGTTGACATTATTAGCATATGTTATGGGAGCCCACTTTTTATTTACCAAATGTGAGCATCTCTGTTAAAAATCAAAACAAACAATTCATGGAAAAGCAAAGAAATGTAAAAAGCATCCACCTAGTGTTATAAAAGAGACTTCATTTAAAAACCAGACATTCTCTTACCTCTCAGCCATGTCCTCTAATTGATCGTGTGGCACTGGGATCCCGTTAACAGACCTGGTCCGGTAGATTTCATGAAATGCTCTTTTGTGGGCATCTATGTTCTGAAGCAGATCCTAAGATACAGTTTTTAAAAAATAGAAAATGAGGAAACATGTTCACAGGAGGCTAAGAAGCATAATTTTCAGCCTGCACGGATGAGTCAATGTATTCAACAATTCGATCCTGCTGCCACATGCAAAGGCAGCTTGGTGCCCGTCACAGCCTCTTACCTTGAACAGGAGCCGGTGCTTGTGTTTAAGACACTATGCTAGAGCCGTATCTAATAATTATGCATCTTTTAAACACACATGACACTTGCACAGCAATGCATTCAGACGTTTTAAAGGCACATGATCCAAAGGAAAATGTAATTACTGCCATAAACAATGATTCTAGTGTTTTCTCCTTTCTTGATTTTGGATATGATGCTTTTTTTTTTTTTTGGATATGATGCTTTTTAAAAGCTTAAAATTAAGCAAAACAAATTTAAACCTTTAATGGTAAAAGAGATGAGACTCTCTATTGCTATTTCATTTTGAATGCATGCAGGCTATTATAAAGTGATAGTTCCTTGCCATCTAAAGTAATCATATTATAACATATTTTGAAAAATACCCTTTTGGTTAGAAAATTTCAAACAAGCTCAGGGAATATCCCATAGACAGCACAGTGGGAAGACCAAATACAATGTTTATAAATATTCTTTTTGGACTGTGTAGAATTATGCAGGTCTGATTCATTTATTTAGGATAATTTGAATCTTCCTTGATTTATTTTATGTGTTTTTCACCATCTACAAACTTATTTATAAAAAGATGTACATGTATTTCACAATTCCTAGCCAATTTCTCACACAGTAGCAAGGTAAGAGTGAGGTGAAAGGAGATTCATGCCTTATTTTTTAGAGCTTAGTCTATGCTCCAAGAGCTCAATAAATATAATACCCAATGATGTGTCCCCTATTAACAATTAAGACACAGCAGCCTACCAAAATAATAAATGAAAATTAATATTTTTCTCTCAAACTGGATTTAGTGGCTTAATTGGAACAAACAGAAGCAAAAACAGCCTAAAACCAAGTGACACATTTAATGGAAGGGACAAATGAAGACCCTTCTATTATAAATTAAAACTTTAAGATCATATATGTTTTCCACATAAGTGATATTTTAACATTGTAGAAAACCTCAGGGCCAAACTATTTCTATCCTGACACACAGGTAACTGCACAGATGTCACAGATCATTTGTGCCTCAATGGAGGGCACTACACGCAACCAAGAGCTAATTGCAAGGGAACAGTAAAACAAGGACTATTCCTAGAGCAGCTATTGACAACGAGTATTTTAGTCACTCACTACCTCCTTATTGCAGCCAGATACACTTCTATGGCTTATGGTTTGGGCTGAAACTCCCTCAAGTGACTGCAGAACAAACTTGGAGCTATCACTTCAGCTCGCTGATTTGTTATATGTGACAGTTTTTAATATCTACTATATTGAAAAATCTTTACAAAATATCGAAACAAAAACATTTTCACACATATGATAAAAGAACTTCTACAGCTGACATGATGTCACCGAGATTCCTCTGAAAGAACCTCTCACTATAAAAGAGCTAGATGTCTAGCAAAATTTATGATTTTAATTCACTTTGTTGAGTTTATTGGAAGTAAGTATACTCTTTTAGGTGTCTCATTCTCAGTAATACATGACCCCAAACTGGATCACAGACCTGTGTGCAAAATCAAATTTAAAAATCCAGATTGGTTAAATATCTTTACCATTGCTGCAGGTGATTGAGTCTTAGAATATGAACAGGGAGACAACACTGAAAGGGGATCTCCTCTATTTAGCCAGAACCCTCAAGGAGGGCTAACGTGGCCCAGTTATTAGCAAAAGCAGATACAATAGGAGGAAAGCAAAGGTTACCAACTGAAGGAAACAAGCCACCATGAGTGAAAACCAGCAGTAGCAACAAATTTATGGTGCTAGAAAAATGTCAGTAATTTCATACTTGACAACAACTGTATGTAAGTAAAAGGAGAATGATCTAGTTAAAGTATTCTTAATTCCTTATATCAATCAAGAAGAGATTAAGATATTGATTAACTTTCAATTTTGTTAAAGATCCATGATGAAATTTTAAGGGCAATCATTCTATACAAAACTAGAGTTTATAATGGTCAAGTCAATAGAAAGAGGACCATGGAATAAGAGAAATGAGCAAGCAAACAAAAAAGCAAACAAATACTCCTCAATCAACTTGTGAATAGCAAGAAAGTAGAAAAAAAGTAAAAGTAGTACAAATAGCAAAGAGACAAAAACAAATTCAAATATATCCATAATAATAAACAAATGTGAATGGAGTATAAATTTACTATTAATAGTTAAAAGACAGAGATTGTCAAATAGGACAAACAAAAAATAGAACTATCTGCCTTTTAAAGAGATATACCTAATCATTAAGAACATGGATAGTTTGAAATTAATAAAATGGAAAACATACCAGGCAAATAATCAAAGAAAGCTCATATAAGTGTATTGATACTCATATAAGTGTATTATCAGCCAAAATAGATTAAAGAACAGTCACTATAATTACCGATGCTTCTTGATTTGTGATGGGGTTACATCTTGATAAACCCAGTCTAAGTTGAAAATATTGTAAGTCAGAAATACGATTAATATGCCCAACTTACCAAATATTGTATCTTAACTTAGGCTACATGAAATGTGCTCAGGACACTTACATTAACATACAGTTGGGCAAAATCATCTGATACAAACCCCATTTTATAATAAAGTTTTGAATAACTGATGTAAGAATATCATACCACATATTGTTAGCTGAGAAAAGATCAAAGTCTCTATCACCACTTCTATTTAACCTAGTACTGTAAGTCCTAGCCAGAGCAATCAGGCAAGAGAAAGAAATCAAAGGCATACAAATGGGGGCAGAAGAGGTCAAACTATCGCTCTTTGCTGATGATAATGACCTTGTTTCTAGAAAACCTCAAAGATTCTGCCATGGGACTACTAGAATTGATAAACAAATTCAGCAAAGTCTCAGGTAAAATCAATGTACAGAAATCAGTAGCATTCCTATATGTCAACAACTGAGAACCAAATCAAAGACTCATTACCCTTCACAGTAGCAACAAAGAAAATAAAATACCTAAGAATATATTTAACTAAGGAGGTAAAAGACCTCTACAAGCACCATATATACTCACCAAACTATGAAACACTGAGGAAGTAAATAGCAGAGGATGTAAACAGGTGGAAAACCATACCATACTCATGAGTTGGCAGAATCAACACTGTTAAAATGTCTATACTACCCAAAGTGATCTACAGATTCAATGCAATCTCTATTAAAATACCAACATCATTTTTTGCAGATCTAGAAAAAAATCATTCTATGCTTCATATGGAACCAGAGCAGACCCCATATAGCAAAAGCAATATTAAGCAAAAAGAACAAATTGGGAGGCATCAATTTACAAGACTTCAAGTTATACTACAAGTCCATAGTAACTAAAACAGCATGAGATTGGCATAAGAACAGAGACATAAACCAATGGAATAGAACTGAGAACCCAGATATAAAACCATCCTCATATAGCCTTCTAATATTTGATAAAGCAGACAAAAGCATACACTGGGGAAAAGAATCCTTATTCAATGATTGATACTGGGAAAATTGGATAGCCACATGTAGAAGACTGAAACAGCACTTATCACCTCTCACAACAATGAACTCACGAAGGATAATAGACTTAAATCTAAGGCATGAAACTATAAGAATTCTAGAAGAAAATGTTGGAAACACTCTTATAGACACTGGCATAGAGAAAGAATGTATTCAAAAGACCCCCAAAACTAGTGTAACCTCTGTGGAAAGCAATATGGAGATACCTCAAAGGGATACAAGGAGAACTACCATTTAATCCAGCAATCCCATTACTGGGCATCTACTCAAAGGAACAAAAGACATTCTATAAAAAAGACATCTGCACTAGAATGTTTGTAGCAGCACAATTCACAATTGCAAAGATGTGGAAACAACCCAAGTGCCCATCAATACATGAGTGGATTCATAAAATGTGGTATATATACATTATGAAGTTCTACTCAGTCACAAAAACAATGGTGATCTAGTACCTCTTGTATTATCCTGGATAGAGCTGAAGCCCATTCTACTAAGTGAAGTATCATAAGAATAGGAAAACAAGCACCATATATACTCACCACCAAATAGGTGTTAACTGACTTAACTGACCAACACTTATGTGCACATATAGTAGTATCATTCATCGGGTGTTGGGCAGGTGGGAGAGGGGATGGGTATATTCACACCTAATGGGTGTAGTGCACACCATCTGGGGGATGGACACAGTTGAAGCTCTGACTCAGGTGGGGCAAAGGCAATGTATGTAACCTAAACATTTGTACCACTGTAATAAGCCGAAATTAAAAAAATGAAATATTTAAAAAATTGAAAAATTAATGAAACAAACAAAAAACCCAAACAAAATTTAATATACAGTTTTTACAGAAGACATATCATTTCTGCACCATCATAAAATCAGAAAATTTTAAGTTGAACCATTGTAAGTTGAGGACCATCTGTAATTAATTGGTTAAAGAGGAAACTCTCCACTTAATAAAACATACATTCTTCCTGAACTTGAACATACCTATTAAGCCTCAAAATATATAAAGCAAAAACTGAAAGTGATAAATCCACAATGCTGTGGGAATTATTGACACACATCTCTAAATGATTAAGATAGAGCAAAGGGAGCAAGTGAGGTGTTGGGTTGTGGGATAAGGCAGGGAGGGGGAGGGAAGGGGCTGCAGAAAGGGGCCTTTATAAAAAACTTTTGGTGTTTGAGTAGATATAAGCCAGTGGGCAGTTTTGAGTAGATTGGTGAAATTATCTGAGCTGCATTTAAAAAGGATCACTGTGGCTATTCTATGGAAAAATACCATGCCTTCCACACATTTGCTTCCTCAGGCTTCTAAGACAAGATGGTATTGGGATTTCCTCCTATCTCACTGGTCATTACT